GTCAATGTAGTCAATGCCTATGAGGACATCAACCACAGTACGATGCGAGAACTAAGTTTTGGGAATTTGATGTGATTCAAATGTTTCCATTTATGTCCATGTTTCTCCCAGTCTACTACTTGCATTTTGCCTGTAACTTTTGTTGTTGTAAGAGCTGACATTGATACATCAACTGAACCATCAATGCTTTCTAACCCAAAATTAACAGACATTGATTCAAAACTCTCCTTTCTGCCATTTAGAACATTCACTGACACTTTCTGATAATGTCCTTGTAACCCAAGTTCTGCAGCTATATCTTCATTTATGTATGTCTGCGAACTAGCATCATCTAAGAGAGCATTGACTGTAATCCTGCGATGTCCATTTGTGATAACTACTGGGACAGTTCTCAATGCTGTGTATGACATGTCACACCTAGAAGTAGACATTGTGGTTGTTTGTGTTTCATCTACTGGATTTAGGGGGCGACTTACTTTTGCACAATCTGTCCAATCCCTTACTTTCTGATCAGTGTGAAGTAAGCGATTGTGATTTGCAAAACAACCACCTATCCCACATTCACTAAACCTAGTGCAACTCCTACCACAGTGGTTGGAGCCTAGACAACGGAAGCAAAGATTCAACCTCTTTGCAACCTCCCACCTCCTACTAACGCTCAATGCTTTGAACTTTGTGCACTTCCACATCTCATGACTTGCCCCTGGACACATTTGACATGGACCCGTTTGACTTTTATTCTCTTTATTGCCAAAGAAAGTCCCATTTTTACCCGATGTTTTATCGCTCATGTGACCTCTGCTTTTCAGCAACCCCATTTATGACTTCACTGGCAATGACCTGAAACTCTGATTCTTGCAGAATCCATTCCCTGAGGACTTCAACAGATTCCTGTCTCTGGGTCTCAAATATCCACCTCTGATATTGTATTACCATGGATTCTGTTAATTTCTTTAATAATTGTGAGTATAAGGTCCCATCACCCAACTCTTCTAACTTGTCTGATTCTCTAAGGTTTGCCACTAAAATATCAAGCAAGTCTGCAAACCTCTCTAAGTCCCTGGCATTACCTGCCCTAATTGGTTTGAACTTTGTAACCTCTTCTAACTTCAAAGCAATGTTACGTCTTTTGCCACCATATTTGCGTTCAAGACGTTCTAATGCGATGTCATATGCATATGACCTAAACTCGCTATCACTTTCAATGCTTCTCCGGTAAGACATTGTCTTAACTGTAACAGTTTGTATTCGGGGGTGGCTGGCGCCATGTCCACACAAGCTACAAATGCTGCTTTCCAATTCTCATACATTTTAATGTCACCATTAAATGTGGGTATCGACACCCTTTTGAGTTGTTTCCACATATCTACACCAAGCTCATTTTGTTTTGTGACAGGGTTCGTACTTCTGCGATCATAATGTGCTCCAGAACTTTCAACCACATTCAACTTGTCATCTAAACATTCGACTTTCTTCTCATGTTTTCCTGTGACCACGTTCTTATGTATGGCTTGTTCATTGTCACTGTTCTGTTTGCATTTTGTATTCTTATCAGATTGTACTTTTTGTTTTGTCTGATCTTGAGAATGGAATAGCATTGATAAGCCTGTTCTTATGCTGCTTACAGAAGTAGCATCTGATCTGTCATTCAAGTATGCTTGTGCCATTTTAACAACATCTTCATTAATCCCTTCTACAGACGCAAGTTCTTTGTAGACTTGATTTTTGTTTTCAGTGTCCCCGCTATCTGAATATGCCTGAATCAAATCAACCATGATATTCACTGCCTTAAGGTGAAGTGAACTTACCTTGTCAATTTCATCTCTAACCTCCCGACGGGAAGGAACATCAACTTGTTCTATCAAGTTATACAACTTGTTCTTACATTTTGTAAATGCAGTTTTAGCTGCTGCTTTTTGTTTCTTTAATTTGATAATTTTGTCACCAACGTCTGTTTTAGGAACCTTTACCTCAACGTTTGAAGCTATTTGCTTCATCGATTTCTCCGACATGATGACAAACTAATCTGACTTGCCACTAACCTAACCTGCATGTAAACTAACCTTCCACTAATCTAACCTGTATCTAATCTTGACACGCAACTGAACTCACCGGCAACTAACCTAACCTAACATAACATAACCACGCTCTGCTACCATTTTGTTTTGCAGTGGAATGAAAACAAAAATTCTAATTATTTAATCCAAATTTTATTTCCCCACAATTGTAAATTTATATATACACTAACGAATGCAAGATACTGTACGAAAGCTTCAATACCTTGCTGAGGTCCGATTATGACCAAATCATCTCAAACGCGTCAACATCCAACACACAGATGTTCGTTCGACGCAACCATCTAACATTCTAACACTAATACCCTTCCCACAGTCTCTAACACACTCATTAAACACACACTCTGTCCGAAGTATCACGAAATACGTTTATATAACAAACATTCATTCATGGAATTCTCGTGCAGTAGCGTTTCCGCGAGGCGTTGTGTTCGCGCATTTACAACACATTGTCCGAGAACAAAACAAAACATCCATAGGATAACTGAACGTCCCAAAACGCAACTGTTCTATAACCTCATCCGAGAACATGCTCATCTGGTGTCCGCGGTCGCAGTGTTTCGGACATTCCATGAACTGTTCTTCAGTCCAGGGTGCGTTAGTCAACGACGGCTTTCAGCTAGATTGGACGGACAGGGTACTGTGGGCGTTCCCCCCGATACCACTGATTTCCAGGGTCCTGTCGCAACTGACCGCACAACCAGCTCGGCTACTTGTGCTTCTGGCACCCCTTTGGTCGGCACAAAGCTGGTTTCCGGTAATTCTCAGGTTTCTGGCTCAGCCTCCTGTTCTATTACCTTTTCGACCGGACCTCCTATCCCAGAACGGAGCGCCCCACCCGAATCCCAGGATTCAGTGGGTGGCTTGGCCGCTATCAGGGATCGCCTCCATGCGAGCGGAATTCCTGCACCAGTTGCAGACACAATTCTGGCTTCGCGGAGGGATTCGACAAACGTTCAATATGAGGATAGATGGGCCTGTTATTCGCGCTGGTGTGTCAACAGGGGGATTCTTGATCCCTTTTCTACAGATTTAGTCTGTGTGTTAGAATTCCTCCAGTCTCGGTTGGAAGCCGGTCTAGCGGCTTCAACTGTTCGAGGATATTCTACAGCTATTTCTGCGTTTCACATTCCTGTTGACGGTGCTCTCTTGGGGCAGCACCCTCTGGTACAGCGCTTTTTAGCAGGCGTGGACAGAATCCGTCCGGTTGTCCGGCGGATTAGTCCCCAGTGGGACTTGTCAATCGTTCTTGATTGGCTGTCCGGTCCACTGTTTCACAATCTGTCGGTTCTTTCACTCCAGCTGTTGACGTGGAAGACGGCGTTTCTTGTGGCGGTGACTTCAGGCAGGCGGGTTGGCGATATTCACGCAATGTCGGCCGATCCCGCGCTTACTGTTTTTCACAAAGACAGAGTTAGCATACGGCTGCCTGATACTTACCGTCCTAAGAAGGATAGTCCTTCCATGTGGCGGCTATTGAGCTCCCAGCTTTCACTCAGCCTTCCCTGTCCGGTACCTCTCTACAACGCTCACGTCTTAGATGTCCATTAAGACACTTAAGGCTTATATCAAACGAACAAGGGGTACCCGTAAGGGTAACCAATTGTTTTGTTGTTATGGCGGGGTTCAGGCTGGTCTTCCGGCGACCAAGCAAACCATTTCTAGGTGGCTTGTCTCTGCCATACACATGAGCTATACTCAAACAGGGCGTATCCCGCCTGTCGGGTTGAAAGCTCATTCGGTTAGGGCAGTTGCTACATCGAAAGCTTACGCTGCAGCCCTGCCCATTGAGGAGATCTGCTCAGCGGCTATTTGGAGCCGTCCGATCGAGAATGCGTTCATCCGTCATTTACCAACTTGACAGACTCTCCAGTGAGCGTGCTTTCGGTTCGGTCAGTCAGTTCTCTCCAGTGGGCATGGTTCCACCTCTCTAGCCGATTGAGCTTTCGAGGTTTTTTATTGTGTGAACCATTATCTGCCAATTTTTAACACTGGTGTTGGGGTTTACAAATCTTGTTACATTTTCCCTTGGTGATGGGTTTTATGTGGTGATGTTTTTTTATTCCCATGTCTCTTGCTTTCTAACCGAAGCTATAGAGACTAAACTGCCCTTGGAAACTTTGCTGTTCATATTCCGGCATTTCGTTTCTGGGTTTATTCGGGACCCTTATCTTCACTTCCGAGGTAGATTACGGGAAGGAGGGAGGGTGTGTCTCGTTCGTTGCATTAGCGAGGTTTCGCTGGACAAATTTGCATCACGTTTTTCCCTGACCCTGGCTCATGCCCCCGCCTGATTGGCTTTGGTGGACACGTGACCGGTAAGTGTGCCTTTTCTGCTATAATTAGCTTGGGAAATTCCACTTCTTGTCGGGGTGTTTAAGCAGACAGAATGCAGCCCTGAGATCCGTCTTTAGGAGTCTGTCTTATGCTTATAAGTACCCCAAGGAGGAATATATAAAAAGAATCGAACTAACCTGTAGAGGTTTAAGATTCTTTGAATATATTCCTCCTTGAATCCACCTCCCTCCCGCATTCTGTCTGACTTCGTTCAGCATGGAAAGTGAGGTACGAGGTTACGGTCTAGAGTTACCTGCTCTTGGCTGTAGGGGGCCAGAGGGCCCTGTAAGGGTGGTCTCACAAGACAAAACGTAGTTTTTGTTTTGTCAATATTTTATTCAAAATATTGTTACAACTGTCGTAGGGATTTTAAATGGACATTTAAATGCTTATAAGTACCCCAAGGAGGAATATATTCAAAGAATCTTAAACCTCTACAGGTTAGTTCGAATTCTCAATAATTTCAGGTTGTACTGTATGTTTCCACCCACTTACGAAATAAAGTTGAAATGTTAAACACATAGTGTTTTGAAATAATAGCACAGTATCTTAATTTAGACCTTACCTTCTCTTTTGTGACTCTATCAGTTGCTCCTTCCATGAAGTGTTATCGGACAGCCACCACCCTGTGTACACCAGACCCCACATTCCACGACTGTACACGACACAAGCTACACCTGCCTCTGGGCACTCCAGTACAGCGGGAACTGCTTACAGGTAAGTCAAACACCTGTGTACGCTAGACCCACGTTCCACGACTGTACACGACACAAGCTACTCCCACCCAGTTTAGATAATAAGTATATAATGAACGATTTGTCTCTTTGTGCAGCATGTGCCAACTCAGGAGGAGGAGCAGGAGGACTTCCGTTCGAAGTCTGGTGCCGCTATTACCATCCTAACATCAGGGAACAGGTCATTGCTAAAGTGAGTAGATTCTCCCTCCCTTACATAAGGGAATAGGTCATTGCTGAACTGAGTAGATTTTGCTATCAGGTTTTTTGCCTACGGTCTGTCAGCTAAGTTGTCTTATTTCTACTAACGCAATGTCCAAGTAAGGCCCCAGAGCTATGTGTCTACTGTCTGACATCCATGGTGTGACTCTCCAGGCGATGCTGCCGTTAGCCAAGCTGTGTGCCATGGTTACAATGCAGAAACGGGGGGAGACAGCCATCCAGAGTTTCTCTCTGCCGTTGTCTCAAGTCACCACCGAGTACCAGCTGGAAGACCCGGAGGCAAAAGCTAAGGTTAGTTGAGCTGAGATGTCAGTAGATTCACATCATGTATCAATACTGTATTGGGAAGGTGGTCTGTGTACATGTGACAGCCTTGTTTGAAGTAATGTGTTATGTATACTTGAATGCTATATGTCATGTGTCATGTATACTTGAATATTTTTCCTTATCCTGACTCATGCTCTTTTGCTTGTCTTCTTCTTCTCGCGAACATAGTGGAACACTTGTATCTCCTTATTTGAAGCTCCCTTCAAAATAAAATCACTAATTAGTACTCACCACGAGTTACTCCCCTTTCCTCCCTTTGGCGGGAACAGGTGTCGCCAACCTCTGGCCACATGCTTCACTCTCTCCTTCTTCGCCCAGTGAGCAGGATGTGAGAGCGCCTGTGTCTCCTTGCACACTATATCCTTTGCTTTTTCTTAGTTAGTTACCTCTTATAGGTTACTATAGAGGTATAGCTAGTATCCTTCATTAATTTGCATTAATAATTAATCGTATTTCTACTGTTTATTCACGTGAGTTCGTGATTGTTCAGTTAGTATTACTTTGATGAAAAACTGTACTATTTGTAAACTACGTTTTTCGGCTGCTGATCCGCATGTAGTTTGCCCTAGTTGTACTACGCCTTGTGCGTTTGATAAACGTTGCAGTTACTGCATTAATTTAACCAATTCTGCTTTTAATAAATATCACCTCTGCATCTTGAGATGTGCTGCAGATAGGTCACGCAAACAAGGTTTAGACATGGCTGATACATCGGATTCCCCATCTAGTCAGCTGCTGCCGATCGACCCCCTCCCGTCTGGTGTTCTGCTAGAGACCCCATCGGAAGAGGGACGTGGGATGCAGTCCGTCACCTCGAAGAAACGACCGGCCTCCCCAGACATCCCGTCATCGCAGGCAAAGGTCAAGAGGGCATCGATGTCTACTCAACGCAGACTTCGCACCCCCAGGGCAGCGTCTACATCCAAAGGGAAGTCGACGAAATCATCTAGAACTTTCTCGGCCGAGATCGTTCCAGCTGCAGAATTTGGCCTCTACGATGATCAGCCGATCATCATCCCTGACATACGCCACAAGAAGCGACCAGTGACAGCTACAGTGACTTCAGCTGAGATCACCACCCAGCCTGATGCCTCTACACTGATGTCAGACGATATCCCTGAGGGCCCCACCGCTGACAACGCAGAGAGGGCACCGACTACGTCAAAGCAGACCATCCCAGACGATCTACTACGGCAAATCATGGTCATGATGGGGGGTCACTAAAGACTGGAGAAGCAGCCAGCCCAGAGTACGAGCCTTCGCGAAGGCTCCAACGTAGACAACACTCCAGAGGCACCCCCAGTCAACGTAGCAGCCAAAACGATACCGCCTTCGCGAAGGAAGTCACAGACCACCTCGACGAAGGACGCAGATGTACAGCCTTCGCGAAGGCGTTCGCGAAGGAGGGATAAATCTTCACCGTCTTCTACCTCATCCATAGATGTGGACTCAGACCAACAGACATCACGGAAGCCTTCGCGAAGGTCTTATCACCGTTCCCCAGGACCGGACACAGGAAGCTTCGCGAAGGCATTCACAAAGGCGTTCGCGAAGGCGTTCACGAAGGACACCTGAATCTAGATCGCCATCTAGGACATCTAGAGACTATTCAAGAGCTTCGCGAAGCTATCAACAGTCCACTCACAGGTCTCCGAGAAGGTCAACTCACAGTCATAGATCGCCAAGACGATCCTCTCCTCGTTCACCTCGCCGATCTTCGCGTACATCACCATGTCGATCACCACACAGGTCTGCACAAAAGTCTAAAACCAGGTCGCCGCAAGCGTCACCCGACAGAGAGATAGAGCCACACACTCAACTATCAGAAGAGCACCAACCTCTCATTAATGATACTGGAATAGAAGATGATGGAGGAATCATTTTCTCAGATGCAGAAATACGATTCTGGATGGTAAACAACTTAGATCTCTCATCACCTTCTAAGAGTGACAATACGGCGCAGACATACCTGATGCAAGAAGACGATGCAGATGCTGTTACACTACCTCCAATCGACCCGATTGCTGCAGTACCACAAAATCTAGACGCAGCATTCCAGAAAGCCACTAAAGTTCAGACACCTCATCTGCCGAACTTTCAGGCTAAGAAATTTTCCACGCACAACATGGAACCTTTCTGCAAGGCCCAATACATTGACGACAACTATAAGTTGATCAACGATGTCAAGAACAAGAACTATAAGATGGACGATCGCAAATTGGTTCAGATAGAAACCATGACGAGGCGTATGTTCTTTGGCCTAAATAGATCTAGAACGATCAATGAGACACTTATCACCAGATTTCGTAATACGACTTCTGAAGATGATAGAATGATATACTCGACCCTACTTATGCAAAAGAAGGACCAGCAGTTCCTAACGGATCATCTCACATCGGTCTCAGCAGCACTGACGTTAGCCCGACGTCAAGGCCTCCTCGCTTCCTGCAGCTGCGGTGAGAACTTTACAGCTCCACTCTATACAGCCCCGTGGTCTGCTCCATCCATCTTTGACGGAGGAATAGACAGAGTATCCAAGGAAGTCACTAAGGATTCCAGAGAAGTCCTTATGATTAAATCGATGGACACGCTAACCAGCGTCATCAGACAGACCTCACAAAGATACTCAGGAAGACCTAAATTCACTGGTCTACAAAGAGCACGGGACAGGAAGATAGCCAGCTCCAGGGGAAAAGATTCTTTTCGTCGCCCATTTGGCAACTTTAGAGGAGGATCAACAAGAGGCAGGACACCCAGAGGTTCCCGCAACTATAAACGTTGAAAGACAGGTTCGGAACGACTGGAGTCTTCCACCCCCAGCCGTTCCAGTACAACCAACACAAGTGGGTGGACGCCTCCAACGATACTGGGAAAACTGGGGAATGTTACAAGACCCTTACGTCTCCAACATTCTGCAACACGGATTTCGTATCCCACTAAAGGCCAAGCCTCCACTGACAGTCAACTCTCACAAGTTCGACTTACAGGCACAACAACTACCGAAGTTAAGAGAGGCTGTTACATCACTCATAACCAAGCAGGCCATAGAAGTACTAGACCGAGCAAACATCGAACCAGGTTTCTACTCCCCAGTTTTCCTAGTACCCAAGAAAAACTCCAAGGAGAAATACAGACTCATCTACAACATGAGCTTTTTCAACGAGAATTATCTACGCAAACCACCGAAGTTTCGCATGATACATCTACCTCAGTTACGGCAGTTGATTTGTCCCATGGATTACATGGGCAGTATCGATCTACAGGATGCCTACCTGCACATCCCGATACATCCCAAAGCCAGGAAATATCTACGGTTTACACAAGACGGGCTACATTACCAGTGGAAAGTGCTCCCATTCGGAATATCATCAGCCCCCTGGCTATTCACGAGGATAACGAAACCGATTATCACCTATCTTCATCGTCAAGGACTACGCAGTGCGTTTTACCTCGACGACGGGATACAAGCAGACCAAAGTCCACAGCGTCTCAAACTACAGTTAAACTACATCATAAAGCTACTAACACAATTGGGATGGTTAGTAAACTTACTCAAGTCGGACCTAGTACCATCGCAAGACTTGCAGTTCCTAGGCATTCGATTTATCACCAATCTCAACCGTATTCTCGTACCAGAAGACCGGTGGAACAAGATCCAACAGACCATTCCACCAGCTCTACTCTCTCCGTTACCACTTCGACAGTGGCAGAGCCTACTAGGTCTTCTCACATCAGCCCAAGACATGACAGTCACAGGCAGATTACAGTTACGTCCCTTACAGGTCTTCATCAATGCACATCTCGAAGACCTACAACCATTCAGTCTACCAAAACATCTCAGACCTCATCTACTATGGTGGACAAAGAAATCGAATGTCTGCGGAGGGATTTGTTTAGCAGAGCAGGAATTCAAAACCCATCTATATGTAGACGCGTCGCTCCAAGGTTGGGGAGCTCATCTCACCAACCAGACGACATCGGTCGTATGGAATCAGCAAGAAAGCAAGCTCCATATAAACGTATTAGAGACGAAAGCGGTAATCAACGCCATTCTACACTGGAGCACCAGGCTACAGAATGCGCACCTAACGATACATACCGACAATGCGACAGTGGCCTTCCTGGTGAACAAGCAAGGCTCAACGAAATCACGGAACCTGTTGGAATTAACTTTTCAACTGTTCGATCTAATCCACGATCTAAATCTACGTGTCAGAGCAGTTCACATTCCTGGAGCCAGAAATGTACTAGCAGACGCACTGTCTCGGCCACGTCAACCGTCACCGACAGAATGGATGCTCAATACAGAAATATTTACACAGATAATCAAGCAAATAGGATCACCACTAGCAGACCTATTCGCCACACGATTCAACAATCAGCTACCAACATTCGTGTCACCAGTCCCAGACCCACAAGCATGGGCAACGGACGCTTTAAACATATCTTGGGAAGGCCTCAATGCGTACGCGTTTCCACCGCCAGCAATATTACCTCAAGTGTTGCAGAAAATCAGACAAACACAGAGCCTACAACTCACTTTGGTCGCGCCCTACTGGCCGGCCAGAACGTGGTTTCCCATTCTAATTCAAGAAATCGGTCAACCGGCACTAGAGCTACCCAAGCGCTCAAACCTATTAATTCATCCACACACCAAACAAGTGCACGGAAGCCCAGAAGTATTCCAACTTCACGTGTGGACTGTATACAAATGTGTTTAAACAAGAGAGGATATTCTACCAGGGCGGCAAAAGCGGTCACGCTTGCCTTACGGTACTCTACTCGTAACCTGTACGACGACAAGTGGCACAGTTTCGAAAATTATGCAGCAAAGAAAGGCTTTATAGCGAGAGAGGCTACACAGCCTCAAGTGGCAGATTATTTGTGTTACCTACGGCAAAACAAACATTTAAAAGGTTCGACAATATCAACATATCTTGCCGCGCTTAGTTCTGTGATCCCGATGAGAACGGGTGCAAAATTGACTAAGTCCCCAGAGTTACTGGCCTTACTACGTGCTTTCCGATTGGAGGACCAAAAGCGGAAGTTCCACGCCCCAGCTTGGGATCTGAATATAGTGTTACAACACCTCACAAGTGAGGCGTATGAACCGTTGGAATCGACAACCTTTGAATTTCTCTCACAGAAAACACTGTTTCTACTATCTCTAGCCACGGCAGCCAGGATATCTGAAATTCATGCTCTAGATTACGAGAGGATACAGTTTGATGACAATCATAACACAGCGCACCTGGGATTAAGATGGGATTTCATCGCCAAAAATCAACTACCTGGTCAACCAGACAGGTTATTCCACGTCCCGGCGCTATCCTCGATTCTCGGATCGCAAGATACACTAGACTTATCACTGTGCCCAGTCACAGCTCTCAAAGTGTATTTACGACGTTCCAAAACAAGGAGAAGATTTCTCAAACGATTATTCATCCCCTTATCGGCAACAAACCAGACAGAAGTCTCTCGTACCACCATTTCTATCTGGATAAGGACTGTCATACTGCGTGCCTATAAGGCAGCAGGCTTGGACCCTCCAACAGCATCAAATCCCCATGAGATCAGGGCATTGGCTTCCAATCTCGCCTTACACGGTAACTGCTCATTGAACACAATAATGGAAGGATGCTTTTGGAAATCAAACATGGTGTTTGCTAATCACTATCTCAGAGATATCACTACAAAAGATGCTCTGGCATTCACCATTTCGGCCCACTGGTCCTCGCTCAGCAGCTGACAGTCCCTCGTAGGCGTTAACGGTTACCCTCACGAGATTATTATGTATTATATACATACTTTATCTAGCTTATAACTCTACGGAGTTCTAGGGCTATGTATATACTTAGCTTAGGTTTCTCAGCCTTAGGCATATACTGATATTATGTTCAGTTATAAAGTGTCCCTATCAGAGTCACTACTATATATATATATATATCTTTTATGTATAATATATATCAGCATATTATTAATGTAATACCCCAGTATGGCATTATGTAACCTATGGTTTATAAACAGGATATATCCTAAGTCTATACCTTCACGAAGTTCCCGTCAGGGGTTATTACAGTTATATCTATACAAATCACTAATTATAAATCCAAAGTACTTTAAATTCCCACCTCCGATCCGTCGGATATTACAAGCAAAAGAGCATGAGTCAGGATAAGGAAAAATATGTAATTTTTAGAGTAAAATTGATATTTTATACTTATCCTGACTCATGAGGTCAGCCCTCCCATCCTCCCCACATAACACTTTGGATTTCCCTGTAAGTTCAAGTGTTGGGCTCACAAAATCAGGAGAGAGTAAAGCATGTGGCCAGAGGGTGGCGACACCTGTTCCCGCCAAAGGGAGGAAAGGGGAGTAACTCGTGGTGAGTACTAATTAGTGATTTTATTTTGAAGGGAGCTTCAAATAAGGAGATACAAGTGTTCCACTATGTTCGCGAGAAGAAGAAGGCAAGCAAAAGAGCATGAGTCAGGATAAGGAAAAATATCAATTTTACTCTAAAAATTACATGATTCTTGTGTTTGAGGTCATGTGTCATATATATTTAAATGACGGTTGTGTTTGACGTCATGTATACTTGAATGATCATGTATACTTGAATGACATTATGTATATTTGTTTGAGGTCATGTGTGGTGTATACTGGAATGATTCTCGTGTTTGAGGTCATGTGTACTTGTTTAGGTCATGCATACTTGAATGACAAATGTGTTTGAGGTCATTTGTACTTAAATGTTTCCCGTGATTGAGGTCACTTCATGTATACTGGAATGATTCTCATGTTTGAGGTCACACGTACTCGAATGACTGTAATGTTTTAGGTCATTTGTCATGTATACTTAAATGATAGTCATGTTAGAGGTCATTTGTCATGTATAACTGAATGACGGTTGTGTTAGTCATTTGTGATATGTACGGAAATATCAGTCATGTTTGAGGTAATTTGTCATGTGTACATGAATGATGGTCATGTTTGTCATAATGTGTCATGTATACTTGAATGATAGTCGTGTTAGAGGTCATTTGTCATGTGTGAAGGAATGGCAGTCATGTTGGAGGTCATGTGTCATGTATACCTGAATGACAGTCATTTTTGTTTCTCAGGTGAAGGACTCTGGGCTGATGGATGTCACTGTTAATTACAAGACCAAGACTATTAAGGTGAGACTGACAGGAACCCATAACAAGGTGCTAAAGAATATCTGAAAAGAGCATCTTTTAAGATTTTATTGCAGGTTTGTCTTCCAGTCCTGTTATTGTGTGCTGTCATATAGCTGGAATATTGCTGAGTGTGGTGTAAAACTAAACTCACTCACTGTTATTGTGATGTTTGCCAGTAACTTAATAATATGCTAATTAGGCTACAGAAGGTGAGCTGCATATCCCACACCTGATAGTGAGCTACACATCCCACACCTGATAGTGTGCTACATATCCCACACCTGATAGTGAGCTACATATCCCACACCTGACAGTGAGCTACACATTCCACACCTGATAGTGAGCTACACATTCCACACCTGATAGTGACCTACATATCCCACACCTGATAGTGACCTACATATCCCACACCTGATAGTGAGCTACAGATCCAACACCTGACAGTGAGCTACACATTCCACACCTGATAGTGAGCTACACATTCCACACCTGATAGTGACCTACATATCCCACACCTGATAGTGACCTACATATCCCACACCTGATAGTGAGCTACAGATCCAACACCTGACAGCGAGCTACACATTCCACACCTGATAGTGTGCTACATATCCCACACCTGATAGTGAGCTACAGATCCCACACCTGACAATGAGCTACACATTCCACACCTGATAGTGAGCTACAAATCCCACACCTGATAGTGAGCTACACATCCCACACATGATAGTAAGCTACACATCCCACACCTGAGAGTTAGCTACACATTCCACACCTGATAGTGAGCTACACATTCCACACCTGATAGTGACCTACATATCCCACACCTGATAGTGAGCTATATATCCCACACCTGATAGTTAGCTGCATATCCCACACCTGATAGTGAGCTACATATCCCACACCTGATAGTGAGCTACATATCCCACACCTGATAGTGAGCTACAGATCCAACACCTGACAGCGAGCTACACATGCCACACCTGATAGTGTGCTACATATCCCACACCTGATAGTGAGCTACAGATCCCACACCTGACAATGAGCTACACATTCCACATCTGATAGTGAGCTACAAATCCCACACCTGATAGTGAGCTACACATCCCACACGTGATAGTAAGCTACACATCCCACACATGATAGTGATCTACACATCCCACACCTGATAGTTAGCTACACATCCCACACCTGATAGTGAGCTACACATCCCACACCTGATAGTTAGCTACACATTCCACACCTGATAGTGAGCTACACATCCCACAGCTGATATTGAGCTACATATGCCACACCTGATAGTGAGCTACACATCCCACACATGATAGTGAACTACATATCCCACACCTGATAGTGAGCTACAGATCCCACACCTGACAGTGAGCTACACTTTCCACACCTGATAGTGTGCTACATATCCCACACCTGATAGTGAGCTACAGATCCCACACCGATAGTGAGCTACATATCCCACACATGATAGTGAACTACATATCCCACACCTGATAGTGAGCTACAGATCCCACACCTGACAGTGAGCTACACTTTCCACACCTGATAGTGTGCTACATATCCCACACCTGATAGTGAGCTACAGATCCCACACGATAGTGAGCTACATATCCCACACATGATAGTGAGCTACACATCCCACACCTCATAGTGAGCTGCATGTCCCACACCTGATAGTGAGCTACACATCCCACACCTGATATTGAGCTACATAGCCCACACCTGATTGTGAGCTACACATCCCACACATGATAGTGAGCTACACATCTTACACCTGATAGTGAGCTGCATGTCCCACACCTGATATTGAGCTACACATCCCACACCTGATAGTGAGCTACACATCCCACACCTGATAGTGAGCTACACATCCCACACGATAGTTAGCTACACATCCCACACCTGATAGTTAGCTACATATCCCACACATGATAGTGATACGCAGGTCCATGTCTAATCTAGAATCTGTTTTTGTCTCCTATAGACTGAATCGGCCTCAGCTGGCCAGCAAGCAATCCTGACAGGCAGTCAAGTGTGTGTGTCTGTTGGAGTGATACGAGCAACAGGGCTGAAGGTGAGTTCTGACAGCAGGAATATGTAACCACTGTAGACCACTTATCCCATAGCCAGCAATACTGTTCATGTGCCTACATCTGGCCAGTTGCTGACTTTATATCATATACTAGTTATTTTTTTCTTATCCTCACTCATGATCTTTTGCTTATCTCCCTTTTCCTTTGCGAATGGTAGTGGAACACTTGAATCCCTTGAAGTTCCCGAAGTGGACGTAAAAATACACTCACCCACGAGTTGCCTCCCTTTTCCCACGTCAACTGTCATGTGACCAGCCTTACTTGTCACTCTCTCCCTTTTCGCCAAAGTGGATGGTTGAGCGAGCACTGGAGTCCCGTATACAGCATTATATCCTTTTTATTTAGGTCCTATTCTTCAAAATTACGCTGTGTATGGATTTGGCAATAACTACTATGTATTATATGTAAATATTTTCTAAAAATTATTTGTATTTGTGTCATAATTTCATCGCTATGTAACTTGTTTACATTTCATGAAATCTAGCAGTGTTTGCAGGCACAGGTTATCCGTGGCTTATCCTCACCCCCAATGCCTTTCATGCATAAAACCATGTTCTTCCAGCTTCGTTGTACTTATTGTGTTGATTTATCAAATCTACAATTTAATCAATATTTGTCTTATATCTATAGATGTGCCATGGATCGGGTGAGGAAGTCATCTCAAGGCACGGCTGATAAAACAGGAGATCAGCCTGCAAACCGTATGTTGCTTGCTACTGCTGAAATTGATAAAACAGGTGCTATGTTGAGTACATTGCAGGGGCAGTCTGCTGGTACAGGGGCCAAGAAGAGATCTGCTACAACGCAATTGACTCAAGCTAAGAAGAAGACATCTTCTTCTACATCGCAGAAGAAAGCATCCATTACCAGATCGGAGGGTAAATCTACGCGGCCTAGTAAGTCAACGCATCAGAAATCCTTCAACGATGAGATATTACCTCCGCATGATCGGCGACTCAATCGACTCCTGCAACGGTCACATCAGGCCAGCTGTTTGACGAAGTACGACCAATTTCTCAACGGAGTGAAGTTGAGGCACTCAACTCAGCAGCGTTCGCGAATGCTTCTTCTACACTGCAGCAGCTTCAAACAACGCAATCGTCACAATATGGCTGACATCACATATGGCTACACATCAAAAGAACACTACAGCGACGATCACAAACTATCCTGACCAGTGACGAAATGTATGATGCAATCTTCGATGTCTGGACAAATATCACTCTACAGTATGTTAGAAACTTATATGAATCAATTTCACGACAGATTATGGCCTGCATACGCTCCAAGGGGAACTTGACCAAGTCCTGAGGTGAGACATAATTCTTTTTTTGAAATATATCGCTGTTTAAAGTTTTCATACGGTCATGTGTTTACTTCCACCATTTTGAATTGTCGCGAATACTTTTGTCATCATGCTGTACACCTTTGCGAAGGTCTCCACAGTCTGACGACTATATCATCTTGGAGGAGGATAGAAGACATGAGATGCCTACTCACCGTTCTACATCTGCGAACCCTCAACGTTCGAGAACATCGAAGGATTGATCTCCTACACATAGCCATTCTAGATCGAGATCACATATCTCTCACAGACTTTCGCAAAGTCACTCATCACGAGACAGAGGTTCGCGAAGAGAAGGCTCACATCACAGAGGTTCGCGAAGGGATACATATAGCGACAGACGTTCGTGAAGAGAAAACTCACATGACAGAGGTTCGCGAAGAGATGAATCTACAGATAGAGGTTCGCAAAGAGTGGACTCTCAAGATAGACATTCGCAAAAGGATAAAAGAGGTTCGCAGAAGGATGATTCGCGGAGGCATAGCTCTACCAAGCCTAAGGGCACTTATCTGCAGCATCGAGGTCTATGCAGTACCGGTTGTCTTGATGATGGCATACAGGTTCTTCAAAGTGCCAATCAACTCAGACTGCAGCTGAACTTCACAATTAAGTTGCTCGTGCATCTAGGATGGCTAGTGAACCTGATGAAGTTGGAGTTAGAATCATACAAGATCTTCAATTGCTGGGAATAAGAATTATCACAACACAGAATCGATTTGATTTCCCAGAAGATCATTGGGTCAAGATTCCAGCCATGATTCCACAAGCAGTCATCGCTCCGTTAACACTACGAACATGGCAATGTCTACTTGGTCTACTAATCTCGGCGCAGGACTTCGACTCGCACAGGAAGATTACAACTAAGGCCGCTGCAACGGTTCCTGACAAAACATCTGGACAGCGTCGACCCTATCTTGCTGCCAGACAATCATAAGAGGTACCTACTTTGGTGGACCCACAGGTCGAACGTCTGCAGAGGGACCTATTTACAAGAGCTGGCCTTCTACACACATCTCTACTTAGACGCATCGATACACGGTTGGGGTGCACATGTCAACAATCAAGTTGCATCAAGGAAGTGGTCCAAACAGAGCAGCATTTTCACATCAATCTGCTGGAGATGAAAGCTGTGATCAACGCCTTACAACTATGGTCGAGCTCGCTGATCAACAGAATTCTGATGGTCCATACGGACAACTTTACAGTGGCATTCTCCATAAATCGGCAAGGATCTACAAAATCACCAAGCCTACTGCAGCTCACATTCCAGTTGTCTGACATCACGGAGGAGGCAAACATCTAGATAAAGGCGTGTCACATACCCAGAGCCAAGAATGTGCTTGCAGATGCTCTCTCCCGACCACAGCACCTGTCACCTACAGAATGGATGCTCCACCCAGAAGCATTTCGGCTCATCATAAGGGAAATAGGATCCCCTTGCATAGACCTGTTTGCCACGAGGTTCAACATACAACTACAGACATTTGTCATACCAGTTCCAGATCCTCAGGCCTGGGCAACAGATGCACTGAGCATATCATGGGAAGGACTAAACGCCTACGCATTTCCACCCCCGATATTACTACCGAAAGTACTGTTGAAGATCAAACAGACACTGGCGCTACAACTGACTTTGGTCGTGCCATGCTGGCCAGCGAGAGTATGGTTCCTAGACCTAATAGAAGATCTCGGAAGTCCAACAATCAAGTTACCAGATTGGCCGAACCTACTCATACATCTGCACACCAAGCAAGTCCATGGGAACCCAACACTGTTCCAGCTACAAGTGTGGACCGTATCAAAACATGTTTGAAGAAAAGGGGATACTCCGCCAGGGCAGCCAAGGCAATAACGCTAGCATTACACAGATCTACTCGTAACCTGTATGATGACAAGTGGCTGAAGTTTGAGACTTATGCAAGGCGGAAAGACTTCACTGCGATGAAAACTACTCATCCTCAAGTGGCGGAATACCTGTGTCATCTTAGACAGACTAGACATCTGAAAGGTTCGACATTCTCTACATACCTTGCTGCCATCAGTACAGTGATTACCATGAAAACAGGCATCAAGTTGACGAAAGTACCAGAATTACTTGCTCTGCTGAGATCTTTTAAACTGGAGGACCAGCAAAAGAAGTTCAGAGCTCCGTCCTGGGATCTGAATGTAATTCTACATCATCTTACAAGTGATGTCTACTAACCTCTAGACCATACTACCTTCGAGCTGCTGACACAGAAGACTCTGTTCCTGCTTGCGCTAGCCACGGCAGCTCGGATATCAGAGATACATGCGCTGGACTTTGGTTGAACCAGATTTGACACGGGGCAACATGCTGCAGTTAATCAAGGACTTCGATGGGACTTCATTGCCAAGAATCAACTACCTGGTCAGCCAGATAGACAGTTCCACGTACCAGCGCTATCTACAATCCTTGGACCAGAGGATAAAGAGGACCTATCCTTCTATCAAGCGCCTGTTCATCCCATTATCTACAGAGACATAAGCAGAAGTCTCAAGAACTATGATATCGTTCTGGATGAGAGACGTCATATTGAGAGCCTATAAAGCAGAAGGACTAGACTAGAAATTGCTCTATATCAGCAATTATGGAGGGTTGCTTTTGGAAGTCGGATACAGTGTTTGTCAACCACTACCTCCGAGACATAGTCATTGAAGACGTCTCAGGCATTCACCAATTTGGGCCTCGTTGTAGCAAAGCAACTAAAGGTTCCTCAAAGGCGCTGAGTTGGAAAATCTCACCCTTTATCACGTTGACGTGTTGATAACATTTACTTAGGAAAAGTATTAGTTTGAAAGTCCATGCGCACAGTCTGTACGGGTAAAGATCTTACCTTTATGGTAAAGGTAATCTATGGGTTGTTATAGATATCTAGTAAAAAGAAGATACTAGTATATCTTAAGCCACATGAATCAAGATGATTCAACTTGTCTGAGATGGAAGTAAGACAAGAAGTGGTCCCCCTGAGTTATAACGGAAGTTGGAAGGATCACGGAAAAGCTGTATCGCAGTTCCCATGGGGGGGATACAGGGCGTATCTAAGGACAGCTGATGAATCCACGAAGTGGCTTGACCCACCACCAATCCGTCGGATTCTATAAGCAAAATATTATGAGTAAGGATAAGAAAAAATATGTAATTTTTCAAGTAAAATTGATATTTATATACTTATCCCGACTCATGACAAGAAGCCCTCCCAACCTCATTGCTGGAAACACTTCAGATTGCACAGCAGATCCAAGTGCTCGGTCAGAAAAATCAGGAGAGAGTGACAAGTAAGGCTGGTCACATGACTGTTTACACGGGAAAAGGGAGGTAACTCGTGGGTGAGTGTATTTTTACATCCGCTTCGAGAACTTCAAGGGATTCAAGTGTTCCACTACCATTCGCAAGGAAAAGGGAGATAAGCAAAAGATCATGAGTCGGGATAAGTATAAAAATATCAATTTTACTTGAAAAATAACATGTTCCTCAGTGACCTTGACTTACGTGTATTGGCCTATGTTATAGTGTGCAGCAGAAAAGGTGTCTCACCTTGACCCTGGAATGCAGTATGCCTCAGAAGTGGGTGTCAATGCCTATGTCCGGATCAAGTTGTCTTTTCTCACTAATGAGGTAAGTGATGAGGAACTGCCTGTCAGAGTCACATGTGATGCAACATATGAAAAAAATGAACTTCATTCTGTCATTCTTAAAAAATTACTACAGATTATTCAACACTGATGTTACTCCTTAACAAAGTTTATGTTAGTGGGGATGCTAAAACTTACTTATTCCTATTTTAAGGGTGAGAGAATAACGAAGACAGTTGCTCGGACATTTTCCCCTGAGTTCTCCCACTACCTTGACTTCCCCTGTCCCTTGTTGTGGACAGACTCTAAGAATGATGGAACCAGTCTGGCTGAACTGCTGGAAATGGGGGAGGCAACTTTCGAAGTGTGGCACCAAGTTCCAGGACTACATGGAGGTATGTGTTTTATTATTCCTCGTCGCACGTGTAGAGCGATGGGGGATATAAAATAGGCTCCGTCCATTGTCTGTATGAAATGGAATACCTTAAGAACCGTTGACTTGATTCTTTTGTTCATTTCAAGGTCACAAGGGGACTTTAACATTTTACCCTTGTCAGCGAGATATCTCAAGAACCGTTCTCTGGATTTTCTTCATATTTGACACCAAGCTTCATCTAAGGAAGGCGCAGGGCCCAGTTGATTTTGGTGACCTTCAATTATTTTCAAGGTCGTGGTGACACTTTGAAGATTTCAGCATGTTAACCTGAATGTTAAAGGTCACATGCAACGTAAAACACAACTTTGCAGATTCTGATACCTTTCGGTATGGACATACCGAAACAAATAGTCAAAAATGCAAATTCAACTTATAAAGTTGAAAAATAACGCGATGAAAAAAACCGCGCGAAATCGGAGTTCAAACGTTTCACTAATTTTCCCCAGACTTTTCTGGGGAATACGGGTTTCAACAGCTGGGCTACGCTCATAGCACGTGCGCAGTGAAATAGGTGCGCGAAACTGGGAAGCAGGCTGTCTGGTGAATACCGGTGAAGGCTTTGGTGTGAGCTATTTTCATAATGTCTTGTTGATATCTCACAGGGGCTTAACTTTTATATGTTATGACAGTAAATAAACTGTTTATATAATTTCATTTGTCTATTTCACCACACGCTCTTTCTTACCGAAGTCACTTTCTCAGTTCGATACTTAAAAGCAATGTCATTATATAGCGCTGACACAATTTCTAACTGTGATATAGATATGTCGCTGTCACAGACAAAACTCAAGGTCTTGTTCTATTGACACCTGTGTGTCTGCCTGCCTGTCTGCTAATGACAATATTCAATACAATAACTGTGATCACTGACCACATGCAATTTGAACTTAACACCAATCAGGCTATACACCATAAGCAAAACGCATTGATTTATGGCCCGAGTTCGGTCTCTGTCACATTATGTAATTACACAGACAGGCAGATGTGATACTTGAACACATGACATGTTATGATGTCTGTTGATTGCAAAATGTTATACACAAAAAATGAGCATGTAGTTACAAAACCCAACATCTCTATATATACACACACAATGGCGGCATCTGCTAATGAGCCAGCCGTTACACTTGAGTGCACACCCACCCGCTCTGACTGGGTTCGGTATCCCGGCTGCTTCGTTTCGAGGGAGGTAAACCCAAGTACAAAATATTGCACTTTTGATTTGCGATTATACGCTTATAATTTGTTTATTTGTTTTTTCATGATCAGCAATGCACATTATATGTCATGAAGAAGTGATAATTGTGTTTTAATTATATTTGATTTTTTGGTTGCATGTGACCTTTAAGCTTTTCAGCAAAACACCTCAAGAACCATTCACTGGATTTTCTTCATAGACTTTCAAGATTGCTATTGAATGTTTTTTGATAATCCGTTCCTTTATTACTACTTATGCATATTTCATACACCATGACAATCATGCCAAGGTCAAAGTGAATCTTGAAAATATTTGTGTGTTTGAACAGCTACAGAGCAAAATATCAAGAGAGGTTGACTGGTCATGTTTTTGTTGATATTTAACTTCGACTTCATCTTAAACTACAACCTTCACTTTCATTACTTTTTAAGTTTGATTTGATAATTTGCAGTGGGGATTATGTCACCTTAGTGACAGGGCTTGTTTATAATTGTTGTTAACCGGTTACAGATTATAGGATGAAATGCATGTGTGTTCATTTTGGTTGTGTCATTAATGTGCTGAAATTAGCCTACTATTTATAAATGCCCCATGCACCTTATGCAGGTGTGTCATCTGTAGGAGACATACACCTGTAGGCCAAGCAATCTCCCCACGGAACCTTCTAGAGCTAAGAGGTTGTCCTAGATACTGTTAATAGAGCCTTGATTTGATAATTTGCAACAGGGATTATGTCACCTTATTGACAACTGCTTGTGTATCAGTTTTCGGATTGAATGACAGTCGGCAAATGCCCCCAGAACTTAGATGATGCAGTTATTAATGAAGGCTGTAACTGTAGGCCAGTATGTCTGACTGGCAGCAAGACTGTATGTGTGGTGTATGTTACAGGAACTGTAGGCCAGTATGTCCCGACTGGCAGCAAGACTGTATGTGTGATGTGTGTTACAGGAACTGTAGGCCAGTATGTCCCGACTGGCAGTCAGACAGTGATGGGGAGGTGTATGGTACAGAAGACTGTATGTGTGGTGTATGTTACAGGAACTGTAGGCCAGTATGTCCCGACTGGCAGCAAGACTGTATGTGTGGTGTATGTTACAGGAACTGTAGGCCAGTATGTCCCGACTGGCAGTCAGACAGTGATGGGGAGGTGTATGGTACAGAAGACTGTATGTGTGATGTGTGTTACAGGAACTGTAGGCCAGTATGTCCCGACTGGCAGTGAGACAGTGATGGGGAGGTGTATGGTACAGAAGACTGTATGTGTGTGTATGTACAGGAACTGTAGGCCAGTATGTCCGACTGGCAGTGAGACAGTGATGGGGAGGTGTATGGTACAGAAGACTGTGTGTGATGTGTGTTACAGGAACTGTAGGCCAGTATGTCCCGACTGGCAGCCAGACAGTGATGGGGAGGTGGGTACAGAAGACTGTATGTGTGGTGTATGTTGTGCGAACTGTAGGCCAGTATGTCCCGACCGGCAGTGAGACAGTGATGGGGAGGTGTATGGCACAGAAGACCGTATGTGTGATGTGTGATACAGGAACTGGCCAGTATGTCCCACTGGCAGCCGGTGACAGTGATGGGGAGGTGTATGGTACAGAAGACTGTATGTGTGGTGTATGTTACAGGAACTGTAGGCCAGTATGTCCCGACTGGCAGCAAGACTATATGTGTAGTGTGTGTTACAGGAACTGTAGGCCAGTATTTCCCGACTGGCAGTCAGACAGTGATGGGGAGGTGTATGGTACAGAAGACTGTATGTGTGGTGTATGTTACAGGAACTGTAGGCCAGTATGTCCCGACTGGCAGTCAGACAGTGATGGGGAGGTGTATGGTACAGAAGACTGTATGTGTGATGTGTGTTACAGGAACTGTAGGCCAGTATGTCCCGACTGGCAGCGAGACAGTGATGGGGGGGGTGTATGGTACAGAAGACTGTATGTGTGGTGTATGTTACAGGAACTGTAGGCCAGTATGTCCCGACTGGCAGTGAGACAGTGATGGGGAGGTGTATGGTACAGAAGACTGTATGTGTGATGTGTGTTACAGGAACTGTAGGCCAGTATAAGTCCCACGACTGGCAGCTGCAGACAGTGATGGGGAGGTGTGGGTACAGAAGGCTGTATGTGTGGTGTATGTTACAGGAACTGTAGGCCAGTATGTCCCGACTGGCAGCAAGACTGTATGTGTAGTGTGTGTTACAGGAACTGTAGGCCAGTATTTCCCGACTGGCAGTCAGACAGTGATGGGGGAGGTGTATGGTACAGAAGACTGTATGTGTGGTGTATGTTACAGGAACTGTAGGCCAGTATGTCCCGACTGGCAGTGAGACAGTGATGGGGAGGTGTATGGTACAGAAGACTGTATGTGTGATGTGTGTTACAGGAACTGTAGGCCAGTATGTCCCGACTGGCAGCCAGACAGTGATGGGGAGGTGTATGGTACAGAAGACTGTATGTGTGATGTGTGTTACAGGAACTGTAGGCCAGTATGTCCTGACTGGCAGCGAGACAGTGATGGGGAGGTGTATGGTACAGAAGACTGTATGTGTGATGTGTGTTACAGGAACTGTAGGCCAGTATGTCCCGACTGGCAGCGAGACAGTGATGGGGAGGTGTATGGTACAGAAGACTGTATGTGTGATGTATGTTACAGGAACTGTAGGCCAGTATGTCCCGACTGGCAGCAAGACTGTATGTGTGGTGTATGTTACAGGAACTGTAGGCCAGTATGTCCCGACTGGCAGCAAGACTGTATGTGTGGTGTATGTTACAGGAACTGTAGGCCAGTATTTCCCGACTGGCAGCAAGACTGTATGTGTGATGTGTGTTACAGGAACTGTAGGCCAGTATGTCCCGACTGGCAGTCAGACAGTGATGGGGAGGTGTATGGTACAGAAGACTGTATGTGTGGTGTATGTTGCAGGAACTGTAGGCCAGTATGTCCCGACTGGCAGTGAGACAGTGATGGGGAGGTGTATGGTACAGAAGACTGTATGTGTGGTGTATGTTACAGGAACTGTAGGCCAGTATGTCCTGACTGGCAGTGAGACCGTGATGGGGAGGTGTATGGTACAGAAGACTGTATGTGTGATATGTGTTACAGGAACTGTAGGCCAGTATGTCCCGACTGGCAGCGAGACAGTGATGGGGAGGTGTATGGTACAGAAGACTGTATGTGTGATGTGTGTTACAGGAACTGTAGGCCAGTATGTCCCGACTGGCAGTCAGACAGTGATGGGGAGGTGTATGGTACAGAAGACTGTACGTGTGATGTGTGTTACAGGAACTGTAGGCCAGTATGTCCCGACTGGCAGTCAGACAGTGATGGGGAGGTGTATGGTACAGAAGACTGTATGTGTGGTGTATGTTACAGGAACTGTAGGCCAGTATGTCCCGACTGGCAGCAAGACTGTATGTGTGATGTATGTTACAGGAACTGTAGGCCAGTATGTCCCGACTGGCAGTCAGACAGTGATGGGGAGGTGTATGGTACAGAAGACTGTATGTGTGATGTGTGTTACAGGAACTGTAGGCCAGTATCTCCCGACTTGCAGTGAGACAGTGATGGGAGGTGTATGGTACAGAAGACTGTATGTGTGATGTGTGTTACAGGAACTGTAGGCCAGTATCTCCCGACTTGCAGTGAGACAGTGATGGGAGGTGTATGGTACAGAAGACTGTATGTGTGATGTATGTTACAGGAACTGTAGGCCAGTATGTCCCGACTGGCAGTGAGACAGTGATGGGGAGATGTATGGTACAGAAGACGGGAGATGTGCTGCTGGGAACCACAACTGTTAAGCTGGTGTCTCTGCTGACGCACAGGACAGGTAAACTGATACTGGCTAGCTGACAGGCGGCTGAACAGCTGGTCTTGATGAAATGGTCGAGATGACCAAATGAAAAATGCAATGTTTCTTTAAAAGAATTAAGAATGACAAAAATATTTAACATCTGTCCAGAGTGAAGATATCCAGGAACTAGGAGTTGACAATGGTCTCCTGGAAACCATGCCCTTCATGAGCGGCAACTAGCAATATCACTATCACGTTGTGATGGTCACTGACCTTATGTATGTCACATCATAGTTACTGGATTGATTGGTCCAGACTCAACTATTTACAAACCTACATCATATAGCAGGAGTATGGCTGAGTGTGGCTTTTTACAACAGACCAATGTACATATCTGAATATCTAACTACATTGGCAGGTCTGCTGGGCTGGCACCCAGTAACAATTCCATCGTTGGGATGGAAGACTTCGGAGGAAGGGGACGGGTGTGTTCAACATGGGCTGCAGCAAGTGGGCGGGGGCCTGGAATTATCCATCAGGTTTGCCCACCAGGAAGATCGGGAGAAGGTCATCCATGCTGGTCGGAGTGTTGGGTGGTCCCCGACTCTACTGGGCCTGGAGGATGAGGAGGACTGGGAGACAGAGGGTAGGTGGAGGGATAACTGAATAAACTCAAAGTGCCATATTAAGATGAGTGATCTAGTGTTACCACCTGACAGTACTCTATGTTTGTAGATGAGTGATCCAGTGCTATGATCTGACAGTAGTCTTTGTTTGTAGAAGAGTGATCTAGTGTTACCACCTGCCAGTACTTTATGTTTGTAGAAGAGTGATCTAGTGTTACCACCTGACAGTACTCTATGTTTGTAGATGAGTGATCCAGTGCTATGATCTGACAGTACTCTATGTTTGTAGAAGAGTGATCTACTGTTATCACCTGACAGTACTCTATGTTTGTAGAAGAGTGATCTAGTGTTACCACCTGACAGTACTCTATGTTTGTAGAAGAGTGATCTAGTGTTACCACCTGACAGTACTCTATGTTTGTAGATGAGTGATCTAGTGTTACCACCTGCCAGTACTCTATGGTTGTAGAAGAGTGATCTAGTGTTACCACCTGACAGTACTCTATATTTGTAGAAGAGTGATCCAGTGCCATGATCTGACAGTGGTCTTTGTTTGTAGAAGAGTGATCTAGTGTTACCACCTGACAGTACTCTATGTTTGTAGATGAATGATCTAGTGCTATGATCTGACAGTACTCTATGTTTGTAGAAGAGTGATCTAGTGTTACCACCTGACAGTACTCTATGTTTGTAGATGAGTGATCTAGTGTTACCACCTGACAGTACTCTATGTTTGTAGATGAGTGATCCAGTGCTATGATCTGACAGTACTCTATGTTTGTAGAAGAGTGATCTAGTGTTACCACCTGACAGTACTCTATGTTTGTAGATGAATGATCCAGTGCTATGATCTGACAGTACTCTATGTTTGTAGATGAGTGATCTAGTGTTACCACCTGACAGTACTCTATGTTTGTAGATGAGTGATCCAGTGCTATGATCTGACAGTACTCTATGTTTGTAGAAGAGTGATCTAGTGTTACCACCTGACAGTACTCTATGTTTGTAGATGAGTGATCTAGTGTTACCACCTGACAGTACTCTATGTTAATAGAAGAGTCATCTAGTGTTACCACCTGACAGTACTCTATGTTTGTAGATGAGTGATCCAGTGCCATGATCTGACAGTAGTCTTTGTTTGTAGAAGAGTGATCTAGTGTTACCACCTGACAGTACTCTATGTTTGTAGATGAATGATCTAGTGCTATGATCTGACAGTACTCTATGTTTGTAGAAGAGTGATCTAGTGTTACCACCTGTCAGTACTCTATGTTTGTAGATGAGTGATCTAGTGTTACCACCTGACAGTACTCTATGTTTGTAGATGAGTGATCTAGTGCTACCACCTGACAGTACTCTATGTTTGTAGATGAGTGATCCAATGCCATGATCTGACAGTAGTCTTTGTTTGTAGAAGAGTGATCTAGTGTTACCACCTGACAGTACTCTATGTTTGTAGATGAATGATCTAGTGCTATGATCTGACAGTACTCTATGTTTGTAGAAGAGTGATCTAGTGTTACCACCTGTCAGTACTCTATGTTTGTAGATGAGTGATCTAGTGTTACCACCTGACAGTACTCTATGTTTGTAGATGAGTGATCTAGTGCTACCACCTGACAGTACTCTATGTTTGTAGATGAGTGATCTAGTGTTACCACCTGACAGTACTCTATGTTTGTAGATGAGTGATCCAGTGCTATGATCTGACAGTACTCTATGTTTGTAGAAGAGTGATCTAGTGTTACCACCTGACAGTACTCTATGTTTGTAGAAGAGTGATCTAGTGCTATGATCTGACAGTACTCTGTTTGTAGATGAGTGATCTAGTGTTACCACCTGACAGTACTCTATGTTTGTAGAAGAGTGATCTAGTGCTATGATGAGACAGTACTCTATGTTTGTAGATGAGTGATCTAGTGTTACCACCTGACAGTACTCTATGTTTGTAGAAGAGTGATCCAGTGCTATGATCTGACAGTACTCTATGTTTGTAGATGAGTGATCTAGTGTTACCACCTGACAGTACTCTATGTTTGTAGAAGCGTGATCTAGTGCTATGATCTGACAGTACTCTATGTTTGTAGATGACTGATCTAGTGTTACCACCTGACAGTACTCTATATTTGTAGATGAGTGATCCAGTGCTATGATCTGACAGTACTCTATGTTTGTAGATGAGTGATCTAGTGTTACCACCTGACAGTACTCTATGTTTGTAGAAGAGTGATCCAGTGCTATGATCTGACAGTACTCTATGTTTGTAGATGAGTGATCTAGTGTTACCACCTGACAGTACTCTATGTTTGTAGATGAGTGATCCAGTGCTATGACAGTACTCTATGTTTGTAGGAGAGTGATCTAGTGTTACCACCTGACAGTACTCTATGTTTGTAGAAGAGTGATCCAGTGCTATGATCTGACAGTACTCTATGTTTGTAGATGAGTGATCTAGTGTTACCACCTGACAGTACTCTATATTTGTAGAAGAATGATCCAGTGCTATGATCTGACAGTAGTCTTTGTTTGTAGATGAGGCTTCCCATGGTCAGTGTAACCAGCTCACGATAAGTGTGCAGGATGTCTGCTTCCCTCTACAAAATGCTCTCCTGACAGGCCACACCCAGCTTGAGCCTTCAGCCAAGTGCTATATCAGATACAAGTTCTATGACAAAGGTAACTTACAGTGATCAACATTGTAACATTGAAGTTTCTGTGCATGTATGTGAAGTTCATGACAGTTTCAGTACACAACGTGTGTTTCTATTGTTACATTTCACTGTGCAGGTGCTGTGTCCACCAAGCTGTCAGTGTTGCAACAGAATGAGGATGCCTCCGTCTCCACTACCTTTCGTCATAAACACTGCTTCTTAGTGCCGAGGTCCAGTCCTTTCCACTGGTAAGTTTATCACTGCCTCACAACACTTCTTGACTGCATCACGACACTACCTGACTACATCATGACACAACCTGACTGCATCGCAACACTACCTGACTGCATCACAACACTACCTGACTGCCTCACAACACTACCTCACTGCATCACAACACTGCCTGACTGCGACACAACACTGCCTGACTGCATTACGACACTACCTGACTGCATCACAACACTACCTGACTGCATCACAACACTACCTGACTGCATCACAACACTACCTGACTCATCACGACACTACCTCACTGCATCACAACACTGCCTGACTGCGACACAACACTGCCTGACTGCATCACAACACTACCTGACTGCATCACAACACTACCTGACTGCCCCACAACACTGCCTGACAACACTACCTGACTGCCTCTCAACACTACCTGACAGCCTCACAACACTACATGACTACATCACGATACTACCTGACTGCCTCTCAACACTACCTGACTGCATCACGACACTACCTGACTACATCATGACACTACCTGACTGCCTCACAACACTACCTGACTGCATCACGACACTACCTGCCTACATCATGACACTACCCGACTGCTTCATAACACTACCTGACTGCCTCACAACACTACCTGACTGCATCACGACACTACCTGACTGCCTCACAGCACTACCTGACTGCATCACGACACTACCTGAATACATCATGACACTACCTGACTGCCTCACAACACTACCTGACTCCATCACGACACTACCTACATCATGGCACTACCTAACTGCTTCATAACACTACCTGACTGCCTCACAACACTACCTGACTGCATTACGACACTACCTGACTGCCTCACAACACTACCTGACTGCATCACGACACTACCTGAATACATCATGACACTACCTGACTGCATCACGACACTATCTGACTGCCCCACAACACTACCTGACTGCCTCACGACACTACCTGACTGCCCCACATCACTACCTGACTACATCATGACACTACCTGACTACATCATGACACTACCTGACTGCATCACGACACTACCTGCCTGACTGCCCCACAACACTACCTGACTACATCACGATACTACATGACTGCATCACGACACTACCTCACTGCCACACAATAATGCCTCAAACACACAACACCACCTCACTGCACACATCCTGATATATCCTTCATATGATACCTTGCTTGTTATGGTTATACTCTGCCTGGTATGCCCTGCCTGTTCTGCCTGTAGGTATTTACGTGAGGAAAGGCTGGAGGTACAGGTTTGGGTGAGTTATGTGTCCGGCAGAGACAAGCAGAGTCGTCCCCATCACCGTGACAAGCTGGTGGGATCAGCCTACATAGAGCTGGGCAGTCTTGCTGACACTTCCAGAAAACAGCATCGTCTCAGGTACTCTGCTTTCAGACATTTCCAACCTGAGATTGATTTGAATCTTATGTTGCCATGGAGTTATTGTTATTGCCCGGAAAGCGGAAGGTCATGGGTTTGGATCCCCAACCGCGTCTCACCAAAAGATGTTAAAATATGGTACTTGTTGATTCCTGCCTGGCACTCGGCATTAATGGGTACAACAAGGACTGGTCAGCTCGGAGTCAGTATATATCATGCGTCTGAGTTGGGTATTCATGCTTCACTGCGGCAAGGTATCTCAGTGGGCTAGCACTATAAAACCAGCTTAAGTCTGGGCTGGTACAAGCAGCCGCACATACACATACACAAGCATGCACGTCGTCATATGAGCGAAATATTCTTAAGTACGATGTACACCCAATTTCACCTCACCTCACCTTATTGCCAAGAATGTGAAAACAGGAAAATAAATTTTTCCTTATCCTGACTCATGCTAAATGCTTGTCTCCTCCTTCTTGCGAATGATAGTGGAATCCTTAAAATCCCTTGCAGTTCCCTTCTAAAAAGCGGAAGTAAAATCATCACTCACCCACGAGTAGGCTCCCTTGCCTCCTTTGGCACCCTTTTGGTCACATGACCTGCTATGTTTGCCACTCTCTCCTTCGCCCTTGAGGACGGTCGTGAGAGCACCTGGGTCCCGATACGGCACATATCCTTTACCATTTTGGACCTTTTACATCTAAATGGCAGCTGAATACGGTTTTTTGATTGATATTATCAAATGATTTGATATTATGTCTAAATTATACGTTGTTTGCCATGTTTTTCATCTGGTTTACAATTGATGAAAACTTGTATTCGTTGTAGGTACCGGCTGTCTGTGGCTGACCGCATATATTATGTCCTGATTGCACTACTACATGTTCTTCCAGCTCTCGCTGTAAACATTGTCAGAAACTAACTACTTTTGAATTTAATAATTACCTCTTTTTCTCTTCATAGATGTGCAAAGGACTGGGTAAGAAGGTATTCACAAGTCATGTCTAGTAAATCGAGTGATTGCGCTGATAAACGTGTGTTAACTACTGCTGCCGAGGTTCATAATTCCAGTGAATTGCCGAGCGTTTTACGAGGATAGGATGCTGTTCCAGTGATGAACTCCATCTCGATTAAGTAGAGATCGTCGTCAATGAAGCTGTCCTCATCGCAGACGAAGAAGACAAGATTTTCTTCTGCACAGAAGAAGTCAACAGCTCCTAAGACTTTGTCGAAGTCTCTTCACAGCTCTACGCAGAAGACAAGACCCTTCACTGCCCATATTGTACCTCCGGAAGAAGCAGACGTGTATGATGATCCCCATCATCATACCGGAAGTTTCAGTCGTCAGCAAGAAGACGAAGCCTGCTTCAACAGCTACATCGGCAACTATATCAGCACAGACATTGACAGAAGACCTTCTATCAACGCAGACATCGGGTACCAGAGATAGCAGCAGCGTCAACTCTTCACAAGTGCAGCGTACCTTAGAAGAGGCCTCAACGTTCTCAGAAGCATCATCAACCCTGCAGCAGTCTCAACATACGTCGCAGAACTTCAACCCGGGGCTGTTTGTGGAACAGTGTACAGATCAGATGATGTCGATGATGGAACATCGCTTCGCGCAGGAGGTAGCTGCTACGAAGACCACTACGACAACTACAAGCCTGAGCGAAGGTTCAGCAGCCTCTCCAACGCACCTGGATGAAGAGGAAAGCCTGCGCGAAGGCCCACGCACCTGATGATCTTCAACGTCTGAAGCTAGATGTAGACAACGCTACCAACGTCAGCTCAGCCTTACACGTCCCCGAAGGAGCCTCTAAGATGCTCCACACAGAAGCAGATTGACACGTTCTCCAGAACCCTACAGATGCCGCAGATATAGATCGTCATCAACATCAGACTTACACTCACATCGGGAACCTGCACACAGGCACTCCACATCTCACAGAGGGGAGATTACGTCATTCAGCCTTCGTGAAAGCTTAGAGAGATATCTCAGGACTCCAGGAGGAATATACGGTCACACCGGGACCCTTCACCTGCATGCAGCTCTACATACAGATCTACATACAGAGACTCACGTCATTATGGATGTTCAGATAGGGAAATGTCCAAGTTCACCGTCTGAAGTTAGAAGTCTGGAGAACTCTACTAACGTCAGCTCAGCATAGCAGACCCCTCCGATGACAGTCGCCCTGCGCGAAGGAATATTAGCTATGCAAGCTCTCTCGGATGAAGGCCTGCATGAACGGTTATGTTTGCGAAGATCTTTACCGTCAGAAGTATCAGCAGAAAGAAGCGTTAGCAGTCCACGATGGAGCCTCCATGCAGTTTCAGCATCTCAGCAGAAAGTAGATCCAGTCGTTCTCCAGGATTCTACAAACTCCGCAGATGCGGATCTTCTAACTTGGACCTTCATCAACTTGCGGCAGGCACTCACAGGGAGGATTATAATCAGAGTCAGCTTGTCCTGCCGTTCAACGATAGCAGATTACCCCTTCATCATACGGAGCCCTTCATGATAACATCAGGGTTTGAGATTACAAGATCATCGGTGAATCCTGTAATAGATCTTCAAGGTGGAAGATAAGAAGATAATGCAACTGCACACTACAACTAAATGTTGGCTATGTTGGATCAACGCGTGGCTGAAGGAAGAGACGCATACCTGAAGAAACAATGTCAGATAACATCCAATGAAACACTGAAGATGAATTTTCATCACATGGGCTTACAAGATATCAAGGGGACAGTTAACAGCATTGTTGCAGTTTCTCAGCGAGACATCGCTTACGGTCAACTTTACAGAACGTCTGTATAAGATGACGACAGCAGTAAAGATTATGAAGTCAAAGAATACAGTCACAACAGACAGGGAGCAGTCTGCTTACATCGGTACTATGCGGCGAAGTTTTCGCACGCTTCCACTCAGCCATCTATACACGTGTTCACTCGTGTAACTCTGGCACACGCCGAACAGAGAGGTTACGGACAAGGCCGAGTGTTGACAATGTAATCAGCATTTACCTGCAACACCGGTGACATCACATGTGTAATCTGATTGGTCCATGAGAGACAACTCCCTCCGCAGAACTTGGTCATAGTCGCGTGCCAGGAAGTCATCTACAGTTGTAAACAACTCTTTCAACGTGGGAAGGGCTCCATTTACAGTCCAGTTAGCAGGGTACAGACAGTAGGAACTCCGCTGATAGACCTGTTTGCAACAAAGTTCAACAAACATTCGTCTCCCCGATTCCGGATCCTCAGGCATGGGCAAATGCTTTAAGCATCTCATGGGAAGGACTAAACGCATACGCGTTTCCACCTCCAGCACTATTACCACAAGTAATACAGAAAATCAAGCAGACGACAACGTTGCAACTGATTTTGGTCGTGCCCTATTGGCCAGCGAGGGTATGGTTTTCCGTCCTCATACAAGAACTCGGAAGTCAACCCTGAAACTACCAGAGTGGTTGAACCTGCTCGTCCATCCACACACCAAGCAAGCTAATGGGAATCCGGCATTGTTCCAGCTACATGTGTGGAGCGTATTAAAGCTTGCCAGAAGACTAGAGGGTACTCCGCCAGAGCAGCGAAAGCAGTGACACTAGGTCTACGCAGATCAACTCACAACTTGTACGACGACAAGTGGCAGAGCTTTGAACCGTATGCAATGAGGAAAGGCTTTACAGTGGTAAAAGCAACCCATCCTCAAGTGGCGGAATACCTGTGTCATTTGCGACAGATGAGACACTTAAAAGGTTCAACACTCTCAATGTACCTGGCTGCTCTCAGCACAGTTATCACCATGAAGACGGGTGTCAAACTGACCAAAGTACCAGAGATACTGGCACTTCTACGCTCGTTCAAGTTGGAAGACCAACAAAAGAAACTCAAGGCTCCTGCCAGGGACCTCAAAGTAGTTCTACAACATCTCACTAGTGACGCCTACGAGCCTCTAGAACGGACATCCTTTGAACTACTGACACAGAAAACACTGTTCCTGATCGCCCTAGCAACAGCAGCACGGATGTCAGAAATACATGCTCTGGACTTTGAACGAACACAATTTGAATCAAGACATCGTGACATCGTACATCTAGGACTGAGATGGGACTTTATTGCCAAGAACCAACTGCCCGGCCAGCCTGACAGATAGTTCTACATCCCAGCACTCTCTACAGTCCTTGGGTCACAGGATACACAGGATTTATCCTTATGCCCTGTCAGAGCACTGAAAGTCTAGTTACAAAGGACAAAAACAAGGAGACGAAAGTTCAAGCGCCCTACTTATCCCCTTATCCACTGAGACGCCCATGGAAGTCTCACGGACAACTATATCAGTATGGATGAGAGCCGATATACTAAGGGCCTACAAAACAACAGGACTTTAGCCTCCAAGAGCCTCCAATCCACACGAAGTCAGAGCCCAGGCATCTACACTTGCTCTGCATGGAAACTGCTCGATTACAACAATAATGGAAGGCTGCTTTTGTAAATCAGACAGTGTTTGCCAGCCACTACCTCAGAGACATTGCCACCGAAGACGTCTCAGGCATTCACCAGTTTGGGGCACTTGTTGTAGCACAACAACTAACGGTTCCACAAAGGTGCTGAGAAAAATCTCAACCTTTTATCATGTGACTTGTGAAAACCAATGCTCTGGAGAGCACATGGTTAAAGTCCATGCACACGTCTCGGACACACTAGCATGAGTGATAGACCCTGTACTTGTATAGGACTTACTCGTACATGAAGAAGGGTCGCATCTCCACTTGATGCACGCATCAAGAGATGGAGTTGCAGTAGATAACTAATGGAACATTAGTATATCTAAAATCAACACGGAAATGTCAGGAAAAGTTTCGGAAGAAATCTGACAAGTTGTGGTTCTTTTCAACCCCCCAACCTCCCCTCTCAGGGCACTCTGATTTCCCGGTAAATCCGGGTGTCGGGCGTACAAACGGAGAGAGTGACAAACGTAGTTGGTCATGTGACCAAAAGGGCGCCAAAGTAGGGAAGGGAGACTACTCTTGGGTGAGTGATGATTTTACGTCCGCATTTTAGAAGGGAACTACAAGGGATTTCAAGTGTTCCACTGTCATTCGCAAGAAGAAGGAGACAAGCATTTAGCATGAGTCAGGATAATATAAAATATCAATTTTAGTCAGAAAAATACATTTCTAAAGTATTATTTGAAGATGGTTGATGATGTTATTCTGATGCCTACTGTCCAAACATTCCAGTGGTGTGTACTCAGTCTTGAAGCCAGGAGCAGCCAGTCTGGGAGGGGCGTGTGTCCACACTCAAGTGACCAGTAAACTCCTGACCAAGGGCATGACACAGGTAGGTGACAGCCATGATCAGATACCCTCCATGTTGAGATAAAGGTAATGCTAAATGTCCATGGATGGTCAGATGTGAGACCTCGTGGAAATGTTATTGAGGACTCACCTATTGTCACTCATGACTGTAGCTGATGTGGAGAGCCTGTATTTGGACTGTTGTAACACTCATCCTTCTGTGTTGTCCTCCTCACAGGCCATGGAGGACAATGAGGACGTGGTCGAGAATGAGCTGTCTGAGGAGGACTATGACACAGAGGACAGCTTCCATCACCTTAGAACAGAAAGTACTCACAAGGTGAAGGACAAGTACCTCCACTCCGCTGACAGCTGCTCTCCAAGGTTTGCTGTGCACATCTTCATAGAGAGAGCAATGCATCTGCCTCGGGTGACAGAGAAAAACAAGTAAGTCTCTCAAAATCGGGTAGGGTTTGTTCACAGTGTACAGTGCATACATAATTAGTCATATACGTTGTTACTGATGATATGAGGGGTTATTGTGTTATAAGGTGTTCTGATATTGTAGGGAAATAACTTGATATCATACCTGTTGGGATTCTGGATTAGAATATGTCTGCACTAACCTGTTTTGGTTGTCTGACTTAGAAACTTGGTTGATTATATGTCAGCCTACCCCAAGAACATGGGATAGTGTACTGGTTGATAGTCAGCTAATGACAGGCCATTGACAAATATGAATACACAATGTCATTTAGAAAGTTGTCAAATGTAACATATGTTTTATTTGGGGTTACACTTCTCAGTAAAGTACAGATTCTAGTACTTTTGTTGGGTTGAAGCATGGAAGCTTCGGTGGCTGAGCGGGTTAGATGGCTGACTTTGTGTGCTGGCGATTAGGTGCCTGACTCTGAGGGTGTGGGTTGGAATCCCAGATGGGACTCAACCCAACAAGAGTACTAGAATCTGTTCTTTACTGAGAAAGTGTAATCCCAAACATAACATATGTTATATTGACAAATAGTTGGAATATTGCTAAGTTTAAACTTAAACAACAGACATTTATCATGTTATAAGGTGTTGTTATTCTTTATGGTGTTGTGCTGGGTTTGGCTTTAAACAACAAACAGTAATCGTGTTATAAGGTGTTGTTGTTATATAAGGTGTTGTGCTGGGTTTAGCTTTAAACAACAAACAGTAATCGTGTTATAAGGTGTTGCTGTTATATAAGGTGTTCTCATGGTATGCTCAGGTGTGGCGAGAGTGAGCCCAGTACATACGTATCGTACCAGACGGCAGAGAAGTCAACCCCGTCATGCACAGCCATTATTCCCCAAACTTCCAATCCAGTGTGGGAGCATGAGGACCATACCCATCTCTCCACCGAGCTGCTGTACCAGGACAACAAGGTGCTGCTATATCTTAATGTCACCTGATTCGCCAGTACATGATGTAACTGTGTGTTTGCAGATATATGTGTAATGTCAGCTGATTCACCAGTACATGATGTAACTCTGTGTATGCAGATATATGTGTAATGTCAGCTGATTCACCAGTACATGATGTAACTGTGTGTTTGCAGATATATGTGTAATGTCAGCTGATTCACCAGTACATGATGTAACTCTGTGTTTGCAGATATATGTGTAATGTCAGCTGATTCACCAGTACATGATGTAACTCTGTGTTTGCAGATATATGTGTAATGTCAGCTGATTCACCAGTACATGATGTAACTCTGTGTTTGCAGATACAGTATATGTGTAATGTCAGCTGATTCACCAGTACATGATGTAACTCTGTGTTTGCAGATATATGTGTAATGTCAGCTGAGGCTGTTTTGTTTATACGCCAGTATATATGTGCTGCTTCTGTGGAACCTGGAACAGCTAGTTCCTGATTAGCGGTACTAATATTATGACCACTAGTTATGTGTAGTTAACTAAGAAGAGAACTGCTAATGAAAATTTTAACCTAGTGTAAACCTAAGTGCTCTACCTTCTGTGGGACCTAGTGTAAACCTAAAGGTTCCACTTCCTGCAGAACCTAGAGTTAACCCAAGTATTTCATCTCTTAGAACCTAGTACTGAAGGTGTGGCACAAGCCAGTAGAGGCAGCCAAGCAGCCGGACAAGTCAAGTGACCGCGTCCTGGGGTTTGTGACAGTGGACCTGGCACCTCTGTCATCAGGACTACTGCAGATCTGTGGCTGGTACAACATACTTGACTTCACCGGACAGTGCAAAGGGCAAATCAAGGTGAGATAGTGATATTGGTTATGGTTAGTGACAAGGCAGTCCTCTAGATTAACAGTCAATGAAACATCTGTCAACCTATCTGGTGTACAGGCATGGTATTGGTTTTGTGAGGCCCTTGACTCATGATATAAAACCCTGGGAGACTTTCATTGACTCGGAAACAGCATGCATCTTTATACTTCAAAGAGGGGCATAAGGGATTTATTCAACTCAGAAATGTATTTCCTGCCCAAGCTAAATACATAGTATTTTATTAAGATCATGCAAACTTCATGGAATTATGAATATGACTGATCTCATGTTCGATTCCATGGATATGAGTCTTTGTTATATCCAGGTGAGCATTGTCCCAGAAGAACCACTGAGCCAGTCTCCGCAGCCAGATGGAGTGTCTTCACAGGTGGGTACATGTTGGATGATCTTGGGATGATTGTTTCAAAATGATGGAAGTCTGGTATTTGGCCTGGCCAGATATGTCAAGTAACTAAATACTAAATTTACATTCTGACTTCTGTAACTTTCTAGATTTCAACACAAGCTGTAAATTTTAACGTTATGGCATTCTGCCTAGCGTCTATTCTTGTAGACATATGACAGTTAACCAATAAGCCATGTAATAGTCCCTCTCTCCCCTGCACAGACCAGCCTCCCCTCCCGTGTGTCCAGCAGCTTCCATCATGTTCCTTCCCTCCACCTGCAACCAGCATCACTCCCTGCATCGCTGCCACGCCTCCAGGAGCACATGGCCATCATCAGACAGCAGTTGCAGCAGAGACAGGCCGAGTCACTCCCGGCAGCCGATGTCTCCCCCACAGCAGACACCCAGCACTGGCAGCCCCACTTCCCGAACCTCCCTGATCCAACACAGGATACGTCCAAGTCCTACCTCTTCACGTCACTCAGGTCAGGACATATGTGTACATGAGATCACATTATATTCACCTAACTGCAAAAATGGATCTTCACACAATTGCAGTCTTCTTGTAACTTGAGATGGAATGTGACATGAGAGGCAAAAGTTACGTCCCCCTATATACCTAGACTCTAGACGATTCTCCATCTCCCTGTGTGTAACCTGATCATGTTGACTGTTGCAATTCTGTCTATGTATAACATGTATTGACCTGAAAATGTTGAGATGTTGACTGTTGCAAGACTGTCTATGTGTAACATGTATTGACCTGACAATGTTGAGATGTTGACTGTTGCAAGACTGTCTATGTGTAACATGTATTGACCTGACAATGTTGAGATGTTGACTGTTGCAAGACTGTCTATGTATAACATGTATTGACCTGACAATGTTGAGATGTTGACTGTTGCAAGACTGTCTATGTGTAACATGTATTGACCTGACAATGTTGAGATGTTGACTGTTGCAAGACTGTCTATGTGTAACATGTATTGACCTGACAATGTTGAGATGTTGACTGTTGCAATACTGCCTATGTATAACACGTATTGACCTGACAATGTTGAGATGTTGACTGTTGCAATACTGTCTATGTATAACATGTATTGACCTGACAATGTTGAGATGTTGACTGTTGCAATACTGTCTATGTATAACATGTATTGACCTGACAATGTTGAGATGTTGACTGTTGCAAGACTGTCTATGTGTAACATGTATTGACCTGACAATGTTGAGATGTTGACTGTTGCAATACTGCCTATGTATAACACGTATTGACCTGACAATGTTGAGATGTTGACTGTTGCAATACTGTCTATGTATAACATGTATTGACCTGACAATGTTGAGATGTTGACTGTTGCAATACTGTCTATGTATAACATGTATTGACCTGACAATGTTGAGATGTTGACTGTTGCAAGACTGTCTATGTATAACATGTATTGACCTGACAATGTTGAGATGTTGACTGTTGCAGGAAGCAGCTGGAGGACTTAGACAGCATCACTTCTCGGTTGAAGGAGAAGCTTGGATCTGACAGTGTTGAGGATGGAGAGAGACAGCCAGTGAGAACATCTAGGATGGTCCTGACTGGCACATTTGCTGGTCTGAGTACAATCCATTCTGTGTCCTCACAGGGAGATGCTGTGGAACACATAGAGGGGAACAGTGGTGTGTCTCGTTCCTCTAACATCGCTGCTGATTCAGGAGCCTACTCTGTGGAGAACTCCTCAGAAAACACAGGTGCTGACAGCCAGAGAAGTGAGCGACCAGGCATGTTCACAACGCCACGTGATCCTGGATCTAGTAACAACGGCTCAGATTCTGGTGTCAACAAAGACTCAAGCTCAAGTCTGAGAACACCGAGAGAATGGCAGGACTCAAATGGTATTGGCCTGCCACAAGTGCAAATAAACTCTGCCAAGGATTTAACAAATAATAGTGATAGGTTGGTTTTCACCGAAGGAGGCGATGTTATGGGTGAGTTCCTCATGACAGTGGACACCCCACGGGATGGGCTGTCTAACTATGAGACCAGCCAGGGATTCGTGCCAGGTCAGATGCTGCCATCTCCCAGCCAAGGCTCCATGGAGTCCAGACCTCATGCTAGGAGTCACGTGGAGCAAGACATCCAGGAGAGTATGCAAGAGTCGGACTCAGACAGGGAGGAGGGGGAGCAGTACGGGAACTACCACCGCTACCGAGAGATGCTGGACAGTGAGGAGTTGGAAGCTGATGATGAAGGTGAGGGAGTGGAGATTGTTCATCCTCGAAGGATTAACGATGTGTCCGGCATGCTTGCCGGCTGCTATTCAGGACTGAAAGGTGATTCTGATGGGAGACTTGTCAGTAATGGTCAAAGTCAGGGTTTTGATGACCCACGATGTGAAGCAGCCCAGACTGTTGCAAAAGATGATAAAACAGTTCAGAAAACACACTTAGCTCAGCCTGGATTCAGACAAGTCCAGCAAACTTATGGAGAAGATAGTGTACACCATGACACAGAAAACAGTGTGACCAAGTCAAGGCCACGGACACTTGTAGACAGTTGGCTGTCTGAGACTGATGATGTTGTTGGTGAAGGAGGAGAGACTCCTCGAGAAGTGAGCTACACAGAGGATATGGATGAAGCCACTCCAAGAAAGATGCCCCCAGCTCAAGCTGGTCGTACCACACCCACACTGTTGTCTAATGTGGAGCTTCTTGACACTCTGACATCCACCTTGGAAACAGGGGAACAGCCTAGAGAGGAGATGGACCACACACACAGGCTGCAGTCAGAACGTCTGCTGTCCAACATAGACCTTGAGTCTGTCACAACGTACAACACCAGCCATAGACCAGACTCTGGCAGCAGTAAGATCTCAGGTCGATCTTCTGGTCTCAGCAGCAACAGGAAGGATGAAGACATTGTGGAGGACACAGCAGAGGAAGGCCTTGAATGGACAGGGGACGAACGTCGAGAACGATTTGATGCTGTGAGACAGGAAATGGATGACTTTTTTTCCAGACAAAAGGAGAGAGATGGAACTGTGGAGGAGTCAATCTTTCCTGCGTCAAAGCACCTGTCTCTGTCTGGTGACATGTCCACCCACAGCAGCGGTCAGAACCTGCATCACACAATACAGCACGTGCAGCAGGGCTACGACACAAACACCGAGCTGCACAGTGACCGCACCACCGAGGACAGCGGGCTGGAGAGTGGAACAAAGTCATCCCAAGATGAGAAAGAAGCATTCTCCATGTTTGATATCGCTCACAGAACTGACCACATGCCCAACTTCTTCTTGCCGCCGGAGAACCTCCAGGCTTCCATGAGGGCTCTTCAGGTGGCCACAGCTGCAGCAACTCACATGACACAGGTGACAATCTTCTCAATACATCGTACTAGGGAAAAACTTTACTTTTCTAAGTGTCCCCTGGCCATTGTTTCATGAATCATCACTAGGTCAAGGAGCACAATAAATATGGCAGTGTTTCTAAATTTCTAGGTTAACATGTGAAAATCACATACGACATTTTGCTTTCACGATTTAAATAATGCACATTATTACCCATACGGTTGAGGAGATCCCGTGTAATATCTTTTTGATATTTGCACAGTGTGCAATTTAGTGATTCTCGACGTTGATTGGTTGATCGTATATTTGTACATTTTGATTGGATGCCGGAACTACTTTCACACACTACGTTCATTAATAAAATTTCATCGATTCATTGATAAATTGACATTATATAATTTAATCACACATTCCGAGATCTAAAAAAGAAAACATTAAGGTTAAAGAATATGAATATTCTTTTTATTAGACGTTATTAATTTGGAATAAAACTGCGTTATCAATAGTAGTCTTTTTACATTATATACTCTTTAAGAAAACCACCAAAACAACCGTTTGCATTGTTTGTAAACAAACATGGCCGCCGTTAGGCAAACCCCGATCAAGGTCACTTACCTAGTTAAAGTTGACGGTGACCAAATAGGAGAGTGATAAGAATTTTACAGCCCTTGAATTCCCAAAACCTGTTTGTTGTTGAAACTGAATTCGGGGAAATAGAAACAGCAAGATAGCAACTAAAGATGTTATCTGAAAGTGTAACAAGTGAGTCGGACACGGCGTCCATGCCATCGAACCAGAAAACAGCTCCTTTCTTACCGTAATCAGTGCTAAATGTTCTTCTTCAAGATGACTTTATATCCATGCATTCCTAATCAATCCGAGAGGCTGGTCCCAGTAGCCGATGCAGAGATTGACACATTTCATAGACTCGGATTCCGACTAGAGTTATCCTTGTTGGAACTGCTGTACTCTACTAAGACAAGAGTGTAACACGCCTTCCACAGAACGAAATGTTTTATCTTCAAACTTGTTGAGTTTCTTGACAGAAAACGTTTTCTAGATGTATTCATGGGATGGTTGTCTTTTAGATTTCCCAACTTTTAACCGTTGACTTTCCCAAAAATTGACAGGTTTTTGCCAGAGTGTGTTTCAACACTACAACGTCACCCGTCACTAGAAAACACGTCAGTCGTGAATGAACAATGTTCCTTCGCACTGACTTGATCGAATAAATGTTTGGCTCTTATTAGGTTCAATGATATATTTAATAGATCATTTTTATCATATTAACAAATGTTAATTAATTATTCCAGGCATAATAATTTTGTTGTATTTTAAAGCGATTTTATGATGTACTATTTTCATAGCGTAGTTATGTTTTTACCGCTGGAGAAGTTAGGTTTAATACGTGCATGAATACGAATCAGCTGTTTAAGGTCACAAGTCCTGTCTCCGGGTGGTTTTTATTTCGTGGTTCTTCCTTTTAAATTACATTATTGGTAATAAATAGAATAACCAACGGTACGAGTGATTACAGGAAATGTGCCCTCGTTAAAATAATGTTCTGTGCCTCGCCAAGGCTCGGCACTGTGAACATTATTTCAACTCGGGCATATTTCCCGTAATCACTCGTACCTCGTTGGTTATTCTCTAAATGTGGAAGTATAGTTAAAGGTGTGAATTGTCTTGATCAGTAACTTGCAAACTTTAGGTTTCATTGACATTTTGAATTAAGTTCATTCTCTGACTTCCACCCCCACTCTACCCTTTCCTTTCTTCTCTTCTAAGTCAGTTGCCTGAGTGAATGGCTTCTTACTGCAGAATATATATGAGATTTACATCATTTTGAATGTAGAGTGAAACACTGGTTGTCCAAACAGTGCTTGTCAGGACATCTTCTTAAATTCAAAGGGACATGACCTGTACTGATGAGTCACTGATCTCTGGGAGCAGTACCTTCCTTCTGATGATTTCATGGAACTAGTAACAATACATTGTCCTACTATTCAATGGGGCTGGTCTAGCAGCTCACTACAGCACAATTTTACATCAATGTATATTTCTTGCTGTTGTTTTTTTTTTTTCTGGAAACGTTTCTGTATCAGTTTCTTTCCATATTCCAGGACCCAGGTCGTGCTGCCGAGAAGGTCCAGGCCACCTCACAGTTAGCACACAGGTTAGCTGCAGGGTCAAAGATCAAATTTGCCCCAGTCTCAGCTAAAGGGAGACAACATCCAACGGCTGATGAAGCAAAACGAATAGCAAAGATATTTTCTTCTAGAATGAAGTAGATTGGACTTAGCAACATTTGTTTTATGAAGAACTATGTAATTGTTTTGTCACTTTCCATTGTGAGGATATTTGACTTGAATTACAGGTAAAGGCATTTGATCTGTATTTGAACAGGTGTGTGGTAAGTACAATGTAACTCAAGGTCCATGATAAGCTGTACATTCAAGGACCAGTTTCTGCAATGTATTCCACAGCAGTGTAGCCAGTTTTCAACTCTTATTACATCTGTGTTATCAACACCATGTTCATGGGGTAGTATATGTACTTGACGTAACCATCTCCTGGTACATACTCACCTGCTTGTGTAGCCTCACTTTGATATTTAACTTCTGTTACCTCAGGGTGCGTATCTACCACAAGATACTGTTATCCGTTATCTGTTATATGTTAACTTGTGATCCTATCATATAACAATGTTCCATGTATAGCATTTGTAGAATTATGTAACATTGCGGCAGTACCATGTAACATTGTACCTGGGAAATGTGACATTGTTACTAGTTACACAGTTCTTGTTTCATGTAGCATAGTTGGTGTATCATGTAACATTGTTGCTGTATCATGTAACATTGTTGCTGTACTGTTGCATACTTGCTGTATCATGTAACATTGTTGCTGTATCATGTAACATTGTTGCTGTACTGTTGCATACTTGCTGTATCATGTAACACTGTTGCTGTATCATGTAACATTGTTGCTGTACTGTTGCATACTTGCTGTATCATGTAACATTGTTGCTGTATCATGTAACATTGTTGCTGTACTGTTGCATACTTGCTGTATCATGTAACATTGTTGCTGTATCATGTAACATTGCTGCTGTATCATGTAACATTGTTGCTGTACTGTTGCATACTTGCTGTATCATGTAACATTGTTGCTGTATCATGTAACATTGTTGCTGTACTGTTGCATACTTGCTGTATCATGTAACATTGTTGCTGTATCATGTAACATTGCTGCTGTATCATGTAACATTGTTGCTGTATCATGTAACATTGTTGCTGTACTGTTGCATACTTGCTGTATCATGTAACATTGTTGCTGTATCATGTAACATTGTTGCTGTATCATGTAACATTGTTGCTTTACTGTTGCATACTTGCTGTATCATGTAACATTGTTGCTTTACTGTAACATTTTTGCTGTATCATGTAACATTTCTGTACATTAACTTAAGAATGCTGCATTATTTCAACTGGTGTAGATCTGTACATAGCACTGATGAGAGGACATTCAAGTGTATATACATCTTGTTGTCTGTGATAAGTTCCCTCATCACCATAGTCTTTCACACTAGTTGGCCCATCAGTCGCCACATGGCAGCATGGAGATTCTAGGTAATTGTAAGTGTAGAAGTAGATTCTGCCATTCCTCTTATGATTTACCTGTACATAGGATATTGTATATATAAACAATGTACATAGAGATACCTGTATATACATCATAGCAGGGAGTTATCATTAATAGACTCACTCATAACTTGACGAAGAAAGAATGTAGAAATCTTTTGGACACCTCCCCTTCCTGTGTGGTTCCACCAGCAAGTTTGGGATACCAGTGACTCCTGCTGTGGTGATTACACCTGATAGGGACTTCCATAGGATGATGTCACCAGGCAACAGGTAGGGGCTTGACCCTTCCATAGGATGATATCACCAGGCAACAAGTAGGGGCTTGACCCTTCCATAGGATGATGTCACCAGGCAACAGATAGGGGCTTGACCCTTCAATAGGAGATGTCACCAGGCAACAAGTAGGGGCTTGACCCTTCCATAGGATGATGTCACCAGGCAACAAGCAGGGGCTTGACCCTTCCATAGGATGATGTCACCAGGCAACAAGTAGGGGCTTGACCCTTCCATAGGAGATGTCACCAGGCAACAGATAGGGGCTTGACCCTTCAATAGGAGATGTCACCAGGCAACAAGTAGGGGCTTGACCCTCCTTTAAGATGGTATCCGAAGACAGTGAAGCAGTCTGCTGTCCCTGACAGAGTCAGCGAGTGTATATCCACTTACAAGGCATTATCATGGCATTCCTTCATGTATGAAGAGTTAACCATGTAGGTTCTGGATGAAGTGACAGTAATAGGTTCAGTCCAGTACAAGAAACACATCCCACAGTGCTATATTTATTGTTGTATGTACCACTGCATGTAGACACCCACACCCACACCCCCACCCAGCATCCCCCTAGATCAGTGTGTCTGGGAATGTGTACCCTGAGATATGGCACATAATCACCCAGCTACATCATATGTAAATTATCGAGGTATATCTCATTTCATGTGTCACTAGAGATTTAGTTACAAATATATCATTGAAGACCTCATACAGTGAAGAAATACTTACTGTGTTTATCTTAGAGGTAGTGAAATATATGTTATTGTTTTTATGTATATGTTGTTCTTGAGTATTTTCACATGTTGAAAGAAGTGCCATGCAACACAGACACAATGTCAGCCAGCTATGAAATAGTTTTTCTCACTTTTATACTATGGAGATTATGACGTTTGTCATGTAGTATGTAATGTCCTATTACACAGATGGACAGTGATGAGTGGACACCCAAAGGTGGACACCCACAGGCCAGTTGGGCTGGAGACCTTTGTTGACCCTGTTGTAGTACTGTATCATCTCTAGTCACATGACTGATTCCGTCCATACACAGCACCTGTCTCGGCCAGTAGCAGTATAGCAAGGTCTTCCCTACAGAAATCTGGGGATGGTATTGGGTGATTAATTAGCATCCTGAATGTTCACATACTGGTGGTTGCAAGTGTCAGTTCTCATGAATGAAGTGCCTCGCATCAAAAGCCCTCCAAAGTGACCAAAGATTACCTACACTTTTCTGATGCAAAACCTGGCATTGTACTGTGTGTAAGATGTTTCATACAACGAAAAGAGAGTGTCTTTTATTTGAATTCATGTTTGACTTAAAGGCTTCTTTGATCTTACATAAATAAGGAAAGTATCTTGAATAGGATGAGCGTTGTGGAGAAAGTCCTAAAGTGCCTGTAATGCAATCCTTCATGTGCCCATTATTCTATACATTCCATACTTGGGGTATACAATCTGTACAATCCATGTCTGCATATATAGTCTGTATGACCCATCCCGGCGATAAATAGTCTGTATGACCCATCCAAGCAATATATAGTCTGTATGACCCATCCCGGCGATATATAGTCTATTTGACCCATCCCTCCACTAAGTAGTCTGTTTGACCCATCCCTGCAGTATACAGTCTGTATGACCCATCCTTGCTATATACAGTCTGTATGATCCATGAATTTGATATTCATTCTGTATGACCCATGAATGTGTAATACAGCCTACAACCCATGCCTGTGGCATACTATCCATATAACTCATGTCTGTGGTATACAGTCTGTACAACCCATGCCTGCAGTACCTGGTCCATATTACCCCATCTGAATATTACCCATCCTTAGTTCTGATTTGTAATACTGCTCTCTGTTGTTGAAAAGTTCCTACTGTGGTGTAAGCCTTTCACACACACCCACCCCCTACATACGTCATGAAGGATTCGAGATTCAGCGTATGTGTCCGAAACGTGGATATTGACACTGTTTCTATCACTACTTATTTACTGTGTTGTACCCCATGTCCTGTGTACCAACACACATGATCTATTTCCTTGATATATATGATGTACCTGATACATGCGGTTGATATTAATTCTGTACTTGATACATATAAAGCATGTATCTGATACATACTATACATGTACCTGGTAGATATGATGTACCTGATACATGTACCTAATACATATGTGTACCTGATGCATATGGTACCTGCACCTGACATATATGATATAAGTTTTATGTTTGCCTTATAAAACTTGGTGCCAAAGTGTCTTCCATCATTCCATCCACTTGTACTATGTAGCCAGTTGACAGCGGAAGTAGACTGGCGTTCAGACACTGACATATCTGTTTCCTCATACAGCACAACCATGACAAATTATCAGCAGTTTTATCAAATTCCGAAAATACATAACTAGATGTGAAACTTACTTCTATCCCCAACTAAAGGCCCATTTTAAAAAATCTGAATCAGTTATTAAATTGTCAGGCGTGTGATTGATCCTACCTTTTGACATAATTCAAGGTCAAAGGTCAAAGGTCAATGACCGAACTGCTTTAATGAACTACCAGACTGAACCACCTGACCTAAATCCATCATGTTCAACTTCTGCTGTCAGCAGTGTGTTGTCCTGTGCTTTACCACCAGGGCACAATCCTGGGCTGGCCACAGGTATACTTCTATATACATAGTCCAACTGTAGCACCAGTTAACAGGCCTGGAGTTGGTACAGATGTACTTCTATATACATAGTCCAACTGTAGCTCCAGTTAACAGGCCTGGAGTTGCTATAGATGTACTTCTATATACATGGTCCAACTGTAGCACCAGTTAACAGGCCTGGAGTTGCTATAGATGTACTTCTATATACATAGAGTTGCTATAGATGTACTTCTATATACATAGTCCAACTGTAGCACCAGTTAACAGGCCTGGAGTTGCTATAGATGTACTTCTATATACATGGTCCAACTGTAGCACCAGTTAACAGGCCTGGAGTTGCTATAGATGTACTTCTATATACATGAGTCCAACTGTAGCACCAGTTAACAGGCCTGGAGTTGCTATAGATGTACTTCTATACACGCATCACCAGGTCAACGTAGATGTACTTACAATTGTACATGTAGGATGTATTTATGCAGTCAGGTAGAGCTACTTTCTATATGCATGTAAAGCAGTTTTGTACTTAATACTGTATATGTATTGTATTATAGAAAATTAAATTATTTCAAATGAATCCTGAGTTTTTCTGGCTACTTTGAATGTTTCTCAACATACATTTGAAGAAATGTTAATATCTAGACATGATTTTGACCACCTCTATAGTGCAGGATATAGTGTCTTCCTACAGAGTAGGAGGTTGTGGTACGAGATGGCCGCACCATATTAGCAGATGGGACAAAATGGTACATGTTGTTGCCCTGCTTCAAAGTCAGCTCAAATCATGCATCAGTACTTTGTTTACGCACACACGCTCCTTTCTCTATTATGAGTGCAGTATCTTGAAAGTGATGTTAAAAGCTATTGTACGTTCAAGCACTGGCTAAACAGTTTAAACAAATATTGGTGAAGATTGGAAATAGATTTTATTCATCGCAGGTTTTGGTTGCAGTTGATGAACACAAAAAGAAATGAATTCAGTAACCATTATAATGCTGAAGTGTGACAGCTGTAACCATGGTTACAAGACTGATAACTTGTATTTACACCATAGTGATCATAAATCAATGTAAAGACACAGACCATGATGGTCAGTATTTCAGACGTTGACCTACTGTGCTGATACATCGTCTGTTTTGCCACTACAAGATGTTTTCTACTCTGTCATCGTTGTCTATGGAAACAGTGTCAACAAATCTGAGATCAACTCTGTATATAATACTGTGCTGTAACATACACTCAACAATCAAAGACAACATTTCTACTCATTCTATACTCAATAATACATTCCTGGCCGGAAGGCTCTATTGACAGTATCTAGGACAACCTCTTTGCTCTAGAAGGTTCCGTGGGAAGAATGCTTGGCCTACAGGTGTACGTCTCCTACAGATGACACACCTGCATAAGGTGCATGGGGCATTTATAAATAGTAGGCTAATTTCAGCACATTAATGACACAATCAAAATGAACACACATGCATTTCATCCTATTATCTGTAACAAGTTAACAACAATAATAACTTATATATCATACAGGAATGATCACACAACAACAACCCATCATGGACATGAAGCTGCCACGACTGGAACACTGACATCCGACTGTCGCAGTACATGGGGCGTCTCAGGACTTCTTGAAACTGACTACATACATATACCTACAAGTTGTTACTGGTATTAATACACAATTTCAGCATTATTTCAACTGTGTCACACCAGTCTGTAAACACTTAGGTCTGGACCTGGCACACAGACGGATGACACTGCAATCATCCAGCCATGAATTCGGAATACAAGGACACTTAAATACATGCAGTCACAGTTGGCTCTGACAACAAGCACTGGGAAGTTAACCAGAATCTCCATAATCATTTGTGCTGCAAGGGCATGGTAGCACACAAACAACCATAGACCATAATCTCCCAGTCATCACTGATGGGGAGCAGTACACGGTACAGACAACAGACAAGCCATGACACAGGTCAGGGGTGTGGGGATCCATTTTCTGTACAGACAGCAGGCAAGTCATGACACAGGTCTAGGGTGCTGGACAACTGTTTACTGTACAGACAGCAGGCAAGTCATGACATAGATCTGGTGTGCTGGATAACCATTTACTGTACAGACAGCAGGCAAGTCATGACATAGATCTGGGGTGTTGGATGACCATATACAGACAGCAGGCAAGTCATGACATAGATCTGGGGTGCTGGATAACCTTTTACTGTACAGACAGCAGGTAAGTCATGACATAGATCTGGGGTGTTAGATGACCATATACAGACAGCAGGCAAGTCATGACACAGGTCTAGGGTGCTGGACAACTGTTTACTGTACAGACAGCAGGCAAGTCATGACATAGATCTGGGGTTTTGGATAACCTTTTACTGTACAGACAGCAGGCAAGTCATAACATAGATCTGGGGTGTTGGATAACTGTTTACTCTACAGACAGCAGGCAAGCCATGACACAGATCTGGGGTGTTGGATAACCTTTTACTGTACAGACAGCAGCAAGCCATGACATAGATCCACAGTGCGTCATAATTGATTACTGTACAGACAGCAGACAGGTCATGACATAGATCTGGGGTGCTTGATGACCATATACAGACAGCACGCAACCCATGACACAGATCTGGGGTGCTGGATGACCTTTTACTGTACAGACAGCAGGCAAGTCATGACATAGATCTGGGGTTTTGGATAACCTTTTACTGTACAGACAGCAGGCAAGTCATAACATAGATCTGGGGTGTTGGATAACTGTTTACTCTACAGACAGCAGGCAAGCCATGACACAGATCTGGTGTGTTGGATAACCTTTTACTGTACAGACAGCAGGTAAGTCATGACACAGATCTGGGGTGTTAGATGACCATATACAGACAGCAGGCAAGTCATGACATAGATCCACAGTGCGTGATAACCTTTTACTGTACAGACAGCAGGCAAGTCATGAGATATATCTGGTGTGTTGGATAACCTTTTACTGTACAGACAGCAGGCAAGTCATGACATAGATCTGGGGTTTTGGATAACCTTTTACTGTACAGACAGCAGGCAAGTCATAACATAGATCTGGGGTGTTGGATAACTGTTTACTCTACAGACAGCAGGCAAGCCATGACATAGATCTGGTGTGTTGGATAACCTTTTACTGTACAGACAGCAGGCAAGTCATGACATAGATCTGGTGTGTTGGATAACCGTTTACTGTACAGACAGCAGGCAAGTCATGACATAGATCTGGGGTGTTAGATAACTGTTTACTGTACAGACAGCAGGAAAGTCATGACATAGATCTGGGGTGTTAGATAACCTTTTACTGTACAGACAGCAGGCAAGCCATGACATAGATCTGGTGTGTTGGATACCCTTTTACTGTACAGACAGCAGGCAAGCCATGACATAGATCTGGGGTGTTAGATAACCTTTTACTGTACAGACAGCAGGAAAGTCATGACATAGATCTGGGGTGTTAGATAACTGTTTACTGTACAGACAGCAGGAAAGTCATGACATAGATCTGGGGTGTTAGATAACTGTTTACTGTACAGACAGCAGGAAAGTCATGACATAGATCTGGGGTGCTGGATAACCTTTTACTGTACAGACAGCAGGAAAGTCATGACATAGATCTGGGGTGTTGGATAACCTTTTACTGTACAGACAACAGGCAAGTCATGACATAGATCTGGGGTGTTAGATAACTGTTTACTGTACAGACAGCAGGAAAGTCATGACATAGATCTGGGGTGTTAGATAACTGTTTACTGTACAGACAGCAGGAAAGTCATGACATAGATCTGGGGTGCTGGATAACCTTTTACTGTACAGACAGCAGGAAAGTCATGACATAGATCTGGGGTGTTGGATAACCTTTTACTGTACAGACAGCAGGAAAGTCATGACATAGATCTGGGGTGTTAGATAACTGTTTACTGTACAGACAGCAGGAAAGTCATGACATAGATCTGGGGTGTTAGATAACTGTTTACTGTACAGACAGCAGGAAAGTCATGACATAGATCTGGGGTGTTAGATAACTGTTTACTGTACAGACAGCAGGAAAGTCATGACATAGATCTGGGGTGCTGGATAACCTTTTACTGTACAGACAGCAGGAAAGTCATGACATAGATCTGGGGTGTTGGATGACCGTTTACTGTACAGACAGCAGGAAAGTCATGACATAGATCTGGGGTGCTGGATGACCGTTTACAGACAGCAAGCAAGCCATACTGAATGACTAGGAATGTTGCATTGGCAAGGTGCGATCTGCTATCACACATCTACACAATATACAATACAACACAAATCGCAGGTTGAAGGATACAATACAACACACAAAACACAGGTTGAAGGATACACACAAAATACACACACAGATTTGTGCTAATGCATACAAACATTTGCAGGCACGGATTTTCATATGCGTAAAGATAAATAGACACATTTGCAGATATACAAAACTTCCATCTAAAATCACAGGCACTTGTCAATTATCACAGGAACTACACAATCATCACAGGAACTTGTCCATTACCAGAGGTACATGTCTATCAGCAGAGGCACATCATCTATCATCACAGAAATTTATCTGTCACATCACAGGAAGTTGTCTATCATGTCACAGGAACTTGTCCGTTACCAGAGGTACATGTCTATCAGCAGAGGCACATCATCTATCATCACAGGAAGTTGTCTATCACGTCACAGGAAGTTGTCTATCACATCACAGTCTATCCTATATTTCCTGTGTTTGTCTCCAGTCCCACATGGACACACTATGCCACTGTACGCCCATGTCTGGTGCAAGTCTCCAGTCCCACATGGACACACTATGCCACTGTACGCCCATGTCTGGTGCATGTCTCCAGTCCCACATGGACACACTATGCCACTAGACGCCCATGTCTGGTGCATGTCAGTAGTTAAACTACCTTCCCCTTCCTGTCCACAATATTCACTGTCTTCAGCTTGGCCTTCATCTGCCTCCGTCTCTCCCCCTCCTCCGAGTCGTCACTGCTGTCCTCCTCCTCGCCCTGCCCCTCCCCCTGCTGCTCCAGGAGGGCCCGGTTCTCCCTCTCACGCCGCTCACGCTTCGAGGTGATCACCAGCTTGGCACACACCTCCAGGGGAGCCGGCTCCACAAACTCTGTTCCTGATAATACAGACAGAAGTTATGTCAGTCTTTGGAATCATTCTTGCTTGACAATGGTACAAGAATCTGTATCGAAGCACTGACTGAGTTGTTATCCATAACATTTGTCAATATTGCACAACCTAATTGACTGACTGGGTCAATGAAGGTGGAATTCACAGTGCATTTGTGTCCCTTAGAAGTGTGCCAGATACCTGTGATTGTGAATTTGAATCCCAGATTGCTCTTAGCGAGCACCTGCTTATGGGTTTGACCAAGGGTAAACATCTAACGACGGCAACCATTTTCAACTTTCCTCCCCAATTAAGATATCATACCTTAACATCATGTAAATACAGTTCAATGTGGGATTTAACCAACTTGAATCATTCTCTGACACTACCTTTTTTCCCATCCTCGATAATCTCCAGGGTATACATTACGATCACTCTCCACTATACCCTGGATGCATCCACGGCTATTACCTCCCTTTGCTGGCTTTTTATCCAATCAGGTGTCTACGCTGGGAAGTTGAGCGAACCAAGCATAACTCACTTTCGCTTCTTAATTATCCAGCAGTTTAAACTTGGCAACACAATTGATGCAGAGGTACTCTAAATGAGGTAGAAGGAGTTCTTTCATATATAGTTTTAATGTTTCAGATCTGTCAATTTGTCTGTATGATTACCCCCAAAATATGAGTGGCACTTCGAACAAACCTTCGCGACTGCGACCGCTATCTTTGTTGACACTGGCAAGCTCGGATGTAACGGCAGCTTAGCTGATTGGCTACTGTGTGAATTATCGGGCCAAGCCGTGGATGCATCCAGGTATAGTGGAGAGTGATCATAATGTATACCCTGGAGATTATCGAGGATGCTTTTCTCCAAGAAGCTGCCATGGTATCCCACCTACCAAGCAGCCTCCTGGCAAAACCTATATATCATCTTCTTGGACACACCTACAGATCAGACTCTTGGCAACAAACCTAACATTTAATCCACCTGCTGGCAACACCTAAAAATCAGTCTCCTAGCCACACCTGCCTATCAGCCTCTTGGCCATACCTACCAATCAGCCTTCTAGCTCAACCTATGCATCATCTTCTTGGCGACACCTACCAATCAGCCTCCTGGCCACACCTACCAATCTGTCTCCTGGCCCCAGCTGCCAATCAGCCTCTTGGCCACACCTACCAATCAGCCTCCTGGCCTCCACGCCATCTATGATTGGGCTCATCCATGTGGACATGCGGGTCCCCCTCCACTCCGGCTGCCTTTGGGACGTACACGTAGAACACAACGTCCAGCACCTCGTTCTTCCGCAGCCCACGACCCCTCAATCCCTTGCCTGGTGACACACCAACATATGATACATGAGATTATCAAGTGAATAGCACAGTGTACTGAATCTCAGATACAGAGAAACAAAGATGGTTGTTAGAGTGACAGACTGTAATACATGCATTTAAAATATTGTACTTGATATAATTACCATTTGCCAAAACACTATCATGGTGCTATATTATCATTGCCCAAGTTCAGTTTGCACTTGAATTTCATTTTAGCTTGGTAAGTATAGGCAAGATTTCTCTGCAACACAAGTTGCCGAGCTTCACCTGATTATCTCCCTTTGCACTGTGGCCAGAACAATGTAGCACCACTTTCTGTAGAGGTGAGTTAATCACCTTAAAACAGTAATCACATATCTAAAACATGATTCACTGAAGAAGGGGATCAAGGGAACTCTCACCTTTGAACAACACATCCACAGCCTCATCCAGCTCCGCCTGGGAGGGATACAGATCACACTCCTTGAAGAACTGGTCCAGCTCACAGAGTTCCAGCTCTCCACCAAACGCTTTCTTCTCAAACACACTCTCATAACCTGCACAGACAATGCCCTGTATCAGACTATATATAATCTAGGGCTATATAAAGAGCATAAAGACAACCGAATACCCAGTTACCAAACAAGTTAACACTACATTCATAACCTGCACAGACAATGCCCTGTATCAGACTATATATAATCTAGGGCTATATAAAGAGCATAACCAGAGACAACCGATACCCAGCTACCACAACAAGTTAACACTACATTCAGAACTACTTTATCTAAGAAACAGTTTTGTAAACATCTGACGCACGTCTTCGGAGGTCCATGTACTCGTTCATTTCCTTGAAGGTGAAGGGCGTCTTGGGTCGGTCACGGCCATGTTGCCGCTGAACACGAGCCAGCATGGTCTTGTAGTCCTTCACCATCCTCTCAAAGCTGAATCCAGACCATGTTGCCTGAAACACAAGATTATCTTAGATCTCACGATCACTGACTTCTTCTGTGAAGATTTCCTCACATTCCCGGACATATTTGGCCAAGGGTCAAGGAACATGACATTCAGCATGGACAATTATTATTGTAAAAGTCAGACTTGGTTGGGAACTGTTTGACTTACCATTATGCAATGTGAAACATTCTTAGTGCCACAAAAAAGTTAACATCAAAATCTAAAATCAAAATATGGTTCATTTAAAGTGAACATAAGAAGGGGAAAATTACTGCCTTTGTTTTTCCTCCACCTGCTATGCTTTCTTTATTGCTGACATCTGATAACAAAATTAGGACTTTTCTCAAATTCTTTTATCCATTAGGGCATCATATTTTTCATGTGTTTCATGTAGCCACCCAATTCTGAACTTGGGTCGGTTGGTCAGGGAAAAAAACAAACAAACTTAATAAAGACAAAATTATCTGAATAGTGTTCTTGATTCTCATTTATTGTAATTCTTTTTACATTTAATCATGTTCTTTGGACTTGTGGCAGTGATTGTATAAAAGATAAACATTTTATATGACGAGGCGGTACGTTTTAGGTTCGAGTTTGCAGTGTTGGTGTTTAGGCGGTCGGCAATAAAATGAGAAGATTTGATTGAGCGATGAGAAACACAGTAAATAAAAAAGCTGCCCTGAACAGACAAGTCTTGACACAGCATGTGTCTCCTCACCTTGCGGCGAAGTTTCTCCAAGCGGCGCCGGATAAGCCAGCCTCTCACGGTCTTCTGTATGGTCAGAGCAAACTGGTTCAGCTCTCTCTGAGTCGGCCCGGTCTTCTTGGGGTGGTACACTCTGACCACAGACAAAGACAGTTAGAAGACTAAAATCACAAACAGGCTGAGTCTGCGATTCAAATCCACCTACGTCTCATTCTGGCATGACTAAATAATAACTCTGAACAGAGACTACATAACGCTACATAACAAGGTGTTAGTGTCTATGTTGGTCTACTGTACAAGGCAACATACAGTCAATGGTCAACGTTTAGTTGATTATAGCGATGTCAATTTTCTACATATATTGTTAAACATCTTACAATACTGTTAGCTGGTCAAATCAAGAAATGACCATTTGTTTGAATGAAAGATGCAATCATAAAGGTTACACTTTATAAAGCATGTTAGTGGCTAAACCAGCGGGGTTGTTATTGATGAATTCTATAAATGTATTACAGGTCCAGTCTGGGCGAAACACTATTCCAGCCTCAAATAGTCACTTTAGATCATAGTCAGAGAGAATAAATGGACTTTTACTAGACTTTACACAACCCATGAGCCTGACTAGTTCTGTCTACAGCTGGCCTACTCAGTGATCACAGTCACGGCACCTCCATAAATATACTGCCTACTTTTTGTGTTATGTTACTGTCAATGATCTGAGGGTCATGTGACAAGATCATGTGACTCACTGGTAGATGTCCACATGGGGTCCGATGACGGAGATGGTGGAGGCAGACACATGATAGTTATAAGCATTCCTGAAATAAAGCAGACGGCACATCTACTGATGCAGCTGGACAAGCCTGTTACAAGCATGGCATCTATCTGGGGCATCAACTTACGACATGTCACTAGAGGCTACAAGCTGACATAATCATGTCACAAAATAAGGAAAAAAAATTGGTATTTTTCAACAATAATCTCCACGTGAAGGAGAGCTGATGACAGGCACAAGACATCGAATTCAGATCAAGGTGAAGTCCAAGTTCATGCAGTATCACATACTCCGGTGATGTATGGTTACAAACTGTGCAAGAAGCACTCTGCCAAGTATACATAGCTTTCAATTTACAATGCTTTTTAGAAAGTGGTCAAATGTAACAAGTTATATATGGGATGACATTTCCTTAGTAAAGTACAGATTCTAGAGGAGGAGGCACAAGGGAGGAGTGCAGAGAAAGGGACAGCCAGGTGTTCGAGAAAGGATGGAGACGGCACAGCACAGGTTAATGAATAAATAACTTTGTCTGTGAACGTGCTTCTCGAACACCTGGCTGTCCCTTTCTCTGCACTCCTCCCTCATAACAAATAGTGAACTGTGTCAATATTTTTATGATAGTTTGTTAAACAACATTATTATTTTTAGGACAAAAATTCTGCAAAAAACCTCACAGAGTGGGTATGATGTTTTGATTATGATCAGTGTTTCATTGAGTATTTTATGTTTAATAGTTTTCAAGTTAGATTGCAATTCATCGGTCCGCTTTTGAGCCAAACGGACTGTAGTCTCCACTGGATCATAGGTCAAAAGTAGTTCCTATGCAAAGTAGCCAAGTCTTAAGGAGGTCAGGTCTGCTGTCTTGTCCTTGGTTTTCATTGGCTGAAGATGTGCAGCATCTTGATTGGATGTTGAATTTAGTTGCATTTGGAAAGTGTGAAGCTTGTTCACTTGCTGTCTTTCTCCCAACCTGGCAAGGTGGTTGGAAGTCATGGATGGAGGATTTTGACTTTGGTGAATTACAGATTAGTTATACTTGGTTTTATATAAAAGGAATAAAATACAAAAATATGTTTAATTGTTGAAAGGTTAATTCAGTATTTATTGTACCTGAATTTATGCATTTGGTGGAGGTATATTTTGACCTACGGTTAGAAATTGTTGCTGTCCATAATTTCACTTACAATTGATTCAGATTAATGTTTGAGTCCAAACAGATTGTACGTTTACTTTACTGGTGAGAATTAGCATTTCCATGCTAATTAAAACATACATATTTTAGGTTCTTGGTGAGCTGTTGGTGCCTCACAACATGTGGCCAGTTTGAAACAAGTTGTCCCATAGATGGTAAGACACGTTGATGTTTCATTGTTGTTTTGAAGATACCAAATGTGTTCCATAATTCCTAACTGAACCATTGATTTTGTGATGTCTATATGTCCTGTTTATATGTTCAGTGGTAGTACTGCAAATGTTAACAATCTGAACCATGTGCAATGAAATGAATGTGATAAAATAGACATTTTGATGGAGAATTATATATTCATATACATAGTTTCAGACTTGTATTATTTATACAAACTACAGTAATAAACAAGAAACTTGCAGCCTCAACGGAGTTGTGTCGTTGTGAAAGAGCCATCCCCGTTACACACAGACTTACAAATTAGAGTTGTAATTTAAAACATAAGCCATGCCAGTTATAAAACAAATCCTAATTCCTCTAAAATACATGTGATAAAAGTATTACTAAATCTTTGAGCACATATAAATGTATATAAGCATTGATATATAAAGCTGAATCCTACATAAAAGAATAAATGAAAGTATCTTGATGAGTATACTGCGACTCATTTGTAATAAGTTAGATCCACTGGACGGCAAGCAGCGTATCCAAGCTAGGATAAAACCACCAGGAGTTGACCATGTAGGTCTTCCAGTGACCTTCAGGTCAGATAAACAAGCTAGTACAGGCAGACCCTTCATCTTTCTGAAACTGTTCACCAGTCTATCAGTCTTCATGGAAAATTGTTCCAAATGCACTTTGTTTTTAACCAAACTCGAATTTGACATCCCAGGGTGAAATCAGCTTAAGGTTGAGTACTCAGTAGGCTGAACCGGTGAAAGTATATAAATGTTTTATTGGTAGAATCTTTAAGCTACTAAATGTAAGGAAGTGTGATGTCTACAAAGACAGGTCAGAGTGATGGACTCACTCTCTGGACACGCTGTCCAGCTTGTTCTGCCGGACTCGACCTTGCTGGTCTCGGATGGCCTTGTACTCCTTCTGCCAGGCCAGGTCCTCGGGGTCGCGACCTCGGTTGTAGATGGCCTGTGTACGCTCAACATGCTCACGATGCATTCTGGAGAAAGGACACAATTATGTTCAGATTATCGGACCCTGTCCCAGGATTCATCACCAACATCTCGCGATTCATCATTCCTGGCTTATCCACCACAATAAGAAGAAACACTGGAAACCTGGACAAGGTTAATTACAACCATATATTCTACATTTATACCATAACTGTCTACATCTAGATCGGAGGTCTTCTCCACAGAAGATCATGCCCTCACATGTACATGCAGAGAGGTATCTTTTTCTTTTTCAATGAGATCAGGAGAACACCAAAATCTTTTTCCAGGCTAAATCCAGTTGACATGAAAACATAACATCCACTAAAGTAAAAATATCACAGAGTTACCACACAAATAAAACACTATATTCACCTGCATTCCCTGTCAGGTAATAAGACACTATATTTACCTGCATTCCCTGTCAAGTTATAGATTCCTATAATTACCTACATTCCCTGTCAAGTTATAGATTCCTATATTTACCTGCATTCCCTGTCAAGTTATAGATTCCTATATTTACCTGCATTCCCTGTCAAGTTATAGATTCCTATATTTACCTACATTCCCTGTCAAGTTATAGATTCCTATATTTACCTACATTCCCTGTCAAGTTATAGATTCCTATATTCACCTACATTCCCTGTCAAGTTATAGATTCCTATATTCACCTGTATTCCCTGTCAAGTTATAGATTCCTATATTTACCTGCATTCCCTGTCAAGTTATAGATTCCTATACTCACCTGTATTCCCTGTCAAGTTATAGATTCCTATATTTACCTACATTCCCTGTCAAGTTATAGATTCCTATATTTACCTACATTCCCTGTCAAGATATAGATTCCTATATTCACCTGTATTCCCTGTCAAGTTATAGATTCCTATATTTACCTACATTCCCTGTCAAGTTATAGATTCCTATATTTACCTGCATTCCCTGTCAAGTTATAGATTCCTATATTTACCTACATTCCCTGTCAAGTTATAGATTCCTATATTTACCTACATTCCCTGTCAAGTTATAGATTCCTATATTTACCTGCATTCCCTGTCAAGTTATAGATTCCTATATTTACCTACATTCCCTGTCAAGTTATAGATTCCTATATTTACCTACATTCCCTGTCAAGTTATAGATTCCTATATTAACCTGCATTCCCTGTCAAGTTATAGATTCCTATATTTACCTACATTCCCTGTCAAGTTTTAGATTCCTATATTTACCTACATTCCCTGTCAAGTTATAAATTCCTATATTCACCTGTATTCCCTGTCAAGATATAGATTCCTATATTCACCTGTATTCCCTGTCAAGTTATAGATTCCTATATTTACCTACATTCCCTGTCAAGTTATAGATTCCTATATTCACCTAAATTCCCTGTCAAGATATAGATTCCTATATTCACCTGTATTCCCTGTCAAGTTATAGATTCCTATATTTACCTACATTCCCTGTCAAGTTATAGATTCCTATATTTACCTGCATTCCCTGTCAAGTTATAGATTCCTATATTTACCTACATTCCCTGTCAAGTTATAGATTCCTATATTTACCTACATTCCCTGTCAAGTTATAGATTCCTATATTCACCTGCATTCCCTGTCAAGTTATAGATTCCTATATTTACCTACATTCCCTGTCAAGTTTTAGATTCCTATATTTACCTGCATTCCCTGTCAAGTTATAGAGTCCTATATTCACCTGTATTCCCTGTCAAGTTATAGATTCCTATATTTACCTACATTCCCTGTCAATTTATAGATTCCTATATTTACCTACATTCCCTGTCAAGTTATAGATTCCTATATTTACCTGCATTCCCTGTCAAGTTATAGATTCCTATATTTACCTACATTCCCTGTCAAGTTATAGATTCCTATATTCACCTGTATTCCCTGTCTAGTTATAGGGGCGGTGGGGTAGCCTAGTGGTTAAAGCATTGGCTCATCACGACGAAGACCCGGGTTCGATTCCCCACATGGGCACAATGTGTTAAGCCCATTTCTGGTGTCCCCCACCGTGATATTGCTGGAATATTGCTAAAAGCGGCGTAAAACTAAACTCAGTCAGTCTAGTTATAGATTCCTATATTTACCTACATTTCCTGTCAAGTTATAGATTCCTATATTTACCTACATTCCCTGTAAAGTAATATATCCCTATATTCACCTGTATTCCCTGTCTAGTTATAGATTCCTATATTCACCTGTATTCCCTGTCAAGTTATAGATTCCTATATTTACCTACATTCCCTGTCTAGTTATAGATTCCTATATTCACCTGCATTCTCTGTCAAGTAATAGATTCCTATATTCACCTGTATTCCCTGTCAAGTAATATATCCCATATTCACCTGTATTCCCTGTCAAGTTATAGATTCCCATATTCACCTGTATTTCCTGTCAAGTTATAGGTTCCTATATTCACCTGTATTCTCTGTCAAGTAATAGATTCCTATATTCACCTGCATCCCTGTCAGGTAATAAAACACTATGTTCACCTGCATTCTCTGTCAGGTAATAAAACACTATATTCACCTCCATTCATTGTCAAGTTATAGATTCCTATATTCACCTGCATCCCTGTCAGGTAATAAAACACTATATTCACCTGCAGACTATATTCACCTGCATCCCTGTCAGGTAATAAAATACTATATTCACCTGCATCCCTGTCAGGTAATAAAACACTATATTCACTTGCAGACTATATTCACCTGCATCCCTGTCAGGTAATAAAACACTATATTCACCTGCATCCCTGTCAGGTAATAAAACACTATATTCACCTGCGACTGTTGAGCTTAGCCCGCTGTTTGTCTTCCTGACACCACCTTTCCTCAGACAACAGCTTCTTGTAGAAGCCACGTGCAACATAGCCCCGGAATATCCTGAAATATCAGAAGGTTCTGTGTGTAGACTTCAGTATTTTACAGTGGAATCTAAGGTTCAACTGTGGGATATATGGTTCAGGTCTAAGATCAAAGGTTTATCTTTATTATCAGTCTTTCAGCTGTTGGATCTGATGTTCACCTGTAGGACCCAACATTCAACTGGACATCTAAAGAATCTGTAGGATCGAACATTCAACAAGTGTTTGCCACTAAAATGGTAATGTCCCCCCCCCCACCACCCCCTCATAAAGAATATTTACTACTATTCATTTTTGGGTCACATACAAGAATTGACTGGTGTCTGCATATTATCACCCAATGTAGGCTGTCAACATAATTGAAGACACTGGGTGTAATGTTTTATGAGATATTTGCGTTTACATGAGTTGGAAAGTGGTTAAAGTGTCATGGAGACCTTGAAGATAAGGTCAAGGTCACTCAAATCAACTGCTATCCCCAAATGTAGGTTGTCACCAAATTTGAAGACATTGGGTACAACAGTCCATGAGATATCGCGTTAACAAGAGTTTGAAAAGTGGTCAAAGTTTCCCGGTGGCCTTGAAGATAACGTCAAGGTCACCCAAATCAACTGCTGTCTGCATAATCACCCAATGTAGGCTGTCACCAAATTTGAAGACATTGGGTACAACAGTACATGGGATGTCGTGTTAACAAGAATCAGGACGTACATACGGACGGACAGATGCTGTTGAATACATAGTCCCCCGTTCCGTGTTGCGGCGAGGGACAACTAGGAATCAAACAAATCTAACAGTCAATCGTAGGATCTTATACAATGTTCAGTAGAAGGATTCAACACCCCTACCGTTGTATATCTACGGCTGCCTTGGCCTCTTTCTGCACCTGAACAGCATAACTCAGCTCCTCCTGAAAGACAAGGGAGAATCCAGTACTCACACAACCATGACATACGAGACAGACCCACAGTGAGTGACAAGGGAGAATTCAGTACTCACACAACCACGACATGCGAGACAGACCCACAGTGAGTGACAAGCAAACGCCTGCACCACTTAGGCTAACCCACTGCCTCCATACTCTTACTGACTCGAGTGATTACATATATGTTATTTAATTAATGTCGCAGTCAGAAATATTCCAGCTTCAGGTGACTGCCTGCTTATTATCAAGTCTGGACCAGGCAGCCAGAGTTTGAAACAAGCGTATCAATCTCCATGGCTGGATACAATGTTTTGAGATCAGCCAATCCACAGCCAAGGTTATCTGATCTGCCTGTGGGTACTAAAACATTCTCAGAGTGCTAAAAAATTACTTAAAAATATAATTCCAACACACTTCTAAGATAAGACATCAGGGAAGTGAAACTGTCACCCAAACCCTGCTTCACTAAACAGAGCACAAACAAACAAAGACTATGAAATACACAATGCCATTTTAGAAAGTGGTCAAATGTAATGTATATTATATTTGGGAATACACTTTCTTAGTAAAGTACAGATTCTAGTACTTTTTGGGTTGATTCCCATCTGAGATTCGAACCCACACCCTCACAGTCAGGCACCTAATCACCAGCACACAAAGTCAGATGCATAGACCGCTCAGCCACTGCGGCTTCAGTACTAGAATCTGTACTTTACTAAGAAAATGTAATCCCAAATATAACATACGCTAAACAAAAACTAGATTCAAATAATTTGTAAATGCAACTGAAGAGACTCATGTTGGAATGTCACTCACTGGGTCGGGCACATGCTGGTAGTGAGCGATTGGCCGGCCAATGTGGGCAAGGGATGGTTGCCTTGGTAATGGTGTAGGGGGCCCTGAGTCTGTGGCTGCCGGCTGCTGTCTCCCCTGTGGGCCCTCCACATCCCCAGTTTCCCCTCCATCTTCCTCCCCAACAGACTCTGTCGGATCCCCAAACTTCACTTGTTTCTCCACGTCTGACATCTCTTGGGAGAAGCCTGCATCGGACATCTTCGAGATGGGGGGATGGCCAGCTGCAACAAAATCACACAAATACCATGAGTATAGATAAAGAGCCTGTCAATGACATCACATCACATTAACTCATTTGTTCCTTCACAGCTCTGCATCATCCCATCCTGTGTCAACTCATCTCACTGTACTCAACTGGCTCCCATCATAGACATCTGACTTGGGATATATCACTAACAATAAACTTGCACTACAAGATTTTACAGCCCATTGTGACATCATCAGTTACCATGATGTCACAATCAGTCTCAAGTCTCTCTACCCCTTGTCTCTAATCTTTACACTCATGACAAAGTATATCATTGTTTACAAGCTGAAAAAGTTCGAACAACGGCTTCTGATGATAAACCAACTCTCACCATTGTGTCGAAACATATGAAACATGACAACAGTTGAAGAGTTACAATTCTAGGTATACTTCAGCTCCTGTTGATATATTGATATCAATACACTTGGGTGAGATTCTCTCATCGAACTGGAATACATAACTCATCCCACTTACCAAATTCATCATCAGTTGTGGTGGGAAGAGTTTTCTCCCTTGTAGGTAGACGACACACATGCAGAGTTTCTCCAAGCTGACTCTCTGGAGCCGTGGACAGAACTGGCGGTGCCGACCTTGGCGGCACAGATCGCAGGTCACGTACTGAAACAGAAATACATTCCTGCATATACAACCTAAACAAATACAGTCTTGCACAGCACATTCAAATATGCACACACACTAGTCTAAGTAAACTTACGCTCAGTATTACTCGTTACACTGCTATACTGAGTCTAACAAACCCTAGTAGAAGGTCACATCAGCTAACCTTTGAGCGACCTATGACCGTCCAATGAAACCGGAGATGGACTAACAGATTTGACTAATCCGACAACGGCTACTTGTTAGGGTTCGGCAGGGCTTACAAAACGTTTTTTGGATTTTCTATTTCCTGGTCGCTGACACTGATCTATCAACAAACAAAATCTGCAATAAACACAGATATTTGACCTGGTTACTATAAGCTTATATTTCCGCAAGATGACATCCTTGAATGTTGACAAAGCGGTTTTTTCAGCGACTGTTTACTCATTGCATCCTCCATGTGTATCACTCGGAAGCGATCGTGCGGAAAATAGCATTTGGAATCATTCGAGTTTTTTTAGGTAAAGGTTGAAACGGTATATGCGAATGTTAACTTTCATGATTTGGTAAGCTGTGTTCTGATTGGTCAGTCCAAAAGGTGAGCTGACGTGACCTTCTACTAGGGTTTGTTAGACTCAGTATAGCAGTGTAACGAATGATACTGAGCCCAAGTTTACTTAGACTGGCACAGTCACACATACATGCACACATAAATCATATTTTGGCAAATTAAATATACATGCACATGCATACCTGTTCATACACACCCACTTGTGGTTGATTGAACCTGATTTACAGTTACAAACAGATTTCAAAGAACGTTTGACATATGGACATAAGTATGTTATAAATGTTCACTATCCACCATACATAAATGTTAATGTTCTGTACAGTTGCATATTAAAACCATCTTCTAGCCAACAACATGTACACACTGAGTCTACAAGCACCACTTACCAGACTCAGCCTTTGGTCTGTGATATTCCTGAAAGTCTAAGAGGAAGACAAAGCAAGGAGAGATTAGCAGCTGAGGTTAGTAAGGTAGATACACACCATCACAGGGAAACAAGGGGAGACTATCCATACAAGGAAAGACCACCCCTATAATGTGAGACCCACGACAGAAAGGGGGCAACCAGTACAAGGGGTAGACCACCCTCAAAAGGGTCACCGCCCATACATGGGTAGGGTTGGGTGGGAAGGGGGTTGGGAGGGTAGGGTGGTGTGGTGTGGTGCGGGCAGGCTGGGGTAGGGTGGTGTGGTGTGGTGTGGGGTGGGGCAGGGTGGGGGTAGGGTGGTGTGGTGTGGGGTGGGGTGGGGTGGGGTGGGGGTGGTGTGGTGTGGGATGGGGGGGCAGGGTGGGGGCAGGGTTTGGGCAGGTTGGGGTAGGGTGGGTGTGGTGTGGGGGTGGTGTGGGGTGGGGTGGTGTGGTGTGGTGTGGGGTGGGATGGGGCAGGGTGGGGCAGATTTGGGCAGGTTGGGGTAGGGTGGTGTGGTGTGGTGTGGTGTGGTGTGGTGTGGTGTGGTGTGGGGAGAATCCTTCATAGGGAGATAACCCATACAAGGGAGACAACCCATCCAAGCAGAGACAGCCAAAGCTAGATTTTACTAAAGGGAAGTAAACGTCCCAACTTAAAGAATATACTGAATGGGAAACATGTAAGAACATCCTGTAATAGAGTGTTCGGCAGGACGTTTCAGGTGTATCGCCCAGACATGTGGTCATGTTCATCTGCCCTGGTTTTAAGTTTTCCCATGTTTGTTTAGTTGAGGACAGCAAGAATATCAAAGAACACAAGTTTCAAAATGCCAAGATATGAAACAGAGTAAGGTTTATTGGAATGTGCATGGATGGTTACAGCAATGTTCACTACACAGAGTTAAGTGTTACACAGAGTTAAGTCTAAGAATGTATTCACTACACAAAGTTAAGTGTACAACTGTGTTCACTGCACTGTCCAGTTTAAAATTATGTCTACATTACACATACTTAAGTATAAGAATGCTAAGTGTACGACTGTATTCACTACACAGTTCAGTTTAACAATGTCTACATTACACATACTTAATTATAAGAATGCTAAGCGTACGACTGTATTCACTACACAGATTTAAGCATAAGAAAGTATTCACAAAGAAATTTAAGTATATGAATATATCCTCACACAGACTGAAGTGTTCTACACAGAGTTAAGTGTTCTACACAGACTGAAGTGTTCTACACAGAGTTAAGTGTTCTACACAGAGTTAAGTGTTCTACACAGAGTTAAGTGTAAGAATGTATTCTCTACACAGAGTTAAGTATAAGAATGTATTCACTACACATCTGAGTTAAGTCTAAGAATGTATTCTCTACACAGAGTTAAGTGAATGTATTCACTACACAGAGTTAAGTGAATGTATTCACTACACAGACTTAAGCCTAAGAATGTTTCACTACACAGAGTTAAGTGTTCTAAGAATGTAGTTCACTACACAGAGTTAAGTGTTCTACACATGTATTCACTACACAGAGTTAAGCCTAGAATGTATTCACTACACAGAGTTAAGTCTAAGAATGTATTCTCTACACACAGTTAAGTGTTCTAAGAATGTATTCTCTACACAGAGTTAAGTGTTTCTACACAGAGTTAAGTATAAGAATGTATTCACTACACAGAGTTAAGTATAAGAATGTATTCACTACACAGAGTTAAGCCTAAGAATGTATTCACTACACAGAGTTAAGCCTAAGTGTTCTACACAGAGTTAAGTCTAAGAATGTATTCTCTACACATCTGAGTTAAGTCTAAGAATGTATTCACTACACAGAGTTAAGTTTAAGAATGCATACATTACACATTTAAGTCTAAGAATGTATTCTCTACACAGAGTTAAGTCTAAGAAAGTATTCTCTACACAGAGTTTAGTCTAAGAATGCATACATTACACAGAGGTAGGTAAAGGAAAGTTTTCACTACACAGAGTTAAGTCTAAGAATGTATTTACTACAAGAAGTAAGTATAAGAATATATTCACTACACAGAGTTAAGTGTACAGCTGCATTCATCACACCAAATTAACTACATGACTTTATTCACAACACAGAGTTATACGTCTGTCATCACCAAGATTGGGCTCACCATGCTCCATGTAGTGCCTGGGACTCCTGGCTTTGCGAGCATGACTCTCCAGCTCCTTGTTGAACACCTGGTGTCCCCGTGGAGATCGGCCACCATACGGGTTGAAGGGTGTTGGGATAGAAGGTGGAGTCCTCATTGGTGGAGCTCTCTTAAATAACTCAGTCTGACGTCGAGTGGTGCGTACAACCTGACCAGGCTTGGCCCCACTTTGTCTTGGCATCCTGCCTGCTGACCTCTCGACCTTGGTTGACATCTTGCTAGAGGTAAGGTCAGGGTCAGCCTCTGGGGTGAAGGTCGCTCCTGTGAAATGTTCTGAAGTAACCCTATAGCGTGCACCAGCAGTTCTCAGTCGGAGGTCATGTTTGACATCTGGCCCAATGGTTGCCCTCCTCTAAGGGGATGTAACTCCATGTGTTGGACTTGCTTAAAACCTTCCAAAACAAAACCTCAGGTTATATCCACTGCAAGCTTACATGTCGCCATTCAGCATAGCATAAACATTTTATAGCTTTCTAACAAATAGACCTGAACGAGACATCTGTGTTTGATCCTATCTATAATGGCTGTTATGGGGAAAGTCTATGTTGAGGGGCACAGGACCACCCATCTGTAATGGGTTCTGTCTATGTTGAGGGGGCACTGGACCACCCTGTAATGGTCCTGTCTATGGGTCCTGTCCTGTCTATGTTGAGGGGCACTGGGCCACCCACCTGTAATGGGACCTGTCTATGTTGAGGGGGCCACCCACCTGTAATGGGACCTGGAGGGGGCACTGGACCACCCATCTGTAATGGGACCTGTCTATGTTGAGAGGGCACCGGACCACCCATCTGTAATGGGTCCTGTCTATGTTGAGGGGCACTGGACCACCCACCTGTAATGGGACCTGTCTATGTTGAGGGGCACTGGACCACCCATCTGTAATGGGACCTGTCTATGTTGAGGGGCACCGGACCACCCATCTGTAATGGGTCCTGTCTATGTTGAGGGGGCACTGGACCTGCACCCACCTGTAATGGGCCTGTCTATGGTGAGGGGGCACTGGACCACCCACCTGTAATGGGCCTGTCTATGTTGAGGGGCACTGGACCACCCACCTGTAATGCACCTGTCTTTGGTGAGGGGACACTAGACCACCCACCTGTAATGGAGCCTGCCTTTGGTGAGGAGGCACAGGGCCACTTCCAGCAGCAGGGATGGATGTGACTTCTACTTGCACATCCTGGTCCTCTTCTCCCTTAGCAACAGTATCCAGGGGCTCTGGGATGGTAGGGGATTCGGCAGGAAGCTGGCTGTTGTCTTCAGGCTCAGTCTTTGTTACAGCGTCAGTGATCTGAGAAATACATAGACATTTGAATATAAACCCACTGCACCTCCTTAATTAAAGCCTAAAATGCTTTAGTTTAATTACAAAATATGTCACTTGCTGGACTCAATGGTAACGTGTGTAAAATGTGTAGGGCTGGCTATCAACATAGATCACGGAGATCAATAATCATTAACTAAATATTGATCGATTATTGATAAATATCGGAAAATTAACTTTAAGCAAATTGCCATTGTGAGTGGTGACATATTTATCCATGGATGACTTACAAAACAGCATCCTGAACATAGTTTACTAATTCTTGCCATCGGTGGTATTTCTGATTATCAGTCTTTTCAGCCAGCCCCAGAAATTTGGGGATAGGACATTTAGACAGGAAGTATGCATCCCCATGCGCACCATTGCTGCTCCACTTCCTGCTGATCCTTTCTTTATGGATGTGATTAGAAAAATCAAAACAAGGGACTAAGGCCAAGAACTGAAGTACATCAGTGACCTGATGTTGTTCAAAGGTCAAATGGTCAATTGACTCCATTGTGTTACCCAACCAACCTAGATATAAAATAAACCTCATCTGTTTCATACTAATTTCTAAGCATAAAAATTCCATGAGACAAAAACTCTCGACACGACTATGGCGATAGGGAAGACTTCATCTCTCAGACAGTGAACTTTCTACAAACAGAACCCTGCAACTACTATGTGTTCCCATGTTTCTTCAGGTGAACCCTTGACTTGACTCTTCATGTGTTTGTGACTTGACTCTGCATGTGCTTGTCACTTGATTCTGCATGTGTTTGTGACTTGATGCTGCATGTGTTTGTGACTTGATGCTGCATGTGTTTGTGACTTGACTCTTCATGTGTTTGTGACTTGATGCTGCATGTGTTTGTGACTTGACTCTGCATGTGTTTGTGACTTGACTCTGCATGTGTTTGTGACTTGACTCTGCATGTGTTTGTGACTTGGCTCTGCACGTCTTGTGACTTGGCTCTGCATGTGTTTGTGACTGCACTTTCTGCATGTGAACTTGTGACCTTGACTCTTTGATGAGTTTGTGACTTGGCTCTTTGCATGTGCTTGTAGCAATATTCCAGCAACATCTGCATGGGTTTGTGAAAGGTACCCCCACTGGAGAACTGGAGAAGACTGCTCTTTCCGAGAACACCTGGTACCTTCACTATTTGATTGAGTTTAGAAACATATACACAGATATGGTTGGAATAGTACAGTAAGCTCTGTTTATATCCCAGATTTCTTATTACTATAGAAGGGTTCTGCTAACACAGTCCTGGCAGCAGAAGCACAAATATCTTTGGGGTCAGCTAAGATTATTTTCACACCTAAACTAACCTTATCAGCCTCTACATGAGTTGTGTGCCCATCTTGGGTAATCTCCCCTGAGTGACTCTCCTGTTCACAAAGGTCACGTAACTCATCCTCCAGTTCACTGATGTCCGCGTGGTCCACCTCGGCTCCAGAGGAGACACTCTCTGATGCCTGGGGGAGGTGGATCTGTCCTGACAGGGTCCGGGGACGATGATGACCGCTAAACTGGGTGCTTTGGTCAGTGGAGTACAGCTGGTCTGTCAGCAGTCCAATGTCTGTGCTACAAAGGGAGACAACTCCTGTTATAGCCTTCCCACAGCAAGATGTCTCACAATGGTACATCACATTTTGTAAATGAGAGACTGACTGTTGTTTAAAGTCAGCAACATTCAATACAATCAATACAACATGTTAGTTACTCATTGATCTTGTTGTTTTAAGTCAGCAACATTCAATACAATCAATACAATATGTTAGTTACACATTGATCTTGTTGTTTAAAGTCAGCAACATTCAATACAATCAATACAATATGTTAGTTACTCACTGATCTTGTTGTTAGTTACTGATTGCACAATTTGAGATCTGTATGAACCTGTTCCTCCCAACATTACATGGTTCACTTGTGGAAAGGAGTTACAGGCCATTGAATGTCCTGTTGTGTTGAGGTATGGCATGGAGTGTTGTGTTGTGTTGAGGTATGGCATGGAGTGTTGTGTTGAGGTATGGCATGGAGTGTTGTGTTGTGTTGAGGTATGGCATGGAGTGTTGTGTTGTGTTGAGGTATGGCATGGAGTGTTGTGTTGTGTTGAGGTATGGCATGGAGTGTTGTGTTGTGTTGAGGTATGGCATGGAGTGTTGTGTTGTGTTGAGGTATGGAGCATGGAGTGTAGTGTTGTGTTGTGTTGAGGCATGGCATGGAGTGTTGTTGTGTTGAGGTATGGAGCGGAGGTGGATGTTGTGTTGTGTTGAGGTATGGCATGGAGTGTTGTGTTGTGTTATGGCAGGTATGGCATGGAGGAGTTGTGTTGTGTTGAGGTATGACATGGAGTTGTTGTGTTGAGGTGTTGTGTTGAGGTATGGCATGGAGTGTTGTGTTGTTGAGGTATGGCATGGAGTTGTTGTGTTGTGATGAGGTACATGGAGTGTTGTGTTGTATTGTGTTGAGGTATGGCATGGAGGTGTGTGTTGTGTTGTGTTGTGTTGAGTTGAGGTATGGCATGGATGAGTATGGCATGGAGTTGTGTTGTGTTGAGGTATGGCATGGAGTGTTGTGTTGTGTTGAGGTATGGCATGGAGTGTTGTGTGGTGTTGAGGTATGGCATGGAGTGTTGTGTTGAGGTATGGCATGGAGTGTTGTGTTGTGTTGAGGTATGGCATGGAGTTTGTGGAGTGTTGTGTTGTGTTGAGGTATGGCATGGCATGGAGTGATGTTGTGTGTTGTGTTGAGGTATGGCATGGAGTGTTGTGTTGTGTTGAGGTATGGCATGGAGAGTTGTGTTGTGTTGAGGTATGGCATGGATGGTTGTGGAGGTATGGCATTGAGTGTAGTGTTGTGGTATGGCATGGAGTATAGTGTTGTGTTGTGGTATGGCATGGAGTATAGTGTTGTGTTGTGGTATGGCATGAAGTATAGTGTTCTGTTGTGGTATGGCATGGAGTATAGTGTTCTGTTGTGACAGGTGGTGTTGCATGGCATGGAGTGTAGTGTTGTGTTGTGGCATGGAGCTGAGTGCTACCCGAGATACAGTCTGGCCAGGGTGATGACACACTATACACTCACTCTGTGATGAGGCTGTTGTCGAGACTCGGGTAGTCTGTCCTCTGGGTTTGACTGCTGTAGTTAGGGCCTCGATCTGGAGACAGAAACCAACACATATATTTCCAAACACATTTATTTTGTCTCGTCAAGGACTTCCGAGGACAAATATTTAGGATTTCATAAAATGATGAAAATTATCTAAAATTACGCAGTAATAACATGTAATATCATTTCAGGAGATAAAACACCATTCACAGTATGCACAACATTGTAAAGAATCGACATTAATGTAACCAGTCCCTACAATAACCTGAACATACATGCAACCTTTCCCTGGTAACCAATGGCAACCAGAAGCCAACCTACCAGCAGTTAGAATCACAAATAGTGGAACAAATACACCATTATGTATAAGCCTTTCAAGCTGCCTTGTTTTGTAAATGACACAACATTAAATCTGCCCAAGTCAATGGCTACACATTTAGAGCTGGGAAAATCAATGCATGAGTATTAGCTACCCGGCCTCCATTGATCCTGCAGGTGTCATAATGTAATAGATTCAACACACAGCCAGATTAAGCTGGCGTGAAACTACTAAAACAATATGTGCTTTGTGTATATGTGAGCATCCATCCACCCAGATACATACTCACACTAACACAGTCATGTGTACAAATACATACAGACACACACAAACACAGACACATACAGATGCATAATAGATAAATATGGTCTCTGCTTACATACAGACAGATACAGATTCAGACATGTACAGATATACAGTTACATACAGACACATACAGATTCAGTTGTGTACAGGGGCGGTGGGGTAGCCCAGTGGTTAAAGCGTTAGCTCGTCACGCCGAAGACCTGGGTTCGAATCCCCACATGGGTACAAAGTGTGCAGCCCATTTCTGGTGTCCCCCGCCGTGATGTTGCTGGAATATTGCTAAAAGCGGCGTAAAACCAAACTCAGTCAGTCAGTCGTGTACAGATATATAGCTACATATGCATTCATACAGACATGTACAGATACCGACTTACTTGCTCCTGTTAAACCAGTACACCCAGATATGAACATGTGATGTAACTGTCTCCGCCGTGTAACTCTACAGGACATGGCCCACCAAGCTAGCCTTATTAGCTAACCCTGACATTGTTGCTGTGACAGTCCTATCACCAACTACTTCAGACATACCTCCAGTCATACATGGTCATATTTGACCTGGGTAAACATCTCAAGCCCACTTCCAGCTGTCAAACATACAAGCTCTTCATGGCACCCTCCACGGCACCCTCCACACAACCCGAGTGTGCATACTCTGGACAAACCTCTCTGCATCCTTCTACGCAAAGCTTTGAGGGACATGTTCTGTCTAAGTCAGTGAGTGAGTTTGGTTTTACGCCATTTTTAGCAATATTCCAGCAATATCACGGCAGGGGACACTAGAAATGGGCTTCACACATTGTACCCAAGTGGGGAATCAAACCTGGGTCTTCTTCACGACAGGCTAATGCTTTAACCACTAGGCTACCCCACTGCCCCTCTGTCTAAGAATCCATTATGTAATGATATCACACACATACACTGACACAAAATGAATGGAACTGATGTCGAATATTTGGAGACATGGTCTTTCACTCCCAGTGATTTTAATGAATAGGGACGGGCATTTGATGGAAAAAATTCCTAAACACATTATTTCAATATGGACTGTTATATATATTGGGACCAACCAATTCTCATAGATTCAACTGGACTGTTTTATACCATGGGACCAACCAATTCTCATAGATTCAACTGGACTGTTTTATACCACGGGAGTAACCAATTCTCATAGATTCAACTGGACTGTTTTATACCATGGGACCAACCAATTCTCATAGATTCAACTGGACTGTTTTATACCACGGGACCAACCAATTCTCATAGATTCAACTGGACAAACTGCTGCATGTCTGATCTGATAATACCATTAATCAGCAATGAACATTAGACCAAAATCAATATTGATCAAGAACTGTAGAGAGACCCTGGTCTACTGTACAAGAACTTCGTTATACAGTACTGGGTCGGGGGTCAAGGACAAGCCCTCTGGAGAGGTAGGTGTATAGAATCATGTAAATTTTGAAGATTGATCATGACTGATGACGTGAAATTGTCCAAATGGAAAAATAAGAGATTAATAGCACATTTTCTCAGTATTCTTCAGGTAAAATAAGAAAAGAACCGACCTGTAAAACAGTGAGCTGACAATAACATAACTGAAAAATATTCTACACAGACTTCACGATCAATTCCTTTGATTGTACAATGAAGCACATGTGATACATGTGGTCTCACCTTAGGCAAGTGAGTTTGTCCAAAATTGCCTCTATTCACCCAGCATAAAAAGGGTACCTAGTGAAATAAGTTGTGAGACTATTAACCTTCTAGCGAATAATGATCATATTGTGAGCTTTGAACACTGGATATCTAGCCAGGAAAAGGCTTGTTTTAAATATTGTCATTATTCTTATTATTATTGATATGAACCCAATCATTTAACAAATGAGATCACTTTATTGTAACCAAACGTCATTCAACAGGCACATAGACCTGGTCAGTTGTTAAGGCACACCCTGTTCCACACCACTACACTGGACGCTAACCATTACACTAACTGGCAGAGGTGTTATCCTTAGAGATACAATGTTTACCTCCGAGCAGGGAATCCTATCGTACAGCCATCACTCAGTCTCCATGGACACTGAAACACTTCCACCACACCACTGCTTGACAGTCAGTCTGTCCTAGTGACCAGCTACCTGCGTTTATACCTTGATCCTAATTAACACAGTGTTAAGTAATTATTGTACCTGGTCGTGGTATTACCTGTGGACAATCTTGGCCAGGTAATTCCCTCCATGACCCAGGTAATCAGGCTGAGAAGCTACCCCCTCCCCCCAAACACCAAACATGATCTCTAGGAGTGTAATCACCTTAATCTACCACCTAGCCTATTGCATGCCTGGCTGGCCACACACTTGAGATTGTCACAATGTTACAACATGACAGCCAACACAGACACAGCACTTTCAGAGGAGACTAATTGTCCCATGGCTCTTCACTATGTATACATTTATGGGTACTAAATAGTACAATGTATATGTCTACCAGTAATCATTACTTTGTACAACACATCTACCAGGTACAGTGTAAACTTAACATTGTAACCACTACATAGTACAGTGCGTACATCTACCAGTAATCACTATTTAGGACAATCTATATGTCTACCTGTAATCACTAAGTAATTACTGGTTGACGTATACATTTATTCTAAATAGTGCAATGTACACAATCTACCAGTAATCACTACTTAGAATAATATATATGTCTACCAGTAATAACTAAATAGTACAATGGACGCTCGATGGGTGAGCGATCTAAGGTGCCAGGGTAGGGATCCAGCAAGCTTAAGGTGCCGGGATCGAGCCAACCTGTGACAGGTAGTGTTGGGAATTGGTTAAAATCTCATAATTGATGATTGGTTCATTACCACCGATCAATCATCGAAAATAATTGGTTAGCGTCATTTATGAAATTTGTTAATGCACATAAAAATATGGAAAAAATCCATGTATTTCTTTTGGGTTTTTTGTGGCACTATTTCATATCTTTAAAGGATGACTAGTATGTTAGGAACATAAATTTCTTGGAATCTTTAAGATAAATTCAATCATGACTTGAAACGAGCTTGTAGTGCTTACGAAATATAACAGACAAAACCAACCATGTGAAAAATATTGTTAATGAAAACAAGTGTTCCAGAATTGTTTGTGTTCGATTATGAGAAATTATGATCGATTGCTTGGTCGTTTAGTCACTACGACCAATCTTCGATTATTTCAATTAATCGGACCACCACCTGTGACCGGGTGTAAACACCTTGGAGTCAGCTGTATGTGCAGACTCTTTCAGTGTTGTCACAACCCCTAGTGTACAGTACACAACCCTGTGCACCAACAAATCCGTTGGTATATGACCAGATGGAGACCACATGAATACGTGCAAACACCTAGTTGTGGGTACAGCAGTGTGCAGTGAACTTGGACAAAATACTGTGACTATGTGTCCCAGTCCACCCAGCTGTGAATGGGTACCTTGTAAGCATGGGAAGGCCACATTAACTCAGTGCGCCTAGCGGCTGCAAGAGTTATATGATCCCCAGGGAGTTGAGATTGATGTGCCGTTTGAGATTGACATCCAATGAATTCAGGAAAAACAAAGCGCTTTGAGCAGCTGAGCCGGGCTGAGCTAGATAGTGGCGCTATACAAATATCTTATAATAAAATATAAGAAATAATATTGTATACAATCTACCAGTAATTACTACTTAGAATAATGTATACGTCTACCAGTGATTACTAAATAATACCGTGCCTACACTTACCACTAAACACTATTTCATACAATCTATATGTAGACCAGTAATCACTGCTTTGACGAATGTACATACATGTACCAGTAGTCACTACTTAGTACAAAAATATAGAAATAAACATCAGGATTGACAAAGGAAAAACACAAAAAGATTGTGTGGCTGTAAATTTTTTGACAAATTGCTACAATACATATTTATTAAGCTACAACACACACTCTCCAAGCTACAACACAGACTTACCAAGCTACAACATTCACTCTCCAAGCTACAACACAGACTCACCAAGCTACAACACATACTCAACAAGCTACAACACATACTCAACAAGCTACAACATTCACTACTCCAAGCTACAAGCAAACACAGACTCACCAAGCTACAACACATACTCAACAAGCTACAACAGACTCAACAAGCTACAACACATACTCAACAAGCTACAACACATAGACTCACCAAGCTACAACACAGACTCAACAAGCTACAACACATACTCAACAAGCTACAACACAGACTCAACAAGCTACAACACATACTCAACAAGCTACAACACATACTCAACAAGCTACAACACATACTCAACAAGCTACAACACATACTCAACAAGCTACAACACAGACTCAACAAGCTACAACAGACTCAACAAGCTACAACACATACTCAACAAGCTACAACACATACTCAACAAGCTACAACACAGACTCAACAAGCTACAACAGACTCACCAAGCTACAACACATACTCACCAAGCTACAACACAGACTCACCAAGCTACAACACATACTCAACAAGCTACAACACTGACTCACCAAGCTACAACACATACTCAACAAGCTACAACAACTGACTCAACAAGCTACAACAGACATACTCAAGCACAGCACACACTAACAAGCTACATACTCAACAAGCTACAACACATACTCAACAAGCTACAAACACAGACTCACCAAGCTACAACACATACTCAACAAGCTACAACACATACTCAACAAGCTACAACACATACTCAACAAGCTACAACACATTACTCAATAAGACTCAACAAGCTACAACAGACTCAACAAGCTACAACACATACTCAACAAGCTACAACACATACTCAAAGCTACAAGCTACAACTACATGCTACTCAACAAGCTACAACACATACTCAACAAGCTACAACACATACTCAACAAGCTACAACACAGACTCAACAAGCTACAACAGACTCAACAAGCTACAACACATACTCAACAAGCTACAACACATACTCAACAAGCTACAACACATACTCAACAAGCTACAGCCCTGACTCAACAAGCTACAACACATACTCAACAAGCTACAACAGACTCAACAAGCTACAACACATACTCAACAAGCTACAACACAGACTCAACAAGCTACAACAGACTCACCAAGCTACAACACATACTCAACAAGCTACAACACATACTCAACAAGCTACAACAGACTCACCAAGCTACAACAGACTCACACAAGCTACAACACAAACTCAACAAGCTACAACCCTGACTCACCAAGCTACAACACATACTCAACAAGCTACAACACATACTCAACAAGCTACAACACATACTCAACAAGCTACAACAGACTCACCAAGCTACAACACAGACTCAACAAGCTACAACAGACTCAACAAGCTACAACACATACTCAACAAGCTACAACACATACTCACCAAGCTACAACACATACTCAACAAGCTACAACACATACTCAACAAGCTACAACACATACTCTCCAAGCTACAACAGACTCAACAAGCTACAACAGACTCAACAAGCTACAACACATACTCAACAAGCTACAACACATACTCAACAAGCTACAACACCAAGCTACAACACATACTCAAGCTACAGCCCTGACTCAACAAGCTACAACAGCTACCACATACTCAACACATACCAACTACAACAGACTCACCAAGCTACAACACAGACTCTCCAAGCTACTACAGACTCACCAAGCTACAACACATACTCAACAAGCTACAACAGACTCAACAAGCTACAACACATACTCACCAAGCTACAACAGACTCAACAAGCTACAACACATACTCAACAAGCTACAACAGACTCAACAAGCTACAACACAGACTCAACAAGCTACAACACATACTCAACAAGCTACAACACATACTCACCAAGCTACAACACAGACTCACCAAGCTACAACACATACTCAACAAGCTACAACACAGACTCAACAAGCTACAACAGACTCACCAAGCTACAACACATGCTCAACAAGCTAAACACATACTCAACAAGCTACAACACATGACTCAACAAGCTACAACATGACTCAACAAGCTACAACACACTCACCAAGCTACAACACTATGACTCAACAAGCTACACATACTCAACAAGCTACAACAGACTCAACCAAGCTACAACACAGACTCAACAAGCTACAACAGACTCAACAAGCTACAACACATACTCAACAAGCTACTCTGACGGATCATTTCTGACGTATCAATGATCATATTTCAATATTGATGATTTCCATGACGATGATTCATGCATCAACAGATGATCAATATCAATGACGGATCCATGAATGACGGATCAATGATCAAAATCATGGATCTATTATCTCAATGGATATCGATGGATCTGGACCTCAACAATTGACGGATCAATAAATGATTCCATTATGATCTGATGGATCTAATATCAACAGATATGGACTCAAATATCCTCAATGGCCCTCATGGATCATCAGGGCTGAAGGACTCAGGGGCCCTGGCCTCGGCTGACAGGACTCTGGGCCCTGGATCTCCTTCTGGCCCTGATCATGGAGTCACCAGGACAGGATCGTCAAATCCTCCAGCCCTTTCCACCACTTCCACCCTTTCCACCACTGGGCTTTCCTTCCTCCATTCCACCCTTTCCTTCCTTCTTTCCATTTCCACTTCAAGACTCCTTTCCTTCTTTCCTTCTTTCAAACTCTTCCTTTCCTTTCCTTCCTTTTCCTTCCACTGCCTCCATGCTTTCATTTCCTCCATTTCCTTCCTGAACTCCATTTCCTTCCTTCTTCATTTTCAGACTCCACCAACTCAACAAGCTCCACCACTTCCTTTCTCCACCAACATACTCACCAAGCTACAACAGACTCCATGGCTACAGCACATACTCACTTGCCTGGCTACACAGCCTGACTCCACCAGCTTCCATGGGCCTCAACAAGCTACAACAGACCACCCAGAGGCTACAACACATACTCACCCTTCACAGCCCTGGCCTCCCTTTGGCAACAAGACTCCTTAGGCTACAACCTTACTCTCCAGAGTTACAGCAGACTGCAAGCTGCTTACATGCTCAGCTACAGCCCTGACTCACCAAGCTACAACACACACATACTCTCCAAGCTGGGAGACTCACCAAGCTAACAGACCAACAAGCTACAGCCACCTTCTCAACGGCTACATGCCTGGCTCACCAAGCTACAACAGACTGCAAGCTGGCCACCTCCAGAAGCACAACGGACTCACCAGGCCACAGCACAGATCCGCAGGTTGGCCGGCTCACTTGTGGCTGCCAGCAGGGCTCACTGCCAGGCGCGCGCGCGCGCGCGCGCGCGCGCGCGCGGTGGCGGCCGGCGGCGGCCAGACTCCGCCAGGCTGGCCAGCTCACTGGCTGCCAGCGCAGACTCCGCAGGCTGCGGCACGGGCTCCGCCAGGCTGCAGCACTGGCTCGCAAGCCACGGCACTGGCTCGCCAGACAGGGCTGTGGCTGCACAGCACTCGCTCTCCAGGGCCCCAGCTGGGCTCAGGCAAGCCTGCTTACAGACTCACCGGGTGCAAACCACACAGCCACTCACCCAGGCTGCAGCCCTGGCTCCGCAGGCTGCAACAGACTCACCCAGGCCTGGCAGCCCTCTCCAGGCTACCGGCCAGGCTCCCGCCGGCCACGCAGCACTGGCTCTCCGCCACCAGGCACGGGGGCTTCGACAAAGGCTACAACGCTGTCCGGCTACAGCACGGACTTGCCAGGCACCTGGCCGGTTTCACTCTCCAGAAGCTGCTGGCGCGGCCACCAGCTTCACCACCGGACTCCTTAGGCTGCGAGACTCCACCGCACTGCACCCGCACTCTGGGAATACAGCACAGACTTGCCAGGCTGGCCTGGATGCCAAAACCACTGCGCTCTCAAGCGGCTACAATAGACTCACCAGGCTATAACGTTTCTGGGCAATGGAACTCTGGCTATAACACGGACTGCTGATATTGCCACAGATACCAGGCTGTTTGCTCACCAAGCTGAACCCAGACCTGGCTGGCTCTCAGGTTACAACAGACTCACCAGGCAAACTGGACTCGCGGCTGGCAGACTCTGGCTGCCCAGCCACTCCAGCAAACTGCCGCCCTCCAGCAGGCTGACCGGCTCATGGCTGCAACCAGATCAACAGGCTACAATGCCTCGGCTACGGCTCTGACTCTGGCTACAACCAGACTCCGCCAGGCTGGCAGACTCACCCAGCCTGCAATGACTCCGCCAGGCTGCAACCAGACTCCGCCAGGCTACCATAAATGGACTCACCAGGCTATAACCGCACTCCACCAGGCTATTGATACACCGGCTATGCCTGAATGCTGGCTGATGCCTCACCAGGCAGCTGTACCGGACTTACCAGGCTACAACTGCTTGCTCTCCAGTTACTGACGACTCACCAGGCTGGCAGTTCTGGGCTGATGCCTCAGGCTGGCCACGTACTCGACAGGCCGGCATCCTGACTCACCAGGCTACAACCAGACTCACCAGGCAGCTACCAGACTCTCCGGGGCTACCTGACGGACTCACCGACGGCTTCGGTATCCTCCGGGCTACAACCAGACTCCACCGGCTACACTGGCTCGTCGATACCGGCTCCGCCAGGCTGCAACGGATCACCAGATACGAGCACGTGCTCAACAGGCTACAAACAGATCGCCAGGCTGACTCAAGGCTGGCGGATCTGGAAGCTATAACGTTCAGGTCTGACACATGCTCACCAGGCTATGGCTGGACTCCGCCAGGCTACAACACAGATCTGGCGCTGACTCATGCTGACTCACCAAAGGAACAAGGAGGCTGACGCACTCATCTCAAATTTCGCCTGGACTCTGGCTGGACTCGCCAGGCTATGGATCACCGGAGTCTGGAAGCCTGGATCCATGGAATACGGCGCTGACTCATGGTACAAGGACTGTCGCTGACCTTCATATTAATGGATCATGATCATGGAAATCACCAATTTCCATCGATTGGATGATATCGGATTGGTGATGGATATCTCCAGGACGGAGTTGGATCCGGATTCATGGCGGATCATTCTTGAAGGAACTCTAAACCAAAAATGCAACAGCATTAAACGAGAACAAAGAATCTGAGAACAAACTTAACCTTTAGAAGTCCGAATCTACAGTGTTAAAATTGTTCATATCTACTGACATAATGATATCCCTGGACAGCTATATTCACTCACCATGGTCCATTTCCTCTCACATTTCCCATGCTTAGCCGCATCATTTCCTAGTACACAAGTGTTGTGAGTGATACAGTACTGTATTGCAATACAAGCCCTCAATATACTGATTTTCTAGCTCCTGTACAATGCATACTATTAACCTGGAAAATAATTGATTACTGATGTATACACTGTATTGCAATTACTTAGCTTCATGTATACATTCTTCTGACACACTGGTGATTACTGATTGATTGTATACATTGTATTATTCATTGGATTACTGCTTCATGTATACATTCTTCTAAACGAGTGATTACTGGTTGAGTGTATAGATGTATTATTCATTGTATTATTCTTCTACTGGTAATTACACTGTATTATTCAGTAATTGCTGCATATACATTCTTCTAAACAGTGATAACTGGTTGATTGTATACATTGTATTATTCAGTAATTACTGCTTCATGTATACATTCTTCTAAACAGTGATTACTGGTAGATTGTATACATTGTATTATTCAGTAATTACTGCTTCATGTATACATTCTTCTAAACAGTGATTACTGGTTGATTGTATACACTGTATTATTCAGTAATTACTGCTTTATGTATACATTCTTCTAAACAGTGATTACTGGTAGATTGTATACACTGTATTATTCAGTAATTACTGCTTCATGTATACATTCTTCTAAACAGTGATTACTGGTAGATTGTATACACTGTATTATTCAGTAATTACTGCTTTATGTATACATTCTTCTAAACAGTGATTACTGGTTGATTGTATACACTGTATTATTCAGTAATTACTGCTTCATGTATACATTCTTCTAAACAGTGATTACTGGTTGATTGTATACATTGTATTATTCAGTAATTACTGCTTCATGTATACATTCTTCTAAACAGTGATTACTGGTAGATTGTATACATTGTATTATTCAGTAATTACTGCTTCATGTATACATTCTTCTAAGCAGTGATTACTGGTAGATTGTATACATTGTATTATTCAGTAATTACTGTTCATGTATTCAAGTAGTGATTACTGGTTGATTGTATACATTGTATTATTCAGTAATTACTGCTTTTTTCTAAGCAGTGATTACTGGTAGATTGTATACACTGTATTATTCAGTAATTACTGCTTTATGTATACATTCTTCTAAACAGTGATTACTGGTTGATTGTATACATTGTATTATTCAGTAATTACTGCTTCATGTATACATTCTTCTAAACAGTGATTACTGGTAGATTGTATACATTGTATTATTCAGTAATTACTGCTTCATGTATACATTCTTCTAAACAGTGATTACTGGTAGATTGTATACATTGTATTATTCAGTAATTACTGCTTCATGTATACATTCTTCTAAACAGTGATTACTGGTTGATTGTATACATTGTATTATTCAGTAATTACTGCTTCATGTATACATTCTTCTAAACAGTGATTACTGGTAGATTGTATACATTGTATTATTCAGTAATTACTGCTTCATGTATACATTCTTCTAAACAGTGATTACTGGTAGATTGTATACATTGTATTATTCAGTAATTACTGCTTCATGTATACATTCTTCTAAGCAGTGATTACTGGTAGATTGTATACATTGTATTATTCAGTAATTACTGCTTCATGTATACATTCTTCTAAACAGTGATTACTGGTAGATTGTATACATTGTATTATTCAGTAATTACTGCTTCATGTATACATTCTTCTAAACAGTGATTACTGGTTGATTGTATACATTGTATTATTCAGTAATTACTGCTTCATGTATACATTCTTCTAAACAGTGATTACTGGTAGATTGTATACATTGTATTATTCAGTAATTACTGCTTCATGTATACATTCTTCTAAACAGTGATTACTGGTAGATTGTATACATTGTATTATTCAGTAATTACTGCTTCATGTATACATTCTTCTAAGCAGTGATTACTGGTAGATTGTATACATGGTATTATTCAGTAATTACTGCTTCATGTATACATTCTTCTAAGCAGTGATTACTGGTAGATTGTATACATGGTATTATTCAGTAATTACTGCTTCATGTATACATTCTTCTAAGCAGTGATTACTGGTAGATTGTATACATGGTATTATTCAGTAATTACTGCTTCATGTATACATTCTTCTAAGCAGTGATTACTGGTAGATTGTATACATGGTATTATTCAGTAATTACTGCTTCATGTATACATTCTTCTAAACAGTGATTACTGGTAGATTGTATACATGGTATTATTCAGTAATTACTGCTTCATGTATACATTCTTCTAAAGCAGTGATTACTGGTAGATTGTATACATTGTATTATTCAGTAATTACTGCTTCATGTATACATTCTTCTAAACAGTGATTACTGGTAGATTGTATACATTGTATTATTCAGTAATTACTGCTTCATGTATACATTCTTCTAAGCAGTGATTACTGGTAGATTGTATACATGGTATTATTCAGTAATTACTGCTTTATGTATACATTTTTCTAAGCAGTGATTACTGGTAGATTGTTTACATTGTATTATTCAGTAATTACTGCTTCATGTATACATTCTTCTAAGCAGTGATTACTGGTAGATTGTATACATTGTATTATTCAGTAATTACTGCTTTATGTATACATTCTTCTAAGCAGTGATTACTGGTAGATTGTATACATTGTATTATTCAGTAATTACTGCTTTATGTATACATTTTTCTAAGCAGTGATTACTGGTAGATTGTATACATGGTATTATTCAGTAATTACTGATTCATGTATACATTCTTCTAAACAGTGATCACTGGTAGCTGTATACATTGTACTAAATAGTGGTTGCTGGTAGACGGTTAGATTGTACTAGATTATACACTCCATCACAGGTTTGTCTTCACCTTCTGCCCACCTGATCTATAAACATAAGAAATATAACAGAAACTGTGACAGAACTTGTGTATGCAGACTCTGGGTTTTCCAGGTTGGCTATAAATAACAATCAGCACATTGCACCCCGCCTCATATGTTTCTCCCATACAACATGCAACCTTCAATCACTATTATTTGAAAACAAAAGACAGACGGTTGTGAATCACCTGCAAAAAGGGAGAGAATTTGAAATGTTAGTACTGTATGGGGATATACAACGTATCACACCCATTTATACTCAGCAGCAAACCAAACGTCAATACAAATTCAAAATTAGATAGGCACTGTAATCAAATCATTACAGAAATTGACATAATAATAAGCGGATCAAAACAAAATTTTGTGTACAATATCTTAACACATCAATGGATAGCTCAGCACAATTTCAAGACATTACGTGAACGTTTGCAGTCCATTCAGACTCTTGACTCCAGTATCTAGTGTGACCACAACGAGCGGCAATAACTGCAGCAGAGCGTCTATGCATGGAGTGCACCAATTGTTTGATGAAGGCCATTGGCACCTGGAACTGTACTCTGAGAAAAGCCTGGTGCAACTAAGCGGCTGTGTTCGGCCTTGGTATGACATTATTCAGTCTCCTCTGAATTTCATTCCAAAGATCTTCAGTTGGGTTTAATCAGGACTAAGGGCTGGCCACTGCATAATGTTGACACCATTCTGCTCTAGGAAGTTCCGTGTAGCTCTGGCAGTATGGGCCCGGGCGTTATCATGCGGGAAAATGTTGTTCCGGAGACGTGCGAAATGTGGTATGACGCAGGGTCTGAGAGCTTGGTCGATGTAGCGCACCGCTGTGATGCCGCCTCTTCTCCCTGGACCAAGGTTCTGGAACACCACAGGACCTACTATCTGGTTCAGGCCTATTCCACCCCATGCCATGATGCTTGCACCTCCCCATGAGTCTCTTTCCATAACACATTGGTCTGAGTAACGTTGCCCTCATCCTCGCCATATTCTTGTTCGCCATTGATACGCAGTACCGACTGTCATCTGTGAACAGAACAGTTCTCCATTGCCTGTATCTCCAGTTTTGGTGTTGTAGGGCAAACTGCAGACATTCACGCTGATGACAAGGGGTGATAGGTCCACAGTAAGGTCTACGGCAATGGAGGTTCCCGCTGTTAAGACATCGGCGTACTGGATCAGTACTGATTGGTCTTTCGTGTGTTCCCAGTGTCTGGCGTGCTGTTTCGGATGCCTGCATGAAGGGATTCTGTACATGCTGTCGCACAACATGGCGGTCTTGTCGTCTTGTGGTCACCCTTGGTCTGCCAGTACGGGGGCAATCATTTGTGGTGTTGGTGGCCCGGAAACGTTGCTGCAGCCTGTAGATGGTCCGAACGTTGACCTGGAAGTAATTGGCAATGGCTTGTGCAGTGTGGCCAGCTTCAAGTCTTCCTAGCGCCTGGTTCCTCTGAGCCGCCGTAGTCGCGGCATCCTGCTGACATTGTAATGTGAATGTTTCAAGCCGGTTTGGGGGTTCATTTTATAGGGGTGGTCCTTGTGAACAGCGCGTGCAGTATGATCTGCATGAAAAACATGGAGAACACCGTACCATCTCCGAGGTCAGGTCGCGTTTTTGAGACCATTTCCTGGGTTCAATTCTGAGTTTGGGAAGGAATGTCTTTGCTCAGGTAAAGTTGGAGATTTTGTCAAAAATATACAATCAAAACATTAAATGAGTTTACAGTAATACGTTTCTGTGAAGGAAAATTCCAAACTGATGTTTCTTTTGCTGCTTAGTATAATTGGGATACATATCGTATCCCAGGCTTTCCATGTCATTAGACCTTAGATCCAAAACACACAACACATACTCCATATACCCTCTACATCACACTCCAATCAAGGAACAACAGTTACTTTATTAAGATTATGAATGAATCAGAATATACTCACATCATCAAAGTTGAACAGTGAACCCATTGACCCTCGCCTGAAAACAGATGGACAATTTTTAGTGACGCAAAGCTTCCATACACAAGAAGTGCTTACAGATGGAAAGGTCACGGTATACTCGCAACATGTCCTGGACCCCAACAGGCGCTGTATGAAACCAGTTACTGCTTGCGGATGGAAATTTCAGGTATACTCACGGTGTGTCGCTGGACCCCAACAGGTGCTGTATGACCATCATGGAGTCGAGCGCCTGCTGGTCGACGGAGCCCGTGTTGTGACTGGCTGCCTGGGCAACACGGGAGCTGGCATCACGTGGTGTGGCAGCAACTGTCTGCAAAAAAGATTTCGTGACAAGCTAATTGGACAGAACATCGACAAACCAAACAGTTTAACAAACAAAATTACAAATGAAAAAGAAAGTTAAATAAACAGGAAATAGCAAAACACACAAAATCAACAATCAGCAAAAACATCCTTTCAAGTTCCAGGATGCTTGTTTTGTTTCCTTCTGCCCACCTGATTATTAGTCTTCACATTCTGTCTACCTGATTATTAGTCTTCACCTTCTGTCTACCAGATTAATAGTCTTCACATTCTGTCTACCTGATTATTAGTCTTCACATTCTGTCTACCTGATTATTAGTCTTCACCTTTCCTGTCATTCTTGGTCTACCTGTCTTATTAGTCTTCACCTTCTGTCTACCTGATAATTAGTCTTCACCTTCTGTCTACCTGATTATTAGTCTTCACATCCTGTCTACCAGATTATTAGTCTTCACCTTCTGCCCACCTGATTATTAGTCTTCACATTCTGTCTACCAGATTATTAGTCTTCACCTTCTGCCCACCTGATTATTAGTCTTCACATTCTGTCTACCAGATTATTAGTCTTCACCTTCTGTCTACCAGATTATTAGTCTTCACCTTCTGTCTACCAGATTATTAGTCTTCACATCCTGTCTACCAGATTATTAGTCTTCACCTTCTGTCTACCTGATAATTAGTCTTCACCTTCTGTCTACCAGATTATTAGTCTTCACCTTCTGTCTACCAGAGATTGAATCTTCATTGAGTCCTTCTTTCTGTCTACCAGATTATTAGTCTTCACCTTCTGTCTACCTCATTATTAGTCTTCACTTTCTGTCTACCAGATTATTAGTCTTCACCTTCTGTCTACCTGATTATTAGTCTTCACATTTCTGTCTACCTGATTATTAGTCTTCACTTTCTGTCTACCAGATTATTAGTCTTCACCTTCTGTCTTCACCTGATCTATTAGTCTTCTGGGTCCACCTTCTTCACTCTACCTGATCATTAGTCTTCACCTTCTGTCCACCTGATTATTAGTCTTCACTTTCTGTCTACCTCATTATAAGTCCTCACTTTCTGTCTACCAGATTATTAGTCTTCACTTTCTGTCTACCTGATTATTAGTCTTCACTTTCTGTCTACCAGATTATTAGTCTTCACTTTCTGTCTACCTGATTATTAGTCTTCAAATTCTGCCCACCTGATTATTAGCCTTCACCTTCTGTCTAGCTGGCATGGGTGCCGTCTTTGGTCGACTTCTGGCTGATGAGACGCTGGCTGACCTCATTGACCCTGGTCGCTGCAACGTCTTCATGTATGTGTGACCTCCAAACCTGGTTCTGCCCCATCTACATCAAGAGACACACACATAGTGCATCAACAGACACACACATAGTGGATCAACTGACATTCATTTAGTTGATCAACAGACACACACATAGTGGATCAACTGACATTCACATAGTGCAAGAACGGACATGAAAGGTTCATCATCAGACACACAGATATTGCATAAACAGACACAAATGATGAAAAGCATGAATTTTTTTTCAAACTCTGCATTTTACTCTAATTCATCAAAAGAGCAGCTTCCAGGCTCACAACTCAGGTACCTTGTTACTCCCACAAAACAAACTAATGACAAGAACCTAACTAACTTGTATCTGACACTGTTTGGAGTTATCTTCCCTCGCCAGTCGATGGCAGACACCGACCTCGACGGCAGACCAGACTCCGCTGGCTCCTCCAACTTTGGCTCATCAATCAGCAGACCTTTGACCTCTGACAGGCTCTGAGATTCAGGTGACCTTGACCTGTGAAACCAAAAATGAGACAAATATGTCATACATAAATAGGCACAGTGCTTCCAATGACCTTGACCAGAATTATTGTTATACAGTCATCCCTTGCCATAACGCGGGTTTTGGGGTCCATGGATGACCCCCCGCATTATTAGACACCCACGTTATAGTAACTATTACAAACCGCGGAACAAAGGCCAAGTGAAATCGTATTTTCCATGGATTGTGCCCAGTCAAAACTATATCGTTTTGTTGGAGGTGAAAAAAAACAAACTTTGTAAATGAAAATAGATGTATGTACATGAAACTTGCAATCAAACACCACAAGACATGATAATTCAATTGTTGTTCCTGTCATGCTACCTGTTATTCAACTAAGCCGGAAATAGCAATCAGCTGTGCACAGACCGATGTTTTGGTCCAATGTACCGGTGATTCAGTTAAAAACGATCCGAAAATATAACATCAAAGAATTTCTATTCCATTATCAGAATAATTTATATGTCAAGCAGTTATTCTAACAGAGATCTTATACATTGCTATCGTATAAGTATAATGCATGTTTTCTATGAACATATTTAACATAATAATGAGCACTGCTAAGCACTTTGGGTTACGTAGGAGACAGTTTGACAAGTCACCGCTGACTTCCCGCGGTACCTGCTACATTGATTGCAAAAACAAAATGTTGGCAATTAATTGTCAAATATGACTTCAAAGAGTCAATAATGCGGGTCTTGGGGTCAATAGATGACAAGGCTGTAATCTGTTCGTGATTGCTGAGAAAAATGTGAAATTTGTGTTATCGCAGAAGGCGGGAAAAACGGACCCTCACGAATGTGGTAAGCGGACGTTGTATGGAATGCGGTAATGCCATTTCACTCATGGTTTCTCCGTTGTTATTGTAAACAGTTTTAATGAATGAAAATGGGATTGAATTTAAACAAATAAAATGTGTTTCTGACATCATACATTGTCGGATGGCGGTGTTTACCCGCGCAATTACGCGGCGTGTTGCATCACAGCAAATGTTGTAAGTACTCGGCTGATGGCATGTCTTATAATGTTATTACGATGTTTCGCTGTTCAACTATTATTATTGAAAAAAAAACCTGCATGTTTTAAGCATCTGAAAAACCATGGATATGTACGATAAACACTGTTAATTGCAATCCGCACTGAATTTCACTAGTTTACAACGTGATTAACCAGAGCTCAACAGCGGATTTGTTGATGTGCTATTTTCGATGACGTGAAGATGTGTGATCGCTGGGCAACTTTTTTTGATGGGAGCCATGGATTACCCAACGGTTTAACCGCATCCGCGGTATCGCAAAGAGCGTTATTGCGAGGGATGACTGTACATAAAGATAAAAGACACATGGATGGATGGACGGATGGATGGATGAAGTATACTGTTGTAGCATGTCTGTGTCATCAATCCTAACAGATACTATGTCTGGGCAGTAGTTCCCTGCCCCCAGAAACTGGATGATCATGTTCATTGACTTTAACTGTGTTCAAGGAAGACAGACTTTGTGCTGTCTTGTTCCAATCAATCACAGAAGTCATGAAACCTCACTGATATTATGTCTGGGAGGAAGTATCTTGTTACAAACTGACGACATGCTCCAGCTTACACTGGGGTGTTGGTGCGAGCTGATGGACTGTGCTGTCGAGACTGCCTCTTCCCTGACCTTGACGTGGCAGGACGTGACACAGCAGGGGTTGATGGGATACCTGTAGCTGACGGCTGGCGGAAACCTGGTTGAGGTCGAGGCGCCACCTGGAGGAGCAATGATGATACATGACAATGGTATCACTGACTGCAGAACGTCATAAGTGAGGGAGGGAGTTTTACTTCAGTTTTATTGGAGGACAGCAAACATGGGACTTACAAGGTGAGTGAGTGAGTGGGTGAATGAGTGAGTGAGTGAGCGAGTGAGTGAGTGACTGGGTTGGTTGGTGAATGGGTGGGTGAGTGAGTGAGTGAGTGAGTGGGTGATGGGGAGAATTGAACCCAGTTGATTGGAATGATGTAATGTTGAATGTTTCATCCACAGTTACCACAGTTACCTACCCTCTCCTTGTGGGCGGACATGTTGCCGCTCACTGCATCCACGAGATTGACCACCATGTTAAACTTGACGTTGGTGCCACTTTCCACTTCAGGTTCCCTTTCAGAACACAAACACACATCGTCAACAAACAACTTCACTCTTTAAATATGTGGTACCAGTATCAAAACTAACTGTTCAACATTCGGACCAAAATAAGTAGTATCTATTGTAAATACTTGTGGGCATGAATCCAGATAATTCTCAAAATTCAACCAGTTCCAGTTATGAAGATAAGCTTTTATCAAACAAGGCATCCGGAGTGGAGCTTTGGGTGTCTATCATTTAAGGTTATACCCAGCAATGTGCCAGCTATAAGACATCAGCATGTGAACAGTGTTGTGAGGGAAGTCATCTGGCATTATATCAGTCCACCGGAGATGCCAACACTTTGGTGAAACCAACAGAGCTGACTAATCACAAAACATAGTGCACATGAAATGGGAGTCAATACCTAAGGTAACTTTGCACAATTACATTGCCTTATGACCTTTGCAATAAGTTACTTCAAGAAGACAAAGTCATCAATATCCCCCGCAATGGCAATATATTCTTCACGAATATGTCTACGAGTTTTGATTATGTCAAATATTTTGGTGTGTATATAGCAAAGTGGAAGGAGAGTACAGAAAGGTTTCAAAGTTCTGCTCCAGAAAGGAGCACTACCACCAAATTAGTTGAAGCCCAAATTGTTGCCATGGAAACACAAAAAACCCATTTTATTCAGAAATCCAAAACTACCAAAAGGCACCAGTTCACCACTAGACCTACCTATGTATGAAATTTTGTGATGAAACAGTGAACCGTTTTTAAGTTCTGCTCCGGAAAAGAGCACTACCACCAATTTTAGTCTAAGTCAAACTTGTATCCATGGAAACGCCAAAAATAGTTTATTCAGAAATCCAAAACTACCAAAAGGCACCAGTTCACCACTAGACCTACCTATGTATGAAATTTTGTGATGAAACAGTGAACCGTTTTTAAGTTCTGCTCCGGAAAAGAGCACTACCACCAATTTTAGTCCAAGTCAAACTTGTATCCATGGAAACGCCAAAAATAGTTTATTCAGAAATCAAAACTACCAAAAGGCACCAGTACATCTCCAGATCTATCTATGTGCCAAGTTTGGTGAAGAAATAGTGGACCGTTTTAAAGTTCTGCTCCGGAAAAGACCAATGTGCACGGACGGACAGAGTCCATTTAATACCTCCCCCGCAAAACGCATTGCTGGGGATAATAACGATTCCTTGAAATGAAATGTTTTGACACATCTTCAAGATGCAAGAATTCAGTATACATTCAGGGACCTGGCTCCACGTCTTGTTATCACCTGTCTTGCTGCAGGAAGTGACGACCCAGCTGAGGGGGACTCGATGACTTCCTTGTGTGGGGGGCTGGGGCTGACTTGGGCTTGTTGCACTGGGAGGGTCTGTGACGTGTTGAACGGTACTTGGGAAGACTGGTGGGGTAGTAGGCGTCCGTTGTCTGGTAGAACTCCTCCAGGGTCTGCTGCAGAAGCTTGTTCTCATCTCGTCCTGCAACTGCAAACACAGGGTAATGTGTTACATGGGGTGGATTTTACAGGGGGTGGGCGTTGCATGGGGTGGGTGTTACATGGGGTGAGTATGGCATGTCATAGAAGTTAGATGGGATGGATGTTACATATCGTCGGTGTTACATGAAGGTAGTGTAACATGAGGTGGTGTTACACTGAATGGATGTTACATGGGCGTGGGTGTAACATGAGGTGGTGTTACATTGAATGGATGTTACATGGGCGTGGGTGTAACATGGGGTGGTGTTACATTGAATGGATGTTACATGGGCGTGGGTGTAACATGGGGTGGTGTTACATTGAATGGATGTTACATGGGTCATTGGGTAACCACATGGGGTGCATGGAGGTAGTGTAACATGGGGTGGTGTTACATTGAATGGATGTTACATGGGCGTGGGTGTAACATGGGGTGGTGTTACATTGAATGGATGTTACATGGGCGTGGGTGTAACATGGGGTGGTGTTACATTGAATGGATGTTACATGGGCGTGGGTGTAACATGGGGTGGATGTTACATGAGGGTGGGTGTTACATGGGGTGGATGTTACATGGGGGTGGTGTTACATTGAATGGATGTTACATGGGGGTGGGTGTAACATGGGGTGTTTACATGAGGGTGGATGTTACATGGGGGGTGGGTGTTACATGGGGGTGGATGTCGCATGGGGTGTTACATGGGGGTGTTAAGATTGAATGGATGTTACATGGGTGGGTGTTAAATGGGGTGGGTGTTACATGGGGGTGGATGTTTACATGGGGTCTATTGTTACATTGAGTGGCTGTTACATGGGGTGGATGTTACATGGGGGTGGGTGTTACAAGGGGTGGGTGTTACATGGGGGTGGGTGTTACATGGGGTGGGTGTTACATGGGGTGGTGTTACATGTAGTGGATGTGACATGGGGTGGGACACCCTGTAATTACCTTCTGGCTGGACACCATGTAATGACTCACCTTCTGGCTGGACACCCTGTAGTTGTTGCTTGGTGTGCAGTTCAGGCATTTCACCGTGTTCGTGGGCCGTGTATCGCACATCACACAGCGTCCCGCTCCGTCCAACAAACTCCAGCTTACCTGCAGTAGAAAACAGACATCCCACTTAAACCGTTACCCTACTGAGTGCATTAAAACTTGAAACAAATATGCATGGTCTCAAATATACAAGTGTTCCTGTAGATCACCTACAGACCATGACAGACTCTCTGACACACATCAAACCGGTTACACAAAGTGTGGCAAGGCCGATTTCTACATGATATCTGGAAAGATTGGTTTAAGACAGCATTGATGTGCTACCTCCACAGCCATTGTGACCATACAATCCCACCTTTCCCCTACAGAGTGCTCTGTGTAATTCCTTGTTCTAATGAGTGCACTATTTACTATTTAGTTTCACATGACTTCTTAACAATGCCTGTTCCCAACATCCCAGTAAGCAAGTACAGTGTACTGACTGACAACGTCCTGGGTGTACGCCATCTCAGTGTTGAAGTTCTTCCAGCTCTGTAGGATGTCCTCGTGCAGTGCTGGAGCTGTGGTCGGCCGGTGAGACATTCTACTCACTCCTGGAGAACAACCAAACACATCAGAATATACTGTACAAGTTTGTTTGTTGATTAAAGCCACACTGGGCAATATTCCAACTACCGGTATTATAATAGATGAAGTCAGGGCACAATGACACACTGTCAACCAAATCATCGACCACCTGACCACCAGTCCTTCTGGCCAGCCCTTCTGTCTGACCACCCAGTCCATCTGACCACCCAATCTGTCTGACCACCTAGTCCATCTGACCACCCAGTCTGTCTGACCACCCAGTCTGTCTGACCACCCAGTCCATCTGACCACCCAGTCCATCTGACCACCCAGTCCGTCTGACCACCCAGTCCGTCTGACCACCCAGTCCGCCTGACCTGACCACCCAGTCTGACCACCCAGTCCGTCTGACCACCCAGTCATCCTGACCATCTGACCACCCAGTCCATCTGACCACCCAGTCCCACCCAGTCCATCCCTGACCCAGTGACCACCCAGTCCATCTGACCACCCAGTCCACCACCCAGTCCATCTGATACCCAGTCCATCTGACCACCCAGTCCATCCTGACCACCCAGTCCATCTGACCTGACCACCCAGTCCGTCTGACCTGACCACCCAGTCTGCCTGATCTGACCACCCAGTCCCATCTGACCACCCAGTCCGACCACCCAGTCCTGACCACCCAGTCCATCTGACCACCCAGTTCCATCTGACCACCCAGTCCCACCCACCACCCAGTCGCCCTCCTGATCTGACCACCCAGTCCATCTGACCACCCAGTCCGTCTGACCACCCACCCAGTCCATCCTGACCACCCAGTCCGCCTGACCACCCATTCCATCTGACCACCCATTCCGTCTGACCACCCAGTCCATCTGACCACCCAGTCCGTCTGACCACCCAGTCCATCTGACCACCCAGTCCGTCTGACCACCCAGTCCGTCTGACCACCCAGTCCGTCTGACCACCCATTCCATCTGACCACCCAGTCCGCCTGACCACCCATTCCATCTGACCACCCAGTCCGTCTGACCACCCATTCCATCTGACCACCCAGTCCGTCTGACCACCCAGTCCGCCTGACCATCCAGTCTGCCTGACCACCCAGTCCATCTGACCATCCAGACAGTGGTTCTATACAATCCAGACAGTGGTTCTATACAATCCAGAGAGTGGTTCTATACAATCCAGAGAGTGGTTCTATACAATCCAGAGAGTGGTTCTATACAATCCAGAGAGTGGTTCTATACAATCCAGACAGTGGTTCCAATCCAGAAAGTGGTTCCATACAATCCAGAAAGTGGTTCTATACAATCCAGAGAATGGTTCTATACAATCCAGACAGTGATTCCCTAGTCGGTGACTCTATACATTGTAGTCAGTGATTCTATGCAATAATATACATCAATCCAAAAGACTATCCACTCTGTTCTAGAACCAGCGACAGAAACAGAAACAGAGTAAAGATGTGATCTCACCATGTCTGTCCTCCTCGTCCTCTGGGTTGAGAGTGAGAGAGTGATGGGCGTGGGGGTTCACCATGCTTGCCACCGAGTGGATCATCCGCTTGGGCAGACCAGCGTGAGTGTGAGGTATGTTGGTGGACTGAAACATGAAGCATTGCGTCTTCATTGCTGAACATGTCACTCGGAATCACACTGCCATTATTGTCAGCCGACATTTAAATACCCTGACATTGCTGAACATGTCACTCGGAATCACACTGCCGTTATTGTTAGCAGACATTTAAATACCCTGACATAGCTGAACATGTCACTCTGAATCACACTGCCATTATTGTCAGCAGACATTTAAATACCCTGACATTGCTTAACATGTCACTCGGAATCACACTGCCATTATTGTCAGCAGACATTTAAATACCCTGACATTGCTGAACATGTCACTCGGAATCACACTGCCATTATTGTCAGCAGACATTTAAATACCCTGACATAGCTGAACATGTCACTCGGAATCACACTGCCATTATTGTCAGCAGACATGTAAATACCCTGACATAGCTGAACATGTCACTCAGAATCACACTGCCGTTATTGTCAGCAGACATGTAAATACCCTGACATAGCTGAACATGTCACTCGGAATCACACTGCCGTTATTGTCAGTAGACATTTAAATACCCTGACATAGCTGAACATGTCTCTCGGAATCACACTGCCATTATTGTCAGTAGACATTTAAATACCCTGACATAGCTGAACATGTCACTCGGAATCATACTGCCATTATTGTCAGCAGACATTTAAATACCCTGACATAGCTGAACACAGGAATCGGAATCACACTGCCATTATTGTCAGTAGACATTTTAATACCCTGACATTGCTGAACATGTCGCCGGAATCACACACTGCCATTATTGTCAGCAGACATTTAAATACCCTGACATTGCTGAACACAGTAAAACGAATCACACTGCCATTATTGTCAGCAGACATTTAAATACCCTGACATTGCTGAACATGTCGCTCGGAATCACACTGCCATTATTGTCAGCAGACATTTAAATACCCTGACATTGCTGAACATGTCGCTCAGAATCACACTGCCATTATTGTCAGCAGACATGTAAATACCCTGACATAGCTGAACATGTCACTCGGAATCACACTGCCGTTATTGTCAGCAGACATGTAAATACCCTGACATAGCTGAACATGTCACTCGGAATCACACTGCCATTATTGTCAGCAGACATTTAAATACCCTGACATTGCTGAACATGTCGCTCGGAATCACACTGCCATTATTGTCAGCAGACATTTAAATACCCTGACATAGCTGAACATGTCGCTCGGAATCACACTGCCATTATTGTCAGCAGACATTTAAATACCCTGACATAGCTGAACATGTCACTCGGAATCACACTGCCGTTATTGTCAGCAGACATTTAAATACCCTGACATAGCTGAACATGTCGCTCGGAATCACACTGCCATTATTGTCAGCAGACATGTAAATACCCTGACATAGCTGAACATGTCACTCGGAATCACACTGCCATTATTGTCAGCAGACATGTAAATACCCTGACATAGCTGAACATGTCACTCGGAATCACACTGCCGTTATTGTCAGCAGACATTTAAATACGCTGACATAGCTGAACATGTCACTCGGAATCATACTGCCATTATTGTTAGCAGACATTTAAATACCCTGACATAGCTGAACACAGGAATCGGAATCACACTGCCATTATTGTCAGGAGACATTTTAATACCCTCACATTGCTGAACATGTCGCTCGGAATCACACTGCCATTATTGTCAGCAGACATTTAAATACCCTGACATTGCTGAACATGTCACTCGGAATCACACTGCCATTATTGTCAGCAGACATTTAAATACCCTGACATAGCTGAACATGAACATGCCATTATTGTCAAAGTTGCTTAAATGCCCTGACATTTGCTGAACATCACTCGGAATCACCTGCCGTTATTGTCAGCAGACATTTAAATACCCTGACATTGCTGAACATGTCGCTCGGAATCACACTGCCATTATTGTCAGCAGACATTTAAATACCCTGACATTGCTGAACATGTCACTCGGAATCACACTGCCGTTATTGTCAGCAGACATTTAAATACCCTGACATAGCTGAACATGTCGCTCGGAATCACACTGCCATTATTGTCAGCAGACATTTAAATACCCTGACATAGCTGAACATGTCACTCGGAATCACACTGCCATTATTGTCAGCAGACATGTAAATACCCTGACATAGCTGAACATGTCACTCGGAATCACACTGCCGTTATTGTCAGCAGACATTTAAATACCCTGACATAGCTGAACATGTCACTCGGAATCATACTGCCATTATTGTCAGCAGACATTTAAATACCCTGACATAGCTGAACACAGGAATCGGAATCACACTGCCATTATTGTCAGTAGACATTTTAATACCCTGACATTGCTGAACATGTCGCTTGGAATCACACTGCCATTATTGTCAGCAGACATTTAAATACCCTGACATTGCTGAACATGTCGCTCGGAATCACACTGCCATTATTGTCAGCAGACATTTAAATACCCTGACATTGCTGAACATGTCACTCGGAATCACACTGCCATTATTGTCAGCAGACATTTAAATACCCTGACATTGCTGAACATGTCACACGGAATCACACTGCCATTATTGTCAGCAGACATTTAAATACCCTGACATTGCTGAACATGTCACTCGGAATCACACTGCCGTTATTGTCAGCAGACATTTAAATACCCTGACTTTGCTGAACATGTCACTCGGAATCACACTGCCATTATTGTCAGCAGACATTTAAATACCCTGACATTGCTGAACATGTCACTCGGAATCACACTGCCATTATTGTCAGGAGACACTTAAATACCCTGACATTGCTGAACATGTCACTCGGAATCACACTCCCGTTATTGTCAGCAGACATTTAAATACCCTGACATTGCTGAACCATACAAATAATCTTGTTATGTCTACGCTGTTTGCCAACCTGTGATTATTACTGCTCCTTAAGGCCAAACTCACAGATTACAGGCATAGAAGGCTGTGAGTGAGTGAGTTGGGTTTTAAACTGCTTTTAGCAATATTCTAGCAATATCACAGTGGTGGACACCAGAAATGGGCTTCACACAATGTACCAACCACCCAGTGAAGGCTGTGAGTTACCACATATACCCAGAATGTAATTACAAAGTATACACAGCCCTTGAAACACATGGGACGTACATGTTCCCTGAGGGGAGTGATGCGGACGGAGGGGGTAACGCAGTTGAAGTCGTGGACCCCTCTGCTGTGGTGGCCATCCATGTTCTCATCTAGACCATCATTGTTATTCAACGGACTCCGAGCCAACTCCAAGTCCATCTCTGTGTCTGAAAAGTCACCATCCTGGTTGCTATGGGCAACAGGAGACTGAGGTGAGGTAGTGTCAGGTTGCTGGAAGCACAAATGAAAATCTGTTGCACTGTCTGTAACCAAAGTGACAAAATTAGATGAAGACTAATGTGAATGCTAACTGTAACCATGTTAACCAACACAAGCATGGGTCACAGTGGTGGACCATCAGTAACCATGGCAACTAAAACAAAGAAGAGTATCGTCTATAACCTTGGTGACAAACAAGTGTGAAGGTGGCTTAAACTTTGGTGACTATATTGTCTGCAACCATGGTTAAAATCTCAGGGCCAAAATAAGTATACATAGCTGGAGTACAGTTTGTAACCTTGGTTACAAATAACATGTGAATAATAGTATACTGTCTGTAACCATGCTAACAAACATAATTTTGTCTTGGAAAAATAAAAGTTTGTGACTGACATGTTGAATTGGTAGAAAAAAACAAACATAAAGAAATGGGAACACTTCAGCTATTTCTTCTTAGTGTTTGTGTGTGTTTTTCATTGTAGGTTGTGAGGTTTTACCATTGTGGGTTGTGAGGTTTATCATTGTGGGTTGTGAGGTTTATCATTGTGGGTTGTGAGGTTTTACCATGGTGAGTTGTGAGGTTTTACCATTGGTGAGTTGTGAGGTTTTACCATTGTGGGTTGTGAGGTTTTACCATTGTGAGTTGTGAGGTTTTACCATTGTGGGTTGTGAGGTTTTATCATTGTGGGTTGTGAGGTTTTACCATTGTGGGTTGTGAGGTTTTACCATTGTGGGTTGTGAGGTTTTATCATTGTGGGTTGTGAGGTTTTATCATTGTGGGTTGTGAGGTTTTACCATTGTGAGTTGTGAGGTTTCACCATTGTGGGTTGTGAGGTTTTACCATTGTGGGTTGTGAAGTTTATCATTGGCGGTTGTGAGGTTTTACCATTGTGGGTTGTGAGTTTTACCATTGTGGGTTGTGAGTTGTGAGGTTTTACCATTGTGAGTTGTGAGGTTTTACCATTGTGGGTTGTGAGGTTTTACCATTGTGGGTTGTGAGTTTTTTTACCATGGGTTGTGAGTTTTGAGGTTTTACCATTGTGGGTTGTGAGGTTTAATCATTGTGGGTTGTGAGGTTTTACCATTGTGTGTTGTGAAGTTTTACCATTGTGTGTTGTGAGGTTTTACCAATGTGGGTTGTGAGGTTTTATCATTGTGTGTTGTGAGGTTTTACCATTGTGTGTTGTGAGGTTTTACCATTGTGTGTTGTGAAGTTTTACCATTGTGTGTTGTGAGGTTTTACCATTGTGGGTTGTGAGGTTTTATCATTGTGTGTTGTGAGGATTTACCATTGTGGGTTGTGAGGTTTTACCATTGTGGGTTGTGAGGCTTTACCATTGTGGGTTGTGAGGTTTAATCATTGTGGGTTGTGAGTTGTGAGGTTTTACAACTGTGGGTCGTGAGGTTTTACCATTGTGAGTTGTGAGGTTTCACCATTTTGGGTTGTGAGGTTTTACCATTGTGGGTTGTGAGGTTTTACCATTTTGGGTTTTACCATTTTGGGTTGTGAGGTTTTACAATTGTGGGTTGTGAGGTTTTACCATTGTGAGTTGTGAGGTTTTACCATTTTGGGTTGTGATGTTTAATCATTGTGGATTGGGAGTTGTGAGTTTTACCATTTTGGGTTGTGAGGTTTTACCATTGTGGGTTGTGAGGTTTTACCATTGTGGGTTGTGAGTTTTACCATTGTGGGTTGTGAGTTGTGAGGTTTTACCATTGTGGGTTGTGAGGTTTTACCATTGTGGGTTGTGAGGTTTTACCATTGTGGGTTGTGAGGAGGTTTTACCATTGTGGGTTGTGAGTTGTGAGGGTTGTGAGGTTTTACCATTGTGGGTTGCGAGTTGTGAGGTTTTACCATTGTGGGTTGTGAGTTGTGAGGTTTTACCATTGTGAGTTGTGAGGTTTTACCATTGTGGGTTGTGAGTTGTGAGGTTTTACCATTGTGAGTTGTGAGGTTTTACCATTGTGAGTTGTGAGTTTTACCATTGTGGGTTGTGAGTTGTGAGGTTTTACCATTGTGAGTTGTGAGGTTTTACCATTGTGGGTTGTGAGGTTTTACCATTGTGGGTTGTAAGTTGTGAGGTTTTACCATTGTGGGTTGTGAGTTGTGAGGTTTTACCATTGTGTGTTGTGAGTTGTGAGGTTTTACCATTGTGGGTTGTGAGGTTTAATCATTGTGGGTTGTGAGGTTTTACCATTGCTGGCACATCAAGCGACCCTTCAAATATATTCTGAATAACGCTCACTGCTGAGCTCATAATAATGAGTTATATTAGCAACTGAAATGTTTAGTTTTATAATCATTATCATTCTATTTCAAAGAACAAGTCAATAAATGTATAAAGTGGGAATATACATTCAACAGAATGTTAGCAGCTGGTGTGTTCACTGCACAATAATCTTTTTATCTCTGTCTACAGAAACACATCTCAAGCACCTGATTCACATGTGATCAAAGTGTACGATATTCTGGACTGCTGGGTGCCGAGGGAACGATATGACATTAGGGACTGTTGTGAGACATGAGCCACGTTGAGCCAGTTGTAAACCACACCACACAATAGCTCCGACAGACACACAGCTGTACATTCAGCAGTAGGCCTTGTAATTAACGTTTTGTATGCCCTGATTGTTGAAAGTGCTACCAGCAAATCTGAATGTTCATTATCAGCCCTGCCTCACGGTAATCACTACACAAAGTGACTTGAATGTAAGAGCCACAATCACAAGAATATCTACCACTGGACTCTAAACCACATTTGGGAATACCTCCACATGAAATACCGGTACACTGTGACCTGCAACCTGTACCACTTCATTACATACACAGGATTAGTTGTGAATTTACTTCTTTATCCTCCAACAAAAAACATACTAGTACTGAACAACATTAGAAACCTGACACCTACTTTATAACATATGTTACCTTTGACCACTTTCTAAATGGCACTGTGTATTTCATAGCTTTCGGCCATGGGAGCCGTGCCAATTAACATTTATCAGAGGGGTACACAAAGTCCGTAGTTCAGACTGCCAGTTGTCCGACTTCCATTTTTTGTGGAAGCCGCGGTGGCTGAGCGGTCTAGATGTCTGACTTTGTGTGCTGGCGATTAGGTGCCTGACTCTGAGGCTGTGGGTTCGAATCCCGGATGGGACTCAACCCCCCAAAAGTACTAGAATCTGTACTTTACAAAGAAAATGTAATCCCAAATATAACATATGTTACCGACTTTATTGGTAATAACTGTGAGGGGGTAAGTGTTTGTAGTTTCTTGTAGTGGTTTATTGGTTCATACACACAGCAATGACATGTTGGCTGTTTGAACATGGTCTTGGTGACTGATGTGAAACATGTGGCCATAAAGTGGGAAACACAACAATCATGGCAGCGAGTCACGTGATCCCTTTAGCGATTACATGGTATTGGAAAACAAGCATAAACACATTGCTAAACAGGAAAGCGCATGATCATGAAAATTGCAAGTGTAACAAGAGTCATCAAGAGATGACAAAAAATTAGTTTTGGAGAAATGATTTGGATAAGGACACTACTATGAACAGTGTCAAAGTCAAACTTGTTGTCATGGAAACGCAAAAAAACATTATTCTAGATATTCCTAAATAGTAAAAGGCACCAGTTGACAACCTGTTGTCGGTGTGTGCAAAGTATCATTATACGGGTTTGAGTTCACATATCATGGTTATGCTTAATGCTTAACATTGCAGCATTTCCACAAGAACTGGGTTGTAGTTGTCACACGATACACAGTTTGGGCACTTGAGGTGCTGCATGTGTCACCACACCAAGATGCGCTTAAATCAACAGCAGATTTGAGACTTCAGCCTCTACTAGCAGATATTTGTTCAGAAGAAAAATGACAGCAATGACCATCAGTCATGGATGCCCTGTGATGTCACACTCATTATTGACTTGTTCTGTTCCAACAGTTTTATCAGTGTGAAGTTTGTGTTGGGGTAGGCGTCATGGAACGTTATTATTTTTCAACGTCATGCAATATATTTCCAATAAATCTATGCCTTTTCATTTTCTGTATTTTTACCTGGATGTTAGCAGTATAATGTATACACATCTACTTTCATAACAATGCACACACTAGTGTGTCAAGTGTCAAGTGTCAAGTTTTTAATTTGTTTGAATATTCTTGTAAAAATTATATTTCTCAAGCTTTGAGGTCTGTACACAATTTATATCCTTATGTCTCAGACTATTTGTAGGGTTTGTTTCTTCAGGAATTTGTGCAGAAAAAAATGTTCATGATGTATTTTGATGCGATTTGCTAAGAAAAGATGATTTTGCTTGTAATATTATCAGTGCATAATGAGCCAGTATCAGGCGACCTTCAACTTAGTTCTGACAGTCATAATAATTCTGGGACACACATACTAAAACAGGACACTGCGGAGTGAGTGAGACACACCTTGTCAGGTAAGCTGTGATTAGTGGACAGCCCATTGGTCACTTTGGTTTGGCGTTGAGAGGCAGACCGGCTCCTCCCACTGCGAGTGTGCTGGCTGTCCCGACTAGGGGGGGGATTGCGAGGGGACGTGGCTTTCTTCAGCACCTCCTGTGCTGCCTCGCGCTGATAGATTCGACCAAAGTGCTGCAAGCAGAAAATACAACTACATGACAAGCGTGCCATGTTTCAGCACTACACAACGCTTCAAAACCACATGCTTAGAAAAGCCAGCTGGACACTAACTGGTGGACTAGAGACAGTGATGGACTAATGACTGACTAGTGGACTAGAGACAATGATGGACTAGTGACTGACTAGTGGACTAGAGACAATGATGGACTAGTGACTGACTAGTGGACTAGAGACAATGATGGACTAGTGACTGATGGACTAGAGACAATGATGGACTAGTGATGGACTGACTAGTGGACTAGAGACAGGACTACTAGTGGACTAGACAATGACTGGACTAGAGACAATGATGGACTAGTGACAATGATGGACTAATGACTGACTAGTGGACTAGAGACAATGATGGACTAGTGACTGACTAGTGGACTAGAGACAATGATGGACTAGTGACTGACTAGTGGACTAGAGACAATGATGGACTGACTAGTGGACTAGACTAGTGGACTAGAGACAATGATGGACTAGTGACTGACCGGACCGGAGTACAGCACATGTTTGTTGGCCAGGTACCATGTGTACACCTTCTTCAGACTCTCCTGCTGCTTGCCGGACTTCACTCTGGAACATGGTACATCACATTCACACATGGGGACACAAAATAACATAAGATCACTGCAACCTATATTTAAATTACATTTGTGACGTCATTCCATTGTCTGTTCGCTCCATTACTTTTCAGGAATGGAAAGATGTGTACCAGTTTCAAAATAAAACCTTCATTTTGTCATTTTGACATTTAATTTTGATAACAGAAATATTCCCAATACTTCGAATGTAATTTAAGTAGGGTAATATCCTCGTAACTCTCCATTCCTTAAAAATAATGTGCCTCGGCCCCCCTCTACGTATTAAACTGAGACTATGTCACTGGACAATGTAGCTGAACACAGATCACTTACTCTTTAACTTCACTCAGCATCTGGACCAGGATGTGATAGAACCTGGTGTCCCGCTCTGCCTTATCCCTGCAACAGAAGACGGGACTGGAGTAGAGGTGTGTGGACAGACTGGTCTATGTGGAGGTGTGTGGACAGACTGGAGTGGAGGTGTGTGGACAGACTGGTCTATGTGGAGGTGTGTGGACAGACTGGTCTATGTGGAGGTGTGTGGACAGACTGGTCTATGTGGAGGTGTGTGGACAGGCTGGTCTATGTGGAGGTGTGTGGACAGACTGGTCTATGTGGAGGTGTGTGGACAGACTGGGAGATCTGTGGACAGTGGTCTATGTGGAGGTGTGTGGACAGACTGGTATAAGTGGAGGTGTGTGGACAGACTGATCTATGTGGAGGTGTGTGGACAGACTGGTATAAGTGGAGGTTTGTGGACAGACTGGTATAAGTGGAGGTGTGTGGACAGACTGGTATGTGGAGGTGTGTGGACAGACTGGTCTAAGTGGAGGTGTGTGGACAGACTGGTCTATGTTGAGGTGTGTGGACAGGCTGGTCTATGTGGAGGTGTGTGGACAGGCTGGTCTATGTGGAGGTGTGTGTACAGACTGGTCTATGTGGAGGTGTGTGGACAGACTGGAAACGAGTTCTGTGGACAGATTGGAGTGGAGGTGTGTGGACAGACTGGAGTGGAGGTGTGTGGACAGACTGGAGTGAAGTTATGTGGACAGATTAGAGTGGAGGTGTGTGGACAGATTGGAGTGGAGGTGTGGACAGACTGGTGTGAAGGTGTGTGGACAGACTGGAGTGGAAGTGTGTGGACAGATTGGTGTGGAGGTGTGTGGACAGACTGGAAAGGAGGTGTGTGGACAGACAGGAGTGAAAGTGTGTTGACAGATTGGAGTGGAGGTGTGTGGACAGACTGAAGCGGAGGTGTGTGGACAGATTAGAGCGGAGGTCTGTGGAGAGACTGGAGCGGAGGTGTGTGGACAGATTTTCATATTTTTTTCCAATTGAATTACATGAAAGTCCTATCAGGTTATTGCTTCAAACAAACTTATACAGGTATCCTTGCTTCAAACTGAAAAACTTACATCAAGTTTCAGATTGGAAACACTTACATGAGGTCCTTGGTTTTCCCTGTGAGATGGGCCAGCTTGAGGTCATGGTGATGGCGCTCAATGGCGCCGTACATGGCTTTGAACTCATTCAGGGTCATCATCTGACAAAGATATAAGTGAAATGTATTTCACTGCCTATAATGCCTATCTTCAAGTTTACACATATATTCCTGATTGCATTGCATGTGTATCAGAGCAAGAGTGGGGGGCCAGTAGTAAAGTAAATGATGAATGAGAGGCACCAGTGGAAGGACACCATGATAGCCTCTGACTGACAAATGTCCATGTCATCCAGCTCAGTGTTCATACCTAAACTAAGCATCCACAAATACAGCTACATCTGTGGATTACTGAGGTGACTGTGATAATATAAAATACATCGGTTCAAAGAACATTTATTGGACCCTCAAAAAACAACAACGTTCCAACACAGAGGTAGGTTAATTTGACTGAAGTCAAGGTAACAAACCAATTACTATCAGGAAAAGTTCTCATAATCACAATAACAGAATTTGATGTGACAAAAATATGTTTGATACAGGATATGGACACACTGACATATAGAAAACAGGAAGGACAGGCTACACCAGTGTACCCAGAAGGTGATGTCTTTATTATACCAGGGATCTCCAGCTTGCTTTCAGGTGTGGTCTGACAACATAATATTGGGCCTATCTCCATATCAGGTCAACAGTCCCTCAGGGAACTTGATTTGGGGTAATGCAAGGGACTCCTGATTTTTTGTTGTAAGTGAGGCACCAGGTAATTAGCAGTGCAGGGATATCTGATTTTGATTATGAAAAGCACCATGGTACCCCTGTGTTGGTGCGGTATGTAGTGATATGTTGAACACCATGGTACTCCTGTGTTGGTGCTGTATGTAGTGATATGTTGAACACCATGGTACCCCTGTGTTGGTGCTGTATGTAGTGATATGTTGAACACCATGGTACCTCTGTGTTGGTGCTGTATGTAGTGATATGTTGAACACCATGGTACCTCTGTGTTGGTGCTGTATGTAGTGATATGTTGAACACCATGGTACCTCTGTGTTGGTGCTGTATGTAGTGATATGTTGAACACCATGGTACCTCTGTGTTGGTGCTGTATGTAGTGATATGTTGAACACCATGGTACCTCTGTGTTGGTGCTGTATGTAGTGATATGTTGAACACCATGGTACCCCTGTGTTGGTGCTGTATGTAGTGATATGTTGAACACCATGGTACCTCTGTGTTGGTGCTGTATGTAGTGATATGTTGAACACCATGGTACCTCTGTGTGGGTGCTGTATGTAGTGATATGTTGAACACCATGGTACCTCTGTGTTGGTGCTGTATGTAGTGATATGTTGAACACCATGGTACCTCTGTGTTGGTGCAGTATGTAGTGATATGTTGAACACCATGGTACCTCTGTGTTGGTGCAGTATGTAGAGATATGTTGAACACCTTGGTACCCCTGTGTTGGTGCTGTATGTAGTGATATGTTGAACACCATGGTACCTCTGTGTGGTGCTGTATGTAGTGATATGTTGAACACCATGGTACCTCTCTGTTGGTGCTGTATGTAGTGATATGTTGAACACCATGGTACCCCTGTGTTGGTGCTGTATGTAGTGATATGTTGAACACCATGGTACCTCTGTGTGGGTGCTGTATGTAGTGATATGTTGAACACCATGGTACCTCTGTGTTGGTGCTGTATGTAGTGATATGTTGAACACCATGGTACCCCTGTGTTGGTGCTGTATGTAGTGATATGTTGAACACCATGGTACCTCTGTGTTGGTGCTGTATGTAGTGATATGTTGAACACCATGGTACCTCTCTGTTGGTGCTGTATGTAGTGATATGTTGAACACCATGGTTCCTCTCTGTGTTGGTGCTGTATGTAGTGATATGTTGAACACCATGGTACCTCTGTGTTGGTGCAGTATGTAGTGATATGTTGAACACCATGGTACCTCTGTGTTGGTGCTGTATGTAGTGATATGTTGAACACCATGGTACCCTGTGTTGGTGCTGTATGTAGTGATATGTTGAACACCATGGTACCTCTGTATTGGTGGTGCTGTATGTAGTGATATGGTGAACACCGTGGTACATCTGTGTGGGTGCTGTATGTAGAGATATGTTGAACACCATGGTACCCTCTGTGTTGGTGCAGTATGTAGTGATATGTTGAACACCATGGTACCCCTGTGTGGGTGCTGTATGTAGTGATATGTTGAACACCATGGTACCTCTGTGTTGGTGCTGTATGTAGTGATATGTTGAACACCATGGTACCTCTGTGTTGGTGCTGTATGTAGTGATATGTTGAACACCATGGTACCTCTGTGTTGGTGCTGTATGTAGTGATATGTTGAACACCATGGTACCTCTGTGTTGGTGCTGTATGTAGTGATATGTTGAACACCATGGTACCTCTGTCTTGGTGCTGTATGTAGTGATATGTTGAACACCATGGTACCTCTGTGTTGGTGCTGTATGTAGTGATATGTTGAACACCATGGTACCCCTGTGTTGGTGCTGTATGTAGTGATATGTTGAACACCATGGCACCCTGTGTTGGTGCAGTATGTAGTGATATGTTGAACACCATGGTACCTCTGTGTTGGTGCTGTATGTAGTGATATGGTGAACACCGTGGTACATCTGTGTGGGTGCTGTATGTAGTGATATGTTGAACACCATGGTACCTCTGTGTTGGTGCAGTATGTAGTGATATGTTGAACACCATGGTACCCCTGTGTGGGTGCTGTATGTAGTGATATGTTGAACACCATGGTACCTCTGTGTTGGTGCTGTATGTAGTGATATGTTGAACACCATGGTACCTCTGTGTTGGTGCTGTATGTAGTGCTATGTTGAACACCATGGTACCTCCGTGTTGGTGCTGTATGTAGTGATATGTTGAACACTGTGGTACCTCTGTCTTGGTGCTGTATGTAGTGATATGTTGAACACCATGGTACCTCTGTGTTGGTGCTGTATGTAGTGATATGTTGAACACCATGGTACCTCTGTGTTGGTGCTGTATGTAGTGATATGTTGAACACCATGGTACCCCTGTGTTGGTGCTGTATGTAGTGATATGTTGAACACCATGGTACCTCTGTGTTGGTGCTGTATGTAGTGATATGTTGAACACCATGGTACCTCTGTGTTGGTGCTGTATGTAGTGATATGTTGAACACCATGGTACCTCTGTGTGGTGCTGTATGTAGTGATATGTTGAACACCATGGTACCCCTGTGTTGGTGCTGTATGTAGTGATATGTTGAACACCATGGTACCTCTCTGTGGGTGCTGTATGTAGTGATATGTTGAACACCATGGTACCTCTGTGTTGGTGCTGTATGTAGTGATATGTTGAACACCATGGTACCCCTGTGTTGGTGCTGTATGTAGTGATATGTTGAACACCATGGTACCTCTGTGTGGGTGCTGTATGTAGTGATATGTTGAACACCATGGTACCTCTCTGTGGGTGCTGTATGTAGTGATATGTTGAACACCATGGTACCTCTGTGTTGGTGCTGTATGTAGTGATATGTTGAACACCATGGTACCTCTGTGTTGGTGCTGTATGTAGTGATATGTTGAACACCATGGTACCTCTCTGTGGGTGCTGTATGTAGTGATATGTTGAACACCATGGTACCCCTGTGTTGGTGCAGTATGTAGTGATATGTTGAACACCATGGTACCTCTGTATTGGTGCTGTATGTAGTGATATGGTGAACACCGTGGTACATCTGTGTGGGTGCTGTATGTAGTGATATGTTGAACACCATGGTACCTCTGTGTTGGTGCTGTATGTAGTGATATGTTGAACACCATGGTACCTCTGTGGGTGCTGTATGTAGTGATATGTTGAACACCATGGTACCTCTCTGTGGGTGCTGTATGTAGTGATATGTTGAAAACTATGGTACCCCTGTGTTGGTGCTGTATGTAGTGATATGTTGAACACCGTGGTACCTCTGTGGGTGCTGTATGTAGTGATATGTTGAACACCATGGTACCTCTCTGTGGGTGCTGTATGTAGTGATATGTTGAACACCATGGTACCTCTGTGTTGGTGCTGTATGTAGTGATATGTTGAACACCATGGTACCCCTGTGTTGGTGCTGTATGTTGTGATATATTGAACACCATGGTACCTCTCTGTGGGTGCTGTATGTAGTGATATGTTGAACACCGTGGTACCTCTGTGGGTGCTGTATGTAGTGATATGTTGAACACCATGGTACCTCTCTGTGGGTGCTGTATGTAGTGATATGTTGAACACCATGGTACCCCTGTGTTGGTGCTGTATGTAGTGATATGTTGAACACCATGGTACCTCTCTGTGGGTGCTGTATGTAGTGATATGTTGAACACCATGGTACTCCTGTGTTGGTGCTGTATGTAGTGATATGTTGAACACCGTGGTACCTCTGTGTTGGTGCTGTATGTAGTGATATGTTGAACACCATGGTACCTCTGTGTTGGTGCTGTATGTAGTGATATGTTGAACACCATGGTACCTCTGTGTTGGTGCTGTATGTAGAGATATGTTGAACACCGTGGTACCTCTGTGTTGGTGCTGTAGGTAGTGATACGTTGAACACCATGGTACCTCTGTCTTGGTGCTGTATGTGGTGATATGTTGAACACCATGGAACATATGTGTTGGTGCTGTATGTGGTGATATGTTGAATACTATGGTACCTCTGTGTTGTGGAGCTGTATGTAGTGATATGTTGAACACCATGGTACCTCTGTCTTGGTGCTGTATGTGGTGATATGTTGAATACCATGGTTCCTCTGTGTTGGTGCTGTATGTAGTGATATGTTGAACACCATGGTACCTCTGTGTTGGTGCTGTATGTAGTGATATGTTGAACACCATGGTACATCTGTGTGGGTGCTGTATGTAGTGATATGTTGAACACCATGGTACCTCTGTGGGTGCTGTATGTAGTGATATGTTGAACACCATGGTACCTCTGTGTTGGTGCTGTATGTAGTGATATGTTGAACAACATGGTACCCCTGTGTTGGTGCTGTATGTAGTGATATGTTGAACACCATGGTACCTCTCTGTGGGT